ATATAGGGTTTAGTTTTCCAGCAAAATTACTTGATGAGAAAAAAATTCAAAAAGAAACGAAAAATGTTTATTCATTTTCTTTAGTTGGTTAGGTTTAATTTTATATCAATGTATTTAAATTATTTTATTTTATTTTACATAAAAGTATCTGAAATATTTAATTCCTTTCGAAAATTTTGGTATGATTTGAGTTATATATATATATACTGAAATATGGCAGATGGCGGCGACCTGATCATAATGGTCTGATCAATCCTGAAGAAGTGAACCAGGTTCGGTGAATCAAAGATCAGGACACGTGGAACAACACGAGATGTGGTTATATATCATCACCTTTCCTTCTATCTGGCGTGTAAACTGTAGACAGAGTTTCATGAAAGCTTTCTAGTCTTCGAAAGCCAGACCATATTACTTGTAAGAACATTTTTTATTTAATTAAATTTAACATTCAGTTTAAAATAAGACTTTTAACAGGTTTTGTTTCAAATTCAGTTTTGACAACTTACTAAAATTGATCCGTAAGATAAATAGCCTTATACCTCGGATTATCTCGAATAACATTCAAAGCGCAACACAACCCTTTTTGAAATGCTATTTTATATGTAGTTTGTGAAGCCTATATGCACAGCATAATATATAGTGTGAACACACTTTAACTTATATGAGTTTGGACTACTACGTTCACTATGGACTTTTTTCCACCAACGTTAATAGGTGTATTCGTCTATATTTTTGGGTTAAATTGGGATGTATATAAGTTATCTTCGTGAAATATAGATAAGAAATTATCAAATGTAGACAAAGAATATATAGACAATCTTATCATTCCAAATGAACAACACCTATTTTCAAAATAACAATAAAACAACGAGTGAGGGAACCTTAAAATAAACATTAAAAAAGCGTATGACAAGCGCAGAAAATCATGTGACAAATTTTTTTTTTTTAAAAATATGTTTCATTTTACTGGGGTCGTGTAACTAGAGAACGCCTTCGCAAATTCGATTATGTGCATCAGTGCATGTATCAGATGTACTTGATATCAAAAAATAAAAATATTAATTTAATTGAATTACAACCGTCAGCGATACTCTAATAACCCCTTTAAAGTAATTGTAACTCGAATTAATACACTTGGATCTATTTAGAACTTAGAAGGTTTTTATCCCTACACTAACTCAATATATAGGTACCCCACTAATTTGTATTTGTTTCATCTCCAGACTCTAGTTAAAGATGATCATTTTATCAGCTGACTGCTGTCTTTCATTAATCCTTTGCACCTATATGCCAACTACATATCGTAAGCCAATCACACCAAAAGTATTTGATCACCATTTAGCTATGCATATTGTCTCAACAGTTTCAATACATATATATTAATGCAACTGCCAAATTTACTTGAAAAGCTAACCATACTCATGATGTGTGTTATACTGTTATTCTTCTTCATTTTTTGGAAAAAGTGTGTTATATACTGTTATTCAAGACATCAATCCTTATAGTATATATACATATATATATATATATATTAGCAAATGCTGATAATCAGGTTCCAAAAATATATGTATCATCGATCACATAGCAGACTTTTTAGGTGGAACTTTTAATATCAATATTCTGGGTTTATCGATAGTTTCTTTAGAAAATTATTTTATCAAAATTTTGGGTATTAGAGAGGTAGTTGGAGGAGAGTGTGAGAGAGATGTAAGGGAGGGATTGGAAGAACATGTATATGGCAGTGTTCTTAAAGCAGACACAAACACTTACGAGAAGAAAGAGGGAGACAAAAGACTTTGGCTTCCATTGTCTACTTCTCCATATTCTACAATTAAATTAATTTACAAATTATTATACATTTATAAACGTACGTTTGGTTGTGTTGTTATTCGCCACGTTTCGTGGTTGTATTCCTTTCATATGACTCCCATCATGTTCTTTTGTCCCCCCCTTTTTTCTCTCTTTACAAATTTTTCATAAAAAAATGTTTAGATAGAACATTTTAGCAAAAACAGAAAGAAAAGAAAAATAGAAAGAAAAAAACGTTACACATTACATGTCAATTACAAGTACAAATTACACAGAGAGAAGGATTGTGGGAATTTTCTGTATAATCATTTCGACGATGCCGCACAAGCTCTTATATGAGAAGTTCTAACCTATTTTCATAACGGCGAATCGAATATTATTCTTAAGGAATTGACAATTAATGTGAAAGTGATAAAAATATGGGAAGATATTCACAACAATTCTAGTACTCACCATCTAGAACCAAGATATAAAGATGATGCCTTTAGACCGTGTATTTCTCATCCATTCTATCGTTTTTTTTACTGATTACTCATGTTTTTTAACTTTATTATAGTTTTCGAATTTATTCGTACAAAATATTATGTTCAAAGAAGACTGATAGACTAACTTGTTTATGGGAACCAACATAAGATGTACAAACTACAAAGCTAAATGGTCTCATACAAAATGATTATAGCAATAACTATTCCACAAACTCGAATATCTGACGAGATGATAAATATTGTATAGCTCTTCACCCCGGATTTGCATTTAATCAAAAGTAAAAAAAAAAAGAAAAAAAAAAACCTTCAGAAACAAACACTATCCTTAAGACAGACACGCACATACAACAAAAAGTTATCTTTTATCCAACTTTTTTTTTAACAAGTCTTTACCCAATTTAGGGGTCCACTGGTCCAATATCTTTAAGGAGAGTCCGCATCTACAAGCAATTAACATAATGAACATGGAGCTAAACCCATTTTAAGATAATTAACTAAAACTAATTAATGATTTACTTCAGAGTTGGAAGATAATGACAAGTCTACACACTCCATCCAAGTCTCCAACCACTTTAAAGTTGCTATTCTTTTTCTCTTTCGATCCCCAAGAATATCCTTTGTGGCTTTAGAGTTTAGACTTAGCAAGTAATCTAAGTACAGTATTGCTCATTGGCCACCTTTTTTTTCCTATTTTCAGTTCCGAAATGAAATAAATAGTTTAGATTTTAGTAAGTGCATTCATGTTTTTTTTTGGCAAATTTTTGTTGGAGAGTAGATTCTCGTATCCGCTAGCACAAGACGTAGCTAGCTATTTCTACAAAATATTTGAAGACAAGAGTTAAACACGCATTCCCGTAAATGTTGATAATATCGTTGTTATTGCTCCGTGGTCGTGTTGGAAGTGAGGTAATTCTGTTCTTTATATCCTTCTAAACATTGAGGGTCATTTGATTAGGGGTTTGAAAAGTATGTTGATGATCGTTTCCATTACTCTTCAAATGTTGTATATCGTAGTTTGGATGGCTAATTTTATGATAAACTATGAAACAAACACATTTTGAGCTTATTTTCCCAGCCATAATCTACTAGCGAATAGAAGAAGGGTACCAATAATCTTTACCCAAATATAATTAAAAAAAAAAATCGTTGATCCCTAACCACGAATCAAAAGAGAAAAGAATCTAAAGTAGTAACGAAGGGCTTGATTGGGTCGTGGAGGTGGAGGACATCGAGACCGTGAATGTCCTCTCCTCTCTATTGGACAGCACAGTCTCATATGCCAAATAGTCCCTTCTTTATTGGTCTTCCCTCCAATCTTTGTTTAGTAATTAGTTCCTATCATTTGATTTTAGTAATGATTTTTTTTTCACTTTGCTGAGTTCACGTGACTAAATAGTAAATTAGTAAGCTTTCCATCTTTCATGTTCGTATCAATGACGTGTAACTAAATAGTAAATGTTGTAGTATTTCGCATGGACTGCAACATCATGTATATATGTTTGAATTAAAAAAGTGCCAACGGATATCGACCATTCTTAAAAATATTTGTCTATCGAATCAGGCATTGAGATATATTAAATAAAAAACTATGATGTTTTTTTTTGTCATTGTTTCTATTAATATTTGTCCCAATAGTGGTTTTTCGGTTACTAATAATAGTACTACACGAGATTATGAAGGTGGTTTGTGTCTGCTCTTCACAATGCACGATGACCATGCCTATAATTAGATTCGTTAATTTCTTAAACAAGAACGGTTAATCTAATCCCACTCTTAACGATATTATCTTGGATGTCTTTTTGCAGAGAGAAATATATACATATCTACATATATAAGAATATATTTCTCTTTGAACATCGTATATATAAATTATTGAAAGTATATTTTATAATTTTGTTTGGAGATTAATGTAAAATTATATATAATCTAAGGGATTTGACCATTAAAAAAGATAATCCGAGGGAAATTATTAATACAAAAAGACTCTGAATTTCTACTTACAAATATTTAATTAATTTAAATAAATGAACATATTAGGACTTTCATTAGTATTTATTAGTTTATAAACTAAACAAAAATGGAAGAAGGAAAAGTCACTTTAGGAAGATGAATACATGTCACTCGTATTTTGAGGTAAAAATAATGGAAAATACAAGAGGATGGTTTTAATTTGAATGAGTATTCTGATTTGTTATTCTAACAAAGGATGTTTTTATTGAAACTTTCACTTGTTATCTATTTTTTAAGAAAATATCTATTTTTAAGAAAAGAGTTGAGTTCAGCTTGCGTTTATGAGTTTATTTTTATTTCAAAATTATGATACAGAAATATTTATTCAGAAGTCAAATTAGTAATTTATTCCTTAAAATACAAATTTTCAGGGAGAAATCTTGAAATACTAAGTGATGTAGTTATTGTCGTACATTTCATTTTTTCCTTCCTACTTTCACATGAGTTGTATGTTAGTCATATTCGTCTCAGTTATCAAAGCTAGCCGTGTCTTTACAACATGAAACAATATTAAAGATGGTGATAAAGAAACCTTGTTCTCTTTCTATTATTCTCCTAATTAAGTCACAAGGCTCAGAACGAGGCTTATGTCCAGTGGCATTTTCCGTAATTTTCCAAAACAAGAAGCCCGCATCAGGAAAATGACACTTCATAAAAATAAAATAAAACTCTAATTTCTTGGCACCTACACTCCTTATATAAATCATAGGTCGTCCTCTTCCCCAACACAACTTCTCACATCTCATAAAAAGTGAGACAAATTACGACAGAAAGAAAGAGAGAGAGATCCAAGAAAATGAACCACACGGTGGATGATCAAAACATGGCTTTCATATCTCAGTTGTACCCTGATGTCTACACTCAGATAGTACCACAACAAGGTTTGTCCTTTTTTTGGGTTATTAGTTTGTCCGAATTTTACAATCATTATTGTTTTGAATTTTGACAAAACCCAAATTTAAAGGATTTCTTATTGACATATAGTGTTTTTTTTTTTTAAGTTGGTTTATCCGAAAGTTATATATATATATATATTTATATATTTACTGTTTCAAAGTCTGGAAAGTGGAAACCCCTAAGTTTTGTGGAAGAAGTTATATAAATTCAAGTGGGATAGATATTTGAGTCTTTCTCAAAAAAAGAAAATTTCGACCAACACGCGTACACCTAAAAATACTGATATAATCAACGTGCATGTGAACACATATCAAGAAACTAAAAAAAGTAAAGAAAAAAATCCAAACTGTAGTTAAGATGTTTTTGTTTTTAGAGCAAAACTAATTTGCATTTATTTATCTTGGTCGATCGGTGTAGGAGAAGTGAAGCCACCGAAGCGGAGGAAGAAAAAGAACAAAGGAGCGGTGACTGCCGGAGATGGAAGCAGCTGCCTGTTTAGGAAGAGAAAGCTTACCGATGAGCAAGTGAACATGTTGGAGATGAGTTTTGGTGATGAGCACAAGCTTGAGTCGGAGAGGAAGGATAGACTTGCGGCGGAGCTAGGGCTTGACCCTCGTCAAGTCGCCGTTTGGTTTCAGAACCGTCGTGCACGGTGGAAGAACAAAAGGCTCGAGGAAGAGTACAATAAACTCAAAAACTCACATGACAACGTCGTTGTCGACAAGCGCCGACTTGAGTCTGAGGTATAATTTATTCGCTCATTTCTACATTTTTTTTTCTTTGAAACATTAATTTAGTTTATACTATATGATATATATACATTCTTTTGGTTAATTAATCTTTATTGGCATAATTTAACGTGAGCTCAAGGCTCGAAGAAATTTTAAAACAATAATTAAGACAGCGAGTTGAGTTGAAAACAGAAAAAAGGCTGACACCTAACAGTAATTCGCCACCTTATTACACAACATCAAAATACTTTTTATACTACCAAAAAGAACAGAAACATAAAATGCAGTAAAATGCTTTATGTGTTCCGTACAATGTTATAATCTTCTTAATAGTGATTTGTCTTTGTCAATGGGCCTTAAGATTTTAGAGGAGAGCCACTAACAAAAACCCCATTCATTCATTTAAAATTCATTTACATGTTTGCAATGGTGATTAGTTACTTAATGATTAAACTTTTACATTTTATCGTCAGGTTCTTCAGCTCAAGGAACAGCTCTACGATGCAGAGAGAGAAATCCAAAGATTGGCAGAAAGAGTAGAAAGAGGTTCAAGCAACAGTCCGATTTCTTCTGTTTCCGTCGAAGTCAATGAAACACCGTTTTTTGGAGACTATAATGTTGGAAAAGACGGTGACGACTATGATAATCTGTTTTATCCGGTGCCGGAAAACAGTTACATCGATGGAGCAGAATGGATGAATCTATACATATCCTAAAATTACTAGCTTAAATGTAATATTTAATTATATTAATTAGTGTCGTCAATTAGGGAAGAATATTTTTAAGTAAATTAATAGATTATATAATTGTCGAATTTATAATGTACAAATATTATGACAATGGCTTTCTCACTAGTGTAATTTGGTTATCTTTATGTAAGCAACAATTGCTTAAGTAGTAATTTTTGGCCACTTTGTTATGCGTAGATAAAAAATCCGAAGGAATATATATATCAACTAATCGATTAGGCTTTTAATTATAATTAAGATGTAAACTATTTGGGGTTTCGCCCTTTTTCTGGCGTTACTTTGACCTATGCATATACTTATATGTGTCATATACATATTGTTGTATAATGAATTTTACTTGTTATTAGTTTGCAAGTTTGCAATGCATGTTAATAGACGCAAATTCTTATATTATGCTGTCACGTAATCAAGAAAAAATCTGATAAGATATGTAATTGTAAATCTGTATTATAGATTGTTAATATATGAAAATTAATAGTCTATACAGTTGAAGGCTGATACATTCATAAAAAAAACTTAAGACATACAACTCCAAAATTTAATATCTAGGCTAGTAGTTATGTATACAAAATATCTTCATTAACCAAAAAATAGTACGGCCCTAAAAGCAGTGCTGGCACAAATTGTGCTGCAAGATTCGAAAATTCTTGTTTTTTATTTTATTTTGTTGAAGATAAAGGACTAGATGACATGCACATGAGCAAAATGGTTGTTAAAACTTTTTATCTCAATGGATAAGAGTTTGCCAGATTTAAATAAGTGAGGAGTTGGGATAAAATATACCTAACTTCGGTAAAACATTATGAATTTATGAGCCAAGTTTGTAGCTCACTTGACTAACAACCAATGTGTAAAATTTATCAATGAAAAATTTACATAACAACTACGTAATTGAAAATCAGAATTTTTGTATACATAATTTAAGGATTGTTGACGCATCTTTAAAAAATCAACTCAAATTTTGCATAGCAACTGCGTGTTCTGAAACGCAAAGTTGTTTTCTAACAAGATTAGAAGATCTTTGAGTAAGATGTTTTGGATTTTGATTGACATTCTGATATTTTTTTTTGTTTATCTAGACATATACCAGATCCTAAGTCAAATTATCGACCGAAAAAAATATGGTCTCATAAAGCTTAGAAACGGTGGACCCAGGAAGAAATGTTTGGCAATAAGTGAAGGATGTAATTTGGGTAAATATAGAAAGTTAAGTGTAAAGCAAACGTAATGTGATGGCTCTTTCCTAATACGGGGCGTTTTAAGTATTCAAAACCACTTTCAAGTTTCAACACATTCACTGTATCTAATGTGTCGCATTTATATTTTCCGAGTCGTCATATGATGAGATTAAAAAAGGTTGTCACCTTTTATTTTAATATAGTGATCAATCACATCAACCACCTAATCTAATGTCCAATGGTAATGCTAATGCTCCACGAAAGATGCTACATTTATCTAAAATTAACGTCTTCTTTCGAGTACACTGAATTTTGATATCTATTATATATTTATAAGTAATTTTTAAACAATAATCTGGAGTTTGAATGCATAGTTAGAACTCTTAACGAGTTAACCTTCGATGAATTTTATTCCCTACATCTTATTTTAGGACATCTCCAAAGGCAACTTCAAATTTGAGGTTGGCCAAACCTCAAATTTGAGGTTCCATGGTGTTTGTCTCCAAAGTCAAAACCTCAAATCTAATCTCATAAAATTTAAAATATTGCAATATAATCCCTACTTTTAATCATTATCAATAAAAATCATATAACTTTATAAATAACCGAAAACATATATAAAAATATCACAAACCACAGAAACATTACATTATAAGATAAAATTACAAAAACATAATAATGAAAACACACAAACTAAATTATAAATGATTATATTTCACCAAATTATTCAACAAAACTATTTTCATAATGCTTTCAAATATGATCAATTTTAGTTTTAATTTCTATTTTTAATTTTATTTTATATGCAAATATAAAATTTATAAAGATAAATGTAAAATATTAATGAGATATTAAATTGTTGGATTAAAATGATAAACATTAAAAATAAAATGATTATTTATGAAATATATAATTTTAAGGACTAAAATGTAAATAAAAAGCTGCAACCTCAAATTTGAGGTTTTGAACAGTGAAACTTCAAATATAAGGTTTCACTGTTCAAAACCTCAAAATTTGAGGTTTTAAGGTTGCCTTTTGGAGTGAATAAAACCTCATATTTGAAGATTTGAGGTTGTCTTTGGAGATGCCCTTAATCAGAGAATCATGAAAAGAAAAGTTGATTTTTTATCATAAAGAATTACAAGATTATGAGACATCTGACCTAAGAAAAAAAAAAAGAGAATAACGAAATGTTTGCAATATCATAGTGACTTATAAAACGAGGCCCAATGGGTCCATGAATGTCATGTAAGGATCTACCCGAATTACCTTGGTAAGGAGCCCGTCTCGAACATTAGTATTTCAGTTTATTATTATTTTTTTCTCCTTATTTGTCTTTATTTATTGTTAGCAATTGATGCATGGCATTGTCAATAATTTAACTGTAAGGTAAGAACTGGGTCAAAAACAAATTAATGTAAAATTATCGAATAAGGACCTCACAAATTCTAAGATAATATTCAAGTTTTACATCATGTTATCAGTCGTGGTATTTAACTTGCAAGAAATTTTGATATTTTGACGTTATTTAAATGAGACAAACATGAAACATGCATCAATAATTATTAATTAACACACAAAAAGATTAGATTCTTCATCAAGTAATTAATAAACGTAAAGGATTCAGTCTAAAACTAGACAGGGTTACCATTGTCATCAAAATATATTTATTGTAATACTAATGAAATAATGAATGATCTGAATTGGTTTGCACAAAAAAAAAAAAAAAACTGATATGATTTGATATTTCCTCTTTGTTATAAATAAGTAGATGAGTCACACCAACTGTAGCTACCGTGTCAAAACCTTATCCAGTAACACGTGTACAGCTGGACCTCTCCTTGTCGCACGTGTCAGATCATCAAACCCTAAATCCCTTTTAAAAAAATTAAAAATCAAAACTTTCCTCTTTCTTCGCATACCTCTCCTCCTATCGGACTTCGCCACAGCAGATCGGAGAATCTCAAATCCTCTTTTGTTTCCTTTTCCTATCTTCAAGTTTTCCCGACAGATTCAATGAAGCAGTAAGACAAAACCCTAGAGAAGCAATCCGAATTGTTTTCTTCGGAGCTGCGACCGGAGTTTTTTTTTCTTTTCTGGTTCTGTCTGATCTGTCTGAGAGAAGAGACGACGTGTCTGCATCTTTGTCTCACTCTCTCTACAATTTAGGTAAAATCCTACCTGGACTTCCACATCAGTCTTTTTTTTTTTCCTTCTTCAAGTTTTTCGTCTAATTCTCTCTGTATGCAAACACTCTTGCATGTACGGATATACTCTTTTATGATGATTGTGTGTTGAAACTTGGATTGAAATCGTTAAATAATTCTGCAAATTGAGGTTAGTATAGGATAAATTCATGCATAGTTCGTGTAATTTAGGGACTGGAGAAGATTTTGGTTGTTGCTGTTTCAAGAAAAAGGTGTACTTGCTCTTGTACTGACTAAAGCAATTATCTTTCTTGATTCTGAATTTGCTCCTTGGGTTTTGTTTTTTGTTGTCTGTAATCAAGTTTCTGTATCAGTTAGATGTGTCGTACAGAGCATAAGCTTTATCCTTTTGACTTTTTTTGTGGATCGAATCTTCATCTGATTTTTAATGTTGACTTTTCTCTGTTGAGGTGCTTCCAAGATCTTTGTCTTTACTGATCCTTGCTCCTTCTTTACAGACTGCGTAACACAAGTTTTAGCGGATAAACAATGGGAACGAGCGAGGAGAAGACGCCATTTAAACCTTCGAAACCAGCATCCTCGGCACAGGTTGATCATTCTCTTCTTCTTCGTCCTCTGTCTCTTCCCTTTTGTATTGGAACTTCATCTGCCTAATCAAATTCATGGATACAGAAACTATACAGTTTGAATTACATTTTTTTTCTTCTTCAGCCTACGTGTGGTTTATGTTGTCTACCTCTTGTCTGCAGGACATTCCGCCCACACCGTATCCAGATTGGTCAAATTCAATGCAGGTTAGTGTGACATGCCGATATTAGTACTGATAGTGTAGTGTCTTCTCTCTCGAGAAACACCTGAGATTGCCAGAACATAACAGAGTGCTCATTTGTTTAGGCTTATTATGGCGGAGGAGGTACTCCAAATCCTTTTTTCCCATCCCCAGTTGGATCTCCTAGTCCTCACCCATATATGTGGGGTGCTCAAGTAAGCTTCAATTGTATCGTTGTTGATTTGATCCTATGGAAAACGAAAACAAGTTTGCTCCTTTGTTTTTGGATAACACCAACTCGATTTTATTTTCTGTTGTTTCAATACTTTCAGCACCATATGATGCCTCCTTATGGGACCCCAGTTCCGTACCCAGCAATGTATCCTCCGGGGGCAGTCTATGCCCATCCTAGCATGCCCATGGTAATCTCTATACCATTTAGTATAATTCGAATCACCGTTAAAGCTGTTTTGCTCTGTTTCACGGAAAAGATACATGCATAGACAACAAATGATAAAGTATATAAAAAAAAAACTTGAACCACATTCTTCTGTTGTAGCCTCCTACTTGTGGTCCAACAAACAAGGAGACGGTGAAGGAGCAAGCTTCTGGGAAGAAGTCAAAGGGAAACTTGAAAAGAAAGGGTGAAGGAGGTGAGAAGGCGCCTTCTGGTTCAGGGAACGATGGTGTCTCTCAAAGGTGCGAGATATAGTGCTCCATTTAATGTGTTACTTGCTGAAATTGGTCTTCTATATTACAGAGTTATATGAGGAAGGTTTGATGAAATTATGATTTCTCCGTCTTGCAGTGATGAAAGTGTCACAGCAGGTTCATCTGATGAAAATGGTGAGAATGCCAACCACCAGGTACTGATATGAGTTTGACATGTTCTTTTGCTTCAATGCTTTGTGCAATGTTTAAGAGAATTTTATGTTAAATGTAGGAGCAAGGTTCAGTTAGAAAGCCGAGCTTTGGACAGATGCTGGCGGATGGTAAGCTTTTCGCCGCCACACGCTTATGGTTTTCCTTTGTCTGCGTTCTCCATGTTTTCTTGACTTGGTATAGTTTCCTTAAAACAGCAAGTTCTCAGAGTAATACTACTGGTGAGATAGTGCCCATGAAGCCAGTGGCCCCCGGGACTAATCTGAATATCGGGATGGACTTATGGTCTTCCCAGGCTGGTGTAGCTGTGAAGGTGAGACTAAACCATCGTTCATCTTATCTTCATGCGCAAAGAAGCCTTTACTGATTTGGTTTATAAACTCTTGTGTTTTACTCAATAGGATGAACGAGAGCTCAAGAGGCAGAAGAGGAAACAATCTAACCGTGAATCTGCGAGGCGGTCGAGATTGCGGAAGCAGGTAACATACTACTATATCTCTGTATTAGTATCGTTTTGCTCTGTCTCTCATGTAATCTACTCAGTTTCTTAATATAAACCACTTTGAATAGGCGGAATGCGAACAGCTTCAACAGAGAGTAGAGAGTTTGACAAATGAGAATCAAAGCCTGAGAGATGAGCTCCAGAGACTCTCCGGCGAATGTGAGAAGCTCAAGACTGAGAACAACACTATTCAGGTATTCCAAAATGGATGAATCTTACCTACTTTACATATATATCCCTCGGCTTGCATTTACACGGACTTATTGAACAAATACAGGATGAGTTGCTTAGAGTGCATGGACCAGAGGCCGTAGCTAATCTGGAGCAGAATTCTGCTGCGTCTAAAGATGGTGAAGGAACAAATTAAATTAACAGTTAGGAAACATGGGAACTTTATAACGGATTATTGGGGATTTTTCAACACCGGATAAAAACTTATTTGTAAACCAGTCTAAAGTTATTTGAGATCACATGACTATACAATCGTTTGACATTTTTGTGTAATAGAGATTCCACATAAGGCTGTAAAAGCTGCAAAGCTATGACTACACTTGTTTTATTTAGTCTTCAAGATCGGATTCAGATTCTGAATCTTGGTTTGTTGCCGTTGATAGTTCTGGTTCGGGGCTAATGTCTGTGATTTCTCCTTGGCGTTGGCTTGGCGGTGGTGCAACTTGATTCACTGATGGAACAAGTATCAGGATAAAATCTTATTTGACATTAGATTACTCGGGAAAGAAAATTAGAGTTTGAAAACTAACCTGATCCCAAGATTTTGATAATCATTGATCGCACAAACCGTATTTCTCCTTGGTGTGATCTAACGACCTTGACCTGCAAATGTTGTGTGTTTACAAAGCAGTAACTCAAGAATGCGGAATCGTCTTAGTTCTAAAGAAAACAATAATGTACCATTTCTTCATATGCTCCATCCACGAGTCGATCCACACTAGCTTGGTGTCGTATTAGGAAAGGGCGCAGGTGGTTGCTATATATTTGTTTTGCTCCCTGTCACCGGAAAAGTAAGCAAATTGAAAATAGCAGAAACGATCAATAACGGTTAGAGCTTCTTAAGATGTTCGATGATGGTTACACAGAGATTGGGATAAGTACCTCGATGGTTGGGAGTTGAAGCCAGACGAGGAACGCAAACTTCACATGATAATACAGCGGGAACCTGGAAACAAATAGAATTCATTGCGTATCAGTACTCTGAATAAAAGAGGTAATGGTGTCCTAAAATAGATTTCAATAAGCTCATGTTTCTTGATAAAGTCCATTAGAATAAACAAGAAACCGTAAATCTATAGTCAGTCATTGGAAAATCATCACGATGTTGTATATCGCTTTGAGATGTCAATCGTACCAAGAAATGAGCTTGTCCGTGAAAACTTCAACAAGGCTGAAAGAACCATAAGCTGCAAAGAAGGTGGAAGAGAGAGGAAACACAATATCAGATGCCAATTGAAAGAAGTGCAAGGGAGATTGCGATAAAATCTTCAAGATAAACGGCATAAGAACAGTTTAAGAAGAGATAAAGTAAAGAGTTAGAGAGGGCATAGCAATTGCAGTAACAATATCCAACCTGCCCAGTAAATAAGCCATTTTTGTTGTTCATTCTCATCTCTACTCTCAATCGCCTTGAAAGTGGAGTACACAGGCAACCCGATGCCAATCGAACAGCTGCAAGAAACAAGATTCAGACATACATCAAAGGTTTCCTTTGTAACCGAATCCTTGCGTCAATTACGGCTATACCTTTTAATAGAGAAAAGATCCCAAAAACAACAAGAAAACATAACTTTTCTAGTGATAGAACAAAAGGAATACAAGATTCCCAAACAAGAGATTGAGTCTAGTCCTAAAGGTACTCTAAAGTATTCCAACAAGGTGTAGAACCTTTGACCACTCGGCTAAGCAGATAATCATGAAATATACTCCCTATCACGTTGCTTCACATGTGAAAGACATAAAAAAGAATCTAGATCGTAATCTCATTAATCATCTACCAATCAAATCGTCCAAATCATTCATCTCGTTGTACCATTGCTTTAGCAAATTAGATGGCGATTGCCATCACCATACGGTTAAGAATTTGGTGAGAAGAAACAAAAGAACTCACCATGCTGTACGAAGTACGATATTGGAACCAAGTGGAGAAAGCAATACTCGTAACCCAACCTGAAATTCCATAGAACAAACAAATATTTCCTTCAATCAGAATCATGTATACTAATTTACCCAACATGTGAAAATCCACCAATAGTTAAGAAAGAGAAACATCCAAAAGCATCCAAAAGACCAATCCACTGGAGAAGATATCTCAATTAACCCGTCAAAGCAACCCAGAACACAAAACGTTTGCACAGACGTAGACTTTTTGATGATCAGAGAAAACCGCAGGCAATGTTAAGTTTTTTTTTTGAATACGAACAAGGCAGTACGAATGAGGAATGTTAAAAGAATCCACCCGATAAACGAATTACCAAAAAAACGGATCGGGACATAAGCCGTACAAGCGGAAATAGCCATCTCATAGAGGAAAAATTACCTCGCTGGTGAAGCCGGATCCGAGAAGCGCCATAGATGGAATCTGTGAAGCAAAGCCGCTCATCGGAGATTCGTAGGTCCGTTTACCAGATTGACAAACTCGGATTTTCCTGCACAAAATACTTAACACACTCGAAAAAGGTCACTTGTTGGGATGACGAATGATTAAAGACTCTAGCTGAAACAGAGACTCTGTTTATGAAAGGTCATTTTATTTTCTTATTTAAATTAGAAACACCAAATCGATTAAAAAAGGTTAAAGCATTAAAAGAAAATTGATGGCGTCGAAAATACAATTCGATTCTATATCGCTGTTAACCCAAACCAGTCTAATCTACAACACCGGACCCGGTTAATCTAAAACCGCCAAGGTGACGTGGCAACAAGTGCTCTTCCGTGCCAGCACAGCACCAATTCTCCCTGTCGTTTTGCCACGTGGAATCCTCTAACCTGCGCCTTCTCCAGTAAACACTCAGCTTGAAAGTCGGCGAACTGGCTTAGCTGGATCGGCCTCATCCCGGCGGCGCAGAACGCTTCCCGCCAAGTCATCTCGCCGACGTTTCTCCTATCAGCCGCCGTTTCCACCGCCGCTGAGATTTTTGGTCGCAGAACAAACGCTTCGACGATCTTCTTCACCAAATCTCCGGGAGGAGCGGCGGCGTCGAGCGACTCCAGCACCATCGTGTAGAACTCAAGCGCGCTTACAAACTCTCGCCGGAACGATCCAGATCCGGCGATCTCCGTCCATCCTTCGCTATCGACGAAAACGACGACCTTGGGTGATACTCTCCGTAAATTGTTCACAAAATCTGCGATTCCACTCAGACGGCGGAAAATCGCCGGAGATATCAGAACGACGGTTCTCTCTCCATCGACGAACCTAATGGCCTTGAAAGATAACATCTCGAAAGTCTTCATCAGAACGAATTCGATCTGGAAACGAATTTTCATCTCCGCCGCGAATTGAGTTAAGTTTTCTTTCACAAGCCTCGTCTCGACGGCGCACTCCTCCGCCACAACCGCCGTAACTCTCATAAACCCGCCGCTGACGGATTTCTCTGCGATCTCCCTCATGAGCGATGCGTATTGACCACCGAATCCGATGTCGAAATCCACCACGTGGACGAACGGAGACGACGACTGCGAGCTCAGCGAGTCGAGGATCGCTTGGTTCGCCGTGAAATGGGAGAAGAGAGGAATCGGAGAAATCCCGGAAAACTCCTTAATCGCTCGGATCTTCTGAACAATCTCGGACCATGAAGATAACCGATTCGGATTCCGGTTCGATCCGGTTAAAAGCGATCCGAGAGCTTCCTTGAAGTAAAACGCTGCTCTCTGTAACGGTCTACCAGCCGGAGATCTCAGGCGTTGACCGAGCCGTGATAAAATCACATGAGCGATTTGTAACTCGTCCGATTCGATACAATCGACGACTCGGATGAGATCTTCTATGAAATCAAATCCTCCATTGTCGACGCTATCGAGAGAACCGAAACCGTACCCGGCGGTCTGATTATGAGCCGGATAAACATCGGATGACTCGAAATCCGACGGTTGAATCTGATCGGGAAAGCCAGGGAGATTGGAATCGACGGCGTAGAGTGGCCCGATAGCAGAATCGGTAGTTGTAAAACCGGTTTTTAAGGAATTAGGAGCAGAATCATCATCGAGCTCCAATTCTTTCATAATGGAATCCCAATCCATGGAACGCATCACATGTTCGTCCATCGATAACTGATTACCATCACTGCTGTTTGTGTTATTGTTGGTCGTGTTCGTTGGTTCTTGAGGAGACGAAGCAGGGATTTTCATGTTAGTGAAGAAGAAAGGTGCAGCAACAAAAGAAAACTAAAAATAAAGTTTTTTTTTTTAATTTCCTTCTCTGTGGAAGTTTAGGAGCAAAAGGAGGAAGAAGGTGGCGGGGCTTTTGAAAGGTATGATTGGTAAGCTTTTTATCCTTGAGGGAGTGCGTGCAAACAGATTTTTTTTTTTTTTTTTTTTTCTTCACTTTATTAACCGTGTCTAATCCGGGTTTTTGGTTTAGACACAACAAAAAATTCACTCGAAATTGATTTGTATTTGATTCCGTTTTTTTTTACCTTATCTAGATACAAACTCTTAACATATATTTCGCTAATTTAAAGATTTACCTACCCAATAGAAAAGGCTGAAATCGGTTGTTTTATATAAGCATGTTTAGTTCACCTTGGTTTAAGTAGAGTGAACACCTCCTTGCATCTGAAAAGCACTTGACAATATTTGATATCATGCGTATAAAAAATAAACATGTTTAGTTCACCTTGGTTCAACTAAATTGAACACCTCCTTGCATCTAAAAGGCATTTGACAATATTTGATATCATGCGTATAAAAAACTAAATATAACATTTTCACAGCTATGAAGTTTACTCGAACGTTTCGACCAAAAAAAAAAAAAAAAAAAAGTTTACTCGAACGTGACATTGATTTGTATGAGTAATAATCAAAAAGAGAGATTTCGGATGACTCTTCAATATGTTACGTTATGTAATACTATTATTTATCATATATCCACATTTGCACACACAAAAAAAAATAGAATTACACAACTAGCAAATTCTCCAGCTCCCCAAAGGGCTAAAATCAAATAAAGTTCATCTGCTTTTTTAAAATAAGAAAAAAAAGAAAGAGAAGAAAAATCATTAGATTGAAAGAGATACAAGCAAGCTCCACTATGTTGATCATCAAGAATGTAAAAGTTTTAAAGGAGAAAAAGGAAGTTAGAAAAGGTTAATGATTTCGTCTTCTTTTTCATATGAGTGCCTTTTTCCGAGTCTTTTTTATCCTAGAAGGCTAGAACTGTACAAAAACATTTAACTGATTATTAGTAATTTGCGTTTAACGACTGAAGTGATCAAAAATGACAGAGAGGTTTATTGATAACCCAAAAAAAAAAAAAAATTCCCGGTTGCTTGCGACCAAAAAGGAAAAAGGAGTGACCACTGGGCTTTTATGTGGATCCCACATTTGGACACGGTAAAAAGCAGGGGAAAGTGACCGGGCCCACAAGGGGCTTACTTTTGAGGTAATTTTGTCGGAGATATTGCCTTGGAAGCCCATGGGCCATTGAATATATTTTGAATTTTTACCGTACAGAGATTGACTGATCATGAAGTCAGCGCGTAAGAATCACGCCCACTTACTCAGCCCCACACTACTCTCTCTCTCTCTATAAGCGGGCAAAGGAGAGAAACAGAAGTAGAGAGAGAGAGAGAGAGAGAGAGAGAGAGAAGAATATGTTCTCCTCTTCACTTATTGCTTTCATTTTCATGGGAAATTATCTTTTCTTTTCCTCTTTGTTGTTACCAGAAAACTACAAAACCCCTTCCGCATTCTTTTGAATATACTTTTTCCTTCTTGCAATTCGAAATGATTTATGATATTCGACTAATAATTCATTAATCTCCGAGCGTAATGCAAAATTTAACCTTTAATATCGTGGAAAAAAAGTCCCACTCATTATTCAACTTTTTCTAACATAAATTTAACTTTTTCTAACATAAATTGTCTTTTTTCTTCTTTGAACTTTATGTGTGCTATATTGTAATGAAGATTTTATGCATTATAGCGGCTCAGTTAACACAATAAGATACGAAACTTTTTTTTCTGGCAGCTCTTTTAGTTGTTTATTGTTTAATTAGTGACCAAGCCCACATTTTTCTCACTATGTTCTAAGAAATTTAAGAGAAATAATCTTGTTTAATATATTCGATCGTGTGAACGCTTACATGCAATGGGATCCACTTGTATCATGGTCTCATGGTTACCTTTCAATTTATTTATTTTTATCTTCGAGGATTAGACATGATCACATATTCACATGAAACAATAATACAATATTATAGATCGAGTTCTAATTTCCGAACAAGATTTCAATGATTCATCGAACAAAAATCATTCGCCGAATGAATATATATCTCCATTTCAATCGTTTTTAAAAATCTGAATCTGTTTCGAACTTTGCACACCATATTTTTTCGGTTAGAACTTAGAAACATGCTTTTTGAGAATTTGAACTCAAATAGTAACATAATGACTGACAATACTAATTAATACAAAACACTAAATTACATGTTGACAAAAAAATACATATATCATAATCACTTGTTTTTTTTTTTGTAATAACAATAAAACACATATAGCTGAACTAGATTTTCATTATGCTCCGATCTTTGAGCTCGACCATTTAAAAGTTACTTCTTATTACCTTGATAATCATTAGACTATCACCTGTTGGTTTTGATCGATTTTTACATACAGCTAATCCGGCAGAAGAAAAAAAAACGCTGGATCTATATGTACAACTAGAAATGTCAAAAAAAAAACGCTGGATCTATATTTATTTCAATTCGATATCGTGTATTCGTTAACGAATTAACGCTAGAAATGTCAAAAAAAAAAGAATGATAAATGTTCTTCATATTATATTAATGTCTCCAAACAGGACAAATCTTAGATCTACATTACATGATTGGAATTTGGCAATATAAATTATGTTGGTAATTAAAACAAGCTCTGTTTTATTTTTACACACGTGATCATATATTAAAACAAACGAATGAACGATCATATCTTATATTCCCCACTGATCCGCCAATATTCTTTTACTGATCGACCAATGGATTCTGTCGTTACCAAAATTGTGCCACTGCCAAAGGTTTCTTTCTTACTCTTTTATGTATTGGTCATTTCAAAACATGTAATGTGATATATATTAATTATAATGACGCATAATTAATATTAGTTTTGTTAGTCATAATTAAGATGTTACGAAATCTATTAGGTAGTACTATTTGTTTAACACTACTTAAATTTTAATAAATTTGAATTGTAATTTCTTGTATAGTCAAAAATAGAGTCAGTTGTGTATTTTCTTGGGAAATTATTAGACAACACTCCACCAGCCACACAAAAACAAAAATATTTATATAAAAAAAAGTCATATACTTAGGAAGTAAGGAAAAGAAGGAGAGGCCGATGATCCACGACACACAGACGCTTCTTCCTTCTATTAAAAGAGAGAAGCTTCATCCTCACAAAAGCAATTAACTTGTTTTTTTAGTAGATTCTTATTTTATGTCATTCACAATAAAATAAATTCACTTAAATAAGAAAAAAGAAAGAGCGTTCTAAAATATCATCCCCACAAGGGCATGAATGAAAGAAAAAGGTTCGTACGTAGAACGGAGAAAAGTTTTAAATTGATAGCTATGTTAATACGACAGTGAAGGCAATGATAGAAATCATCTATCAGTAATGGTTAATTTACAACTGATGATCATGATCACCTGTGGAATAATGAGTTTCAAATCTTTAATCAGTTGTTTTTAATTTGTTTGTTCATACAGCTTACACCAGCATATATTACTAAGATTAAATTAGAGTTGTGATCAGTTAGTAGTAGCTAGATATTGCTAGTTGATCTAAATATAATTTAATTTTAATAACATGCTTGTATAAGTTTTTATGAATTATATGTATGTATTATACCCATATCTATCTAGCTAAAACTATTGGTAACTTTGTTACAGAAACGTGTACGTGGAAACAAATTGTTTAGAAGCATGTAATCATTTTTTTCTTTCAAAATTATAAAAAGCGGATTTCTTTTTGTCTTCCAAATATAAAAACATGCATATTTTCCACTTTAGCCGGTGATAGTAAATTTTATAAATTGACGTATAGTTAAAATAAAAATTCAGTTAATTATAAAATACTATATAGTCAGTCAATAATGTACCGACAAAAAAAAACTAATAAAAAGAAAGAAATAAGGGATGTTCTCTTTTGAAACACATTGAGTAGTCACAACATGGGTTGGAGACTCTTCCCCTTCAAGAATATATCACTTTACCTGTTTTTTATAATTAATTTACATCATTTTTTATTATTAGTTTTTTGTAAACTGATATTTTTCAAATTTAAATGTACGTTTAATCTTTGTAGTTTGTTGGATCATCACATACATCTTTTTCTTTTGTTTTTATTTATTAATCTTGTTTACGATCATATATCTTCACAACAATTTGTTATCTGACAGACAAATTTTTGGTCTGCTCTGTTACTTACTTACTTACTTGTGAAAAATGATAAGATCTTTTTTTAGAAACAAAGCATTGTATTTATGCTATTTTCTATCATTTCATAGTAGTAAAAAAACAGTTTTAGGTGTTCGGCTAACCATGTTGCAGTCTTTGTCCACAAAAACTCATATTCGCCAGGTATACGCGATTCGGAAGACTAACTAATCCATCACTAACTAATCGATCTTAGTTATAACTAATTAGTAACAGTTTTTTTTTTCTTCATTTTCTTACGCACGATAGTGTGTGATGTGACCGTAGAGCGTAACTCTTCCAGACTTCCACTACGTAGAAGTAAAACCAAACATGTGGACTGTTTATGACCATATAAGGTATGATACGTCTTTTTTTTCTTCTTTTTTTTGTGATAAATGGTATGATAAGTTTGAGATCTAAAAGTTTCTTGTCCACGAGCTTAACAATTACCCAGACACACTCACGAGTCACGTACGTTTTCAATTTCCATTTGATCGAATATATTTCCTCACTCATAAAGTCAAACGCAATTCCTAAATCAATTCGGATCATAGTTCTTGTCTTTAATTCTCATACGTTACCAACTTTGTTTGATTCTATTTATTTTCTTATTCCCATTTTTGGCGAGTTACGTGTAAACTTTGGTGAACCGAACTAGATCTCTTTAATAATGGATTTTTTAATCTTCTCATGTAATCAATTCTTTGTAATTGATTCTAAAGAAGTCATGACATCAAGTAATTAGTGGATTATAAATTCATGATTTTGTGGTTTCTGTCGAAACTTGACAGTTGATTTTTAGTTATGTTTGATAATAACAGTTTGAGATAATCTGATACACTAAAGGTATCATGGATCAACTTCGATACAGAATCGGAGAATCCAATCACCGAAAACATGATTAGAAGGACAAATCTCAATTATCATACATGTAACTGCAGTTGACACACAGATGAATTTGAGTAACTCCTCGTCCACGAGGCTTAAGAGCATACAATTATACATACATACATATTGGTATTTGATCCAAACACCATAAATAATTGGGTCTGTAATTGTTTTGCCATTTAGAAAACGTTACGGCAGAACAATTGTTTTTTGCTTTCAACCAAACAAAAATAAAGAAAGGAATCTTGTATGCGTTTCCGTGATGTACACTGTACAGTATAACTAATTTGGAGAGACCATATTTTCAAAAAACAAACTATTTGCAAGTTTTTTTTTCCAAATAGCAATTGAATTAATTGAGATATTATTGTTGCGCAAGTGAAATTTAAATGTGAAAGAATTGCGCCTTTACCATGAAATTCCAAAACACATGTTAATCATTATGTCAATACATATATTAGAAAAACAAGCATTCCATATATATATATATAAGTGTAAACATCTTTAGAATTCATCATATTATTGCGAACAACTATAAATAATATTAAATAGCAAGATCTTTGCTAGGTACGTCGGATGAATTGGAAAAACGATAAGACTATTAGGCAGGCCAAAACCACAAAATGCTTAAAACGATAGTTTCGAATATGACATAATAGTAGTCATGCATGTTAACACGGATTCAAATGAAAAAATACAAATCTCAACCGGTGACATATAATTGGTCTTGCGATACAAACTATGCATCTCAATTGGTCTTGCATTCAATACATTATCATCAACGGTTCTTATCGGCCCGATTTTTCATAATCGAGCTTTGTATTATAGCGGGTAATTTGAATTGTTATCAATAGCACCAAGCACTTGTAAACGTAAGGCATGCACGTGTCCAAACAATTAAGACACGTGGTGATTATGGACCCTACATGCTCTCTATCTCCTTCTAATTTCCCGTTCCCTTTTAAGATTCAATACGCTTAGCATTGAATAGCCCAAAAAAAAAAAACAGAGATGACTACTAAATTCACGGTGTTGCCACTCTCTGCTCTTCTCCTTCTCTTAATCCTCTGCACTGAAACGTTGGCTAAGTCAGACCAGCCGGAAGAAAACGACGTCGCTGCAGTACCTTCATGTTGCGGGTTTTCGTCGCCTCTTCTGATAAAGAAAGATCAATGGAAACCACTCTTCTCGACCAAGTTCGGACATATCTCGACCGTTCAAATCGGCGATGGATGCGGCGGGATGGGGCCTTACAAAATACATTCCATAACGCTCGAACCAAACTCGCTTTTGCTCCCTCTTCTTCTTCATTCCGACATGGTCTTCTTCGTCGACTCTGGTACATATATAAAAACTGTTTCTTTGCTTTTTAATCAATCCTCATTTAGGCTTTAGTTTCTGAATATTTTGATCTTTATAGGAAGTGGGATTCTGAATTGGGACGGGGAGGAAGCGACGAGTACGGAGATAAGACGAGGGGACGTTTACAGGCTACGTCCCGGTACGGTTTTCTACTTACAGAGCAAACCGGTGGATGTCTTCCTTGGAATCAAACTTAGGGTTTACGCAATCTTCTCCAACGCCGAGGAGTGTTTACATGTAAGTTAGAGCAATGTTGGATGATTCTTTCTCATTTTCTTGATATTTCTTCTTATTTAATTTGTCGTCTTCCGTTTTATGCAGGATCCTTGTTTTGGTGCGTATTCAAGTATCACGGATCTCTTGTTTGGCTTTGATGAAACAATTCTCCAGTACGCTTTTGGGGTATGTACATAATTGCGCATGTATATGCTTTATATACGGATGATATTGATGTAACTTGGGATGCAAGATACGAGTCATGTATGTTTTGCTCTTCCCAAGTTACTTTAGTATACGATTTTTTTTGGGTTGCGTTAAGTGTTTAATTGAACTCAATGGTTTTTTTAAGGTTCCTGAGAAGATTATAGGGTTGTTGAAGAACCGGACGCAACCGCCATTGATCGTGCAAGATATGTTGAGCACACCTGGTGAGGCCAACGCCAACACGTGGCAGCTCAAACCGCGATTACTCAAACTCTTTGCCGGCAAAGATGTAAGCGCAGACTCGACGATGGGACCAGAAGAGAACAAGAAGAAGGATAAGGAGAAGGAGAAGGAGAAAGAGAAGGAAAAGGAGAAAGAGAAGAAGAAGAAGGCTAAGAAAGCAAAGACATTCAATGTTTTTGAGTCCGAACCGGATTTTGAGAGTCCTAACGGTCGTAGTATAACGATTAACAGGAAGGATCTAAAAGTCTTAAAAGGCTCAATGGTTGGAGTTTCCATGGTAAATCTAACTCAAGGATCGATGATGGGACCACATTGGAACCCATGGGCTTGCGAGATTTATGTTGTGACGAAAGGATCAGGTATGGTTCGGGTGCTTAGGTCTTCGATTTCAAGATCATCATCGGAGTGCAAGAACCTGAGGTTTAAGGTAGAGGAAGGAGATATATTCGCAGTTCCACGGTTACATCCAATGGCTCAAATGTCTTTCATCAATGAGTCGTTAGTGTTCGTTGGGTTTACTACTTCGGCTAAGAATAACGAGCCGCAGTTCTTAGCCGGGAAGAACTCGGCTTTGTGGTCTCTAGACAGGGAGGTATTGGCTACGTCGTTTAATGTGAGTAGTGAGATGATTGGTGGATTGTTGGAAGCTCAGAAGGAAGCGGTTATGTTGGGATGTCCTTTTTGTGCGGAAGGAGAGTTGGAGAGGCTTAAGGTGGAGATAGAGATTAAGAAGAGAGATGATGAGAGGAAGAAAGAAGAAGAAGAGGCCGAGAAGGAAGAGGAAGAGAAGAGGAAACGAGAAGAAGAAGAAGAGGCCAAGAAGGAAGAGGAAGAGAGGAAGAAACGAGAAGAAGAAGAAGAAGAAGAAGAGAAGAAGCAGTGGCCGCCTCAGCCTCAGCCTCAGCCTCAGCCTCAGCCTAAGCAACCACCACAACCTTTCCAACCACAACCACCACAAGAAGAACCACAAGAACCGCAACCATCGATAGAGACTAAGAAGAGAGATGATGAGAGGAAGAGAGAACAAGAAGAGGCGAGGAAGGAAGAGGAAGAGAGGTGGAAACGAGAAGAAGAAGAAGAGAAGAGGTGGTGGCCGCATCAGCCACAGTGGCAAGCCGGAGAAGGTGGAGAGAACACCGAGAGAAAGCTTTAAGTCAAGAGTGTTTTGGTTGTTGTTGATGGTCGAAAGTTTGGTTTTGATGTCTCTTGTTTTCTTCTCTTTTTTGTATCCTTTTGTTTATTTGTAATGTCTTTTGTTTTGTTTTGCTTTGCTTTCTTCTTTTTTTTTCGTTTCATGTTTACGTTCGTATTATGTTGTGTTTAAATGTTTGTAGATGCGGAGCGTGAAATAGTCAAAGATTTCCTAATTTCCATTGAGTGACGAGTGACGACGTTTAATCGTTTATACTTCTAGTTATTCATTTCATTAATCATCACAGGACTCTCAAATCAACTTGAAAGGAAAATCCAAACAACTTCCAAAACTGGCTTCAACTCAAGCATACATGGACTAATTGGGCCTAATAATATCGAATTAGAACTAGGACCGGGCTAATTCAATTAAGATTCTGGTTATATATACTAACCTGGCGGTCTAATTCAATTTCTGACCAGGCTATTTTTTTTTCTCCTCGAAATAATTGTCGATACTGACGTGTCGTAATAAGACCATAAGTACGACATTGACAAAAATACCCTCCCGGTCGGTCGATCCCGTCTTGTTTATATAATAATCGAAATCGCCCTAAAGATTTTGTTTTCTGCATCATCCCTTGTTTCGAATCTCGACGGCAGAAAAAAGAGGAAATTTATCTAAACCCTATCTCCGGTGAGAGAGAGCGTTAGTTCCCCGGTGAACAGATGTCTGAATTCGAAGATCACGAGGGTAACGGCACGGCTGTTGACGGCTTCTACGCCGAAGATAATGGTGGCCACGGCAGCGAAATCGAGGATCACATAGACTCGAAATCTAAGGTACTTTGCTCTCTGACTATGTTACAATCTTCCAGCTCCTCATTGCGTAGAGTTTGTTTTTCCAGTGTTAACTTCATGTTTCTTAGCCTCGATGCGTTATTGGATTCAACTGGGAATCGAAAGGGGTGAACAAAATTGAGATGTGTAGGGTTTAGGGCTGTTTTCGGTTTTCTACTAGCTGGAATCTACGATGGTTGATTTCGTTGAATCTAAGTTCAATTTGGGGATTGGTTTATTCATTATCTGTAGGGTTTTAGCTTAGTTTAATTGATTCTTAAACTCTAAAAATTGACGAGCTTTTTTTATGCTTGTGTAGAGTGAAACGCGTGACAATGAAAGAGAGAGTTCTAGAAGTAAAGATAGAGAAAGAGAGAAGGGGCGTGATAAGGACAGAGAAAAGGACTCTGATCGAAGCAGAGACAGAGATAGAGAGAAAAGCAAGGAGAGAAGTAGAGAGAAAGACAGAGACAGAGATCGTGACCGTCATCACAGAAGTAGTCGTCACAGAGATCATAGCAGGGAAAGAAGTGAAAGAAGAGAGCGTGGTAGTAGAGATGACGATGACTACCGCCGAAGCCGCGATCGTGATTATGATAGGTGACTGTTCTTGAAACGAAACTATCTTTCCAGTTTAGTTTTGATTGTTGTCGTTTTATGGAATGTACTGATTTGGCTTTCTTTATTCCCTTCAGGCGCAGAGATGATAGAGGAGATAGACGCCGTCGTCGGTCTCGCTCTAGATCAAAGGGTAGATCTGAACGCAGATCAAGATCGCGTTCTCCATCAAAAAGGTAGCTTATTTTTTTTTCTTGCTCAACTACTCTTATATGAAATGATTGTTCAATCTAAGAACTTTTTTTTATAACAATCTGTATTCTTGCAGTAAGCGGGTCAGTGGATTCGATATGGCACCTCCAGCCTCTGCAATGTTATCTGCTGGTGCTCCCGTTACAGGTATCCTTTTTATCTCTTTAATTTAGCGCCTTCTCATTAGCATAGAACTAGAGTTGATATCTAATGCAAGTAGTGGTTTTGATAAATTCTGTTCTCCCGAATGCCTGCAAAAGACATAGGCTGTTTTTGTCCATTTTTCACACGGTAGAACTGAGAGCTTTTGGTTGTTTGGTGTTCTTTGTGTTTCTTGTTTGCTTTTTTGTTTTTGGTAAGGCAACATTGGGTGTGGGCTGGTTAGCTCTTATATACAAGGAGGAATTGCTGCAATGGTTTTATGGGTATTTCTCATCCTCAGTACCTATCACTGGTTTTCTAGTCTGGCAAATATTCTCACAAACTTCTATAGGGCTGCGGTAGTCAATTGTTATATCACCGTAAAGACTTAAACCTCTTGATATCGCCTATGCTTTTTCCAGGGATTGTGAACCAGTTCTGTTCATATGTGTTCTTCTCATTTAATAACCTGTTTTCCTTTTGTAGGCCAAGTTCCTCCCGCACCACCAACTCTTCCTGGGGCTGGAATGTTTCCCAACATGTTTCCCTTACCTACTGGACAGGTGTGTGCTCGTTACCCTTTTCAAGATTTGAAATTGATATCTTTCTTGAACTAATTCTTCTATGTTCTGCAGCCATTTGGGGGAATTCCAATGATGCCGATTCAGGCTATGACACAGCAGGTTAGCTATAAATTTATTATGGATATATCATTTATGCAAGATATTATGTGTTTCTCGGTTTCTGACAATATCTCCTTATCTATTTTACGTGTCTTCAGGCGACTAGGCATGCTCGCAGAGTCTATGTCGGTGGGCTTTCTCCTACGGCAAATGAACAGGTTAGAATTCACTTTCTTTATCCCACTGAAATATCTTCCAGCATTTTATACTAATCTTGATTTTCCTACTTTCCTGTATTGTAGTCTGTGGCTACATTTTTTAGTCAAGTTATGGCTGCTGTTGGTGGAAACACTGCTGGTCCTGGGGATGCTGTTGTTAATGTTTACATAAACCATGAGAAGAAGTTTGCTTTTGTGGAGATGCGATCTGTTGAAGAGGCAAGCAACGCAATGTCTTTGGATGGGATTATATTTGAGGTACGTTTCAGTGTTTACCACACTACCGACTATTTGGTTGAGTTTTTGTGTTGGCACTTCTTTGGTCATATAAGAATTCTAATAGTTATTTTTTCCGTCTCTCCCAGGGAGCTCCAGTGAAGGTGAGAAGACCTAGTGACTATAACCCATCTCTAGCTGCAACTCTCGGTCCAAGCCAGCCCAGTCCCAATCTAAACTTAGCTGCTGTTGGTCTGACTCCAGGTGCTTCTGGTGGGCTTGAAGGTCCAGATCGTATATTTGTTGGTGGACTTCCATATTACTTCACCGAGGCACAAGTCAGGGAGTTGTTGGAGTCCTTTGGTGCCCTGAAGGGATTTGATCTTGTAAAAGATCGAGAAACTGGGAACTCTAAAGGATACGCCTTTTGTGTGTACCAAGATCTCTCCGTTACGGATATTGCGTGCGCTGCCCTAAATGGTATCAAAATGGGTGATAAGACTCTTACTGTGAGACGTGCAAACCAGGGAACAATGCAACCGAAACCTGAACAAGAGAGTGTATTGTTGCATGCGCAACAGCAGATTGCTTTACAGGTAAATTTTAATTTTTTAACGCATGGAAAACTTTTTGTGAACAGATTGAGATGTTAGCAACCTTTGTCTCTTTATGGTTTGTCAATTGAAAGATTGATGAGTTTCTTTTTTGCAGAGGATTATGCTTCAGCCGGGCGCAGCGGCCACAACAGTCGTATGTCTGACTCAAGTTGTTGCCGAGGATGAGCTAAGAGACGACGTGGAGTATGAAGAAATAATGGACGACATGAAACAAGAAGGCGAAAAGTTTGGTAAGCGATTTCTTTATTGCGTTTTAAGATCCATTTGGAGATATAAGATGAAAAAGCATATTGATTTGTCTCTGTTTTCTTGGTTGTATATGTCTGTTTTACAGCCTTTTGCTATAAAGAATCAGCCCTAACATACACAGAATGGAGACTCCATAAACCCTTATTTATTTTTCATCAAAGGCCACATTTCTTAGAAGAAAAATAACTAACGCTTTTTGACTCTGTTTTGATTCTCTTGTATTCGAAATGTTTGTTCTTTAACTGTTGAAATGCAGGTGCATTGACCAATGTTGTGATTCCGCGTCCCAGCCCCAACGGTGAGCCAGTGCCAGGCCTTGGCAAGGTTTGTACCAAATACCTTGTCTCTTTCTTCCTCTTGTGAATATCAATTTAGTGAGAATCTCACTCTGGATAATATATATATATATATATATATATATATATATGTGCAGGTGTTCTTGAAGTATGCCGATACTGAGAGTGCATCGAGGGCAAGAAACGGGATGAATGGTAGGAAATTTGGAGGAAACGAAGTGGTTGCTGTGTTTTACCCAGAAGACAAGTTTGAACAGGGAGATTATGGAGCCTGAACATTGGCCGACCGTGTTTGTGTCTGATTTGGTCAAATGGATTACTTTTTAGTAGAGATTTTGTTTTCTCTTATTTTGTTTTTGTGTCAGTTTCCAGAAGTCCCTATGTCAATGAATTAAAACATTCGAGATTGTTGCCTCTATATTTTACTTTTAATATTAGAGTTTTTTATAAATAGAGAAGGAGTTTTATTTTAATGGCCATTTCTATATTTATTTTATAAATAAAAAATTCAAATATATTCAATCTATTATTGCTTACAAAATCTTTTATTTTTAAGATTCAAATTTCTTCTATGTATTTTGTTTTTTAACACAACCAAATTTTTAGCAGAAGTCCTCGAGTCATATGTACTTAAATATGCTGTTGTTATTAAGTTTAGATGAATCAACAAAACGTTAGCCATTTACATATTACGATTTTCTATGTTGCTCTGTTTAAATCTATGCATGTCAAAAATAATCGATTATCCAGTAGAAAATTATCGTTATCTTATATGGATTGTACCTAATTAATAAACCTCTCAAAAAATGATCACAATTTTTTTTTTTTTTTTTTTTTGGGAGTACTTTTGTTTACAGCTAATTAGAAAAAAAGACCTAACGTTCTTAAAACCTTAAACCTCCGTCTCCTTTTTCGCCTATCACTCTCCACATTCCGTCTTTTCAACACTTATGGCTTCATCTCGTCTCTCTCTCCGCTATGTTCGCCGATTCACCACAGCCGCCGGAGATGCTACGACCACCGTAGAGGCCGCTGCTCCGTCTCCAGGCAAGATCTCTGCCTCCAAAGCTAAGACCATTCTCCGGAAAGTGCACGATCCGGACAAAGCCCTTGAGATCTACTCCAACGTCTCCAATCACGACGCTTCGCCTGTGTCCTCTCGATATGCCCAGGAGCTCACTGTCCGTCGCCTCGCCAAATGTAGCCGCTTCTCAGACATCGAAGCCCTAATCGAATCGCAGAAAAACGACCCAAAAATCAAGGAAGAGCCTTTCTACTCTACCCTTATCAGATCTTACGGCCGAGCCTCCATGTTCGATCACGCCATGAGAGCTTTCGAGCAGATGGATCAGTATGGCACACCAAGATCAGCACTTTCGTTCAACTCCTTGCTCAACGCTTGTCTCCATTCCAACAAGTTCGATAAAGTCCCCCAACTGTTCGACGAAATTCCTCAGAGGTATAACGACATCAACCCTGACAAAATCTCTTATGGTATATTGATTAAGTCATACTGTGACTCTGGTTCGCCTGAAAAAGCCATTGAGATTATGAGACAGATGGAAGGTAAAGGCATGGAAGTCACTACCATTGCCTTGACCACCATTTTGAACTCCTTGTATAAGAAAGGTGAAGCCGAGGTAGCAGAAAGCCTGTGGAACGAGATGGTGAAGAAAGGCTGTGAATTTGATAACGCAGCGTATAATGTTCGTATAATGAATGCTCAAAAGGAAAGCCCTGAAAGAGTTTTGGAGTTGATCGATGAAATGAGCACTATGGGATTGAAACCGGATGCAATCAGCTACAACTATCTTATGACTGCGTATTGCGAGAAAGGAATGTTGGATGAAGCTAAGAAAGTTTATGAAGGGCTTCAAGGAAACAGCTGTGCTCCCAACGCGGCTACGTTTAGGACTTTGATATTTCATCTGTGTTACAGCGGTTTGTATGAGCAAGGCTATGCGATGTTCAAGAAGAGTGTGTATATGCACAAGATTCCAGATTTCAATACTTTGCAGCATTTGGTTGTGGGGCTGGTGAGGAACAAGAAGATAGATGACGCCAAAGGGTTGATTAGAACGGTGAAGAAGAAATTCCCTCCCAGTTTCTTGAATGCGTGGAAGAAACTCGAGGAGGAAGTGGGGCTGCTTTCGAAAACTGATGCTTCTTCATCTTCTGCTTAAAAAGCTCAAGAATATTGCAATTGGAGATCTGAATCTTTTACTTGAGCTTTTTAAGATCTGTTGAAAACTATGATCACTTAGTTCTAAGCTTCTCCTGCATTTTTCTTTTCTCATAAATTAGCTTGTAAAAGCTTGACGTTTTTGTTGGTGGAATCACTTGAATTTCATGGTTTAACAATTTATAGCTTCGTAGAGTTCACTGCCATGTTCTACAACACTCTACGCTTCATGATGAATTCAAGTTTCTTCCATTTTATGTTCTTCATACATATTCTTCTACTTGCAATTAAGGTGCATTATTAGTTATAAAAAGTCAATAAATTAAGGTGTTATCATCAAACAATCAAATTCCTTTAAGGAAATGATTCCCTTTGCCATGATCGAGTGCGGTGGAAATTTTGGGAAATCTTTACAACAGGCATTGGGCTTATGTATCCTAACTCTTTGATGGGCCAAAGCTTAATATATCGGCCCATGAGAAAATGACGTCATTTGAACGCCGATAAGAAAGAAGATGACGACACGAATAGCTTTTGGAGAAGTATCAACAATATTTTCTATTAAACCATACGAAATCAACTGTGTATTCACATTAATTAAGGAATCAATGTACAAGGAGTGTAACTAGTTCGCTAACAAATTAACAAACTGTGCATATTACTACTAATAGTTTCGGGAGAGGCTAAATAAAAGTCTATAATTGACATCATTATTCTAGATATTATATAATACAACTCCTTAATATTTTAATATAAAATTGTGGAAACATTTTTGTTGAAAAGTATGATGTCTTTATACTAATAAGTCCACTATAAACTTTTGATGGAAGATTCCAATAACACCACTCGTCCACAGAAAGTACAGTACAGAGTTGGGGAATAAAATCTGTGGAATGTTTATTAAATAAGCTTTATGAAAGACATGATTTAGTTTGATATAGAATAAAGTTTTAGAAGCTAATGTACAATGTAATATCAATGTCCTACAAGTAAAAGTACTTACAGTGACTACAAGCCTATAGCTACATAATATGTAACTTTGAGTTTGTGAATTACTTGTAAATATATGATATTAGTAATTCGCTTTAACAAAAAATGATATTCTCTATATATTTGAGAATCCATTCGTTAGATGTCGTTACCACACGATACGAGGTTATGAAATGACGTATTACCAGTCCAAGATTTGATAAAGTATTATAAATATAATGGAGAGACTTTTCTTAGATAAACCTTTTATATATTTAAAACAACGTTTATTTTCAAGATCCAAATCAATTAATCAAATATGTTTATTCGGGATATTATTTTTAAATCGGACCCATTTTAGCGATCGTTCGATAGACACATGGTTATGGCTCTTTTTTTTGGCGAAATATATTTCATTCATGTCAAATTGCTTGTAGCATTAAGACAATCAAAGAGCTGAGAGCATTCTAAGCTAAGGCATCACTGCATCAGTCTCTATATTATCTGCACGAGGGATAAAACAAAATACAATAGATTCAAACTCAGCTATACTAGCTCTAACATATTATGGCCCTTTAACAACAAAAATATCCAATAAACATACTATCTGTTTTTTAAATTTCACGATCATGTATTTACCTAATTAAATTCTATATTTGGCTTTTCACATTACTCAAAGTCTAACCCAATTACACCCTTTTAGGTTTGTTAAATCTAAATAGCCACCTCACTTTTGGATAAAATAATCCAAATTCAAACTTTGAAAAAATTATGAAAATGGACCCATGACGTTTTACACTCTCCATAGTTGACCTTGACCCCATGAGTCCAGCCAAAACATGGGTTTGGTTACACAGTGACTGACATAAATTTCTAAATATTCACGAGGATGAAAACAAAGCAAATACTAAAAATAGTTCTTATCCAATAATAAAAACAATCTCGTGTCTACAGTCTACGGTCTACCCATATCTTTTCATCAAATTACAAAAAATCTTAGCTGGTCAAATTTCACGTTCAGTTACCCCCAAAAAGTCAACTTCCTTAGAGATACGTTCTTATCCAAAATCAAAATTTAACTAGTATGTACATGCCAACTGATCAACACATTAGAGTTCCAAGTTTAGATCGGATCAAGCCGTTAATTATTAAATTGCACATGTAGTTAGGATCCGTAATTAGAATCATTGATCGGGTCTTAAGTATTTTGATCACAAAACAAATTTCTATAAATATATAAATAAAAAGATGTGGATGACTCTTGTCCCTTGGATTCAAATAACTAACTAAATCCTCTCTTTCAAGCTTGTGGCTTTCACGAGTACTGTCTTTGCTTTGTTGTCATCTGTTTTTTTTTTCTCTCTATATAATCAACGAATCTTCTTTGGCAGTGAGAGAGAGATTAAGACCAAACTCATAACTAACTTTCAGACAAAAGCTTAGAATTGGGAGAGACATAGATCAAGTCTGTGAACATTATAATTTTTCTGATTATATTTTCTAATCGCGTGGTGGTGAATTAATCATGGCCGATCAAATCATCACCGGTGAGAATCCGGTCGATAAATCGGTCGAGAAACCGGCCAGAGTTAATAGATACGCTCTTCAGTGTGCTATTGTCGCCTCCATCGTCTCCATCATCTTTGGTTACGGTAAGTATATTATTCAAAATCTCCAAAACGAACAATTATTGTTGAACATCAATGAGATTTTAGTTTGAAATGCTGTTTAACAAAATGAATATTAGTCTACATATAGAAATAATTAATGTACTTTTTTCCGTCTGTGTTGGTAATTTTTCTAAATTTCAAAGGCTAAGATATTATACATTCATTATATTTGACAAAAAGTGTCTTAATTTCTTTTATAAAAAATTTTCTCTACAAATTTTTCTTTTGATTTGATCTCTAGATACTACTCAGCCATTTAAAATCATGTAGAATATTATTTATTTATATATAATAAATTATTTATTTAAATTATTTATTTATATATAATGATCATGAGAAATGATAAAATATGGTATTATTGGGTATTTGTGTATAGATACTGGTGTTATGAGTGGAGCAATGGTGTTTATAGAAGAAGATCTGAAGACGAACGATGTCCAAATCGAAGTTCTCACCGGAATTCTCAATCTCTGTGCCCTTGTCGGATCATTGCTCGCCGGAAGAACATCGGACATAATCGGACGGCGTTACACAATCGTTTTGGCGTCAATACTCTTCATGTTGGGTTCAATACTAATGGGATGGGGTCCGAGTTATCCGGTTCTCCTAACCGGTAGATGCACAGCCGGACTCGGAGTCGGTTTTGCTCTAATGGTTGCTCCGGTTTACTCTGCAGAGATCGCAACCGCTTCACATAGAGGACTCTTAGCTTCCCTTCCTCATCTTTGCATCAGTATAGGGATCTTACTCGGTTACCTCGTCAATTACTTCTTCTCCAAGTTACCTATGCATATTGGTTGGAGGTTGATGCTTGGAATAGCGGCGATTCCGTCACTGGTGCTAGCGTTCGGGATCTTGAAAATGCCGGAATCTCCACGGTGGTTGATTTTACAAGGCCGTCTCGGAGAAGGCAAGAGGATACTAGACTTGGTATCGAATTCGCCTGAAGAAGCAGAGCTACGGTTTCAAGACATCAAAACCGCTGCAGGAATCGACGCGAAATGCGAAGATGAAGTTGTGAAAATGGAGAATAAGAAGACTCACGGAGAAGGAGTTTGGAAAGAACTCATTTTAAGACCAACTCCTACAGTACGACGAGTTCTTTTAACCGCTCTAGGGATCCATTTTTTCCAGCACGCGACCGGAATCGAAGCCGTGCTTTTATACGGTCCCAAGATATTCAAGAGAGCAGGAATCACGGCAAAAGACAAGCTTTTCTTGGTTACGATCGGTGTCGGGATCATGAAGACGACGTTTATTTTCACGGCTACTTTCTTGCTCGACAAGGTAGGTCGGAGGAAGCTTTTGTTGACCAGTGTTGGAGGGATGGTCTGCGCGTTGACAATGTTAGGGTTTGGGCTTACGATGGCTCAGAATTCTGGTGGGAAATTGGCTTGGGCTTTGGTTCTGAGCATCGTTTCGGCGTATAGTTTCGTGGCGGTTTTCTCTATTGGGCTCGGCCCAATAACTTGGGTCTATAGCTCTGAGGTTTTCCCGTTGAAGCTTCGGGCGCAGGGAGCGAGTCTCGGCGTTGCGGTGAACAGAGTGATGAACGCCACAGTGTCGATGTCGTTTTTATCGTTGACTAAGGCGATAACGACCGGCGGAGCTTTCTTTATGTTCGCCGGAGTCGCGGCCGTGGCGTGGAATTTCTTCTTCTTCCTCTTGCCGGAGACGAAAGGAAAGTCGCTTGAAGAGATTGAAGCGCTTTTTCAAAGAGACGGTGATAATAAAGTACGCGGCGAAAACGGCGCAGTTTAAGGATTTTTAGATATGTGTTGTTCTTTACGCTTTAAATGCAACGACTACGTTTTAGTGGGTTCTCATACGACACCGTGTCGGTGTTCTCTGTGTGTGGCTTTTATCAAAATTATAAACCAACGGCCATGATCGGCGCACACGTTTAGTATTTGTTACCAATTTAAGATCAACGACTCGTACAGTGCCAGTTACTAGCAAACAATGGCCCAGTAGTAGTGAAGAGACTAGAGAGTGAGCTATTAAAAAAGAAAAAGAAAAACTCCTCTTAGATCAAAATCGAGCCGACACTTTCGCGATTACACTGAATCTACTGAAATCGATTCATGAGAGCTTGGATTTGGCTATCGGAGACTTTAGATTTGGTGTAATCATCACCATCACGCTAAATTCTTGAGTGTATTGAATCTTTGAGACCGAGATGAAGGAGGAGGATGCCTTGCCGACGACGACGTCTACAGGTACGGCGACGGGAACAGCTATGGCGAATTCGAAGAAGGATAACTCAGACTCGGCCTTGTTTGGAAGAGGCCGGTACAAGTTCTGGGCATTTGCTGCTATTTTGCTTCTGGCTTTTTGGTCGATGTTCACTGGTACCGTCACTCTCCGGTTATCCACCGGAAATCTGAACCGGTTATCCGACGATCGCGGGTTTACAAATTACGAGAACCTCGACGTTCTGGTTAATCTCTCTCCCTCCCTCTTTTATCTTCTCGATATTTCGGGTGGTTTTGGTGTGTAATCGATTGCGGATGATTTTTTTGGGATTTGGATTTGTGATTTTAGGAAATGGAGGAGAGAGAAAAAGTGGTGAAGCATATGTGGGATGTATACACTAACAGTCATCGGATCAAATTGCCTAGATTTTGGCAAGAGGCGTTCGTAGCTGCTTACGAAGAACTCACCAGTGATGTTCCTGGGGTTAGAGACGCTGCTTTTGGTGAAATCGCCAAGATGTCCGTTGAGTCTATCCCTCTTGATCCACCTCCCTCTCGATCAATGGTGATGATTTTTTTAATTCAAATTTAGTGTTTTTGACTGGATTGTCTAGTTTTCATTGATGGGTCTTGGATTAGTTTCTTACAAATGAGTAGATACAGTTTGAATGGATCTGAGAACTTGCCTCTGGTTGCAGTACTCTGAGTTCTCTCTCTCTCTCTCTCTCTCTCTCTCTCTCTCTCTCTCTCTCTCTCTCCAGTGTTTCTATAAATGGGCTGGAGTAAATAGTAGTCTTTTTAAATTTGGAATCTTGAGTTCAAGTGTACTAAGGTTGCTCAGTTATTGGTGACCAGATATATGGATATATTCATTGATACGTTTAACGGTCAGGGTTAGTGATTTTGGAGATTGGGAGTGAAGATCGAGTGTTAGGTTAAGGATATTAAAACTTAGAGGTAATGGTCTCTATGTTTCAATAACATCGTAGCAGTGATAGACTCTGTGGTAGCATGTGATTCAGTAGGTTATGTAAATCTGTTATGAGATTTCAGATAGCTATAGCTTTATGTTTTGTTTCTTGCATTTATTGCGAACCCCATTTTGTAGAAGTTGGTTGGTCAAGTTTGGTAGAGCTTCTTTCATCACTCCAAGTTGGAATTCAATGATTCAACTTTAGATTTCTTCTTTTCGGTTGTGCATGGTCTATTGCATCTATAATCTCTCAATTTTTCTTATATTTTTTTCTGGTTTGTTCTCAGGACGCAAGGGAATTGAGAAGAAGCTTGAAGAGAATTCCACACAAGCCAGCAGCGAGTAGCTGATGGTGATATTGGTAACACACCTTTACATATAAACCTACGATCATTTCTACTTGCAGCCAAAAGATGAACACTACGAAATGGATAGTTCAATTTTGGGATATTCATATTCTTGATCAAATTGCTCCTTTTGCATTGTATTGATTGGTAATTACATAGAGCTGCTTTTATAAATATATGTACACTCATGGATACTTATGATATATGTCTTCTTCCGAGATCTTCAAACCTGGGGACTCCTGAATCTGTGTTTTAGTGGCAAATTCACCATTGCCAACGTTTTGCCACTATAGATTGCATCAAATGAAGACTTGACATGAAATAAAACATGATATTTTCTGTCCGGTCATTATTACAAAAGAGATAATGTTGATATCCCATTATCCATTGTTTGCAAAGTCATTACCTGTGATGCAAATACAATCAAAACAAAGAATTGAAGTCTAAATGACTAAAAAAACAAAAAAAGGAATAAACCCAATTCTCAAAAAGAAAGATTCTGCGCGGGTTTTTTACCCTCCTCGTATAAAACGCTTTGACACAGGTGAAGGAAAAAAAAAGAAAAGAGTAAAGAGAAAAATGAAGTGTCCGTACTGTTCATCGGCGCAAGGACGGTGTGCCACCACAAGCTCCGGTAGATCAATAACGGAGTGCTCGTCTTGCGGTCGCGTAGTGGAAGAACGGCAGACGCAAAACCACCACCTCTTTCATCTCCGCGCACAAGACACTCCTCTCTGCCTAGTCACTCCCGATCTTCAGACGGCGGCGCAACCGTCTCCGGAAGACGAGGAAGATCCGTTTGAGCCAACCGGATTCATCACCGCCTTCTCTACCTGGTCACTCGAGCCCAGCCCGATCTTCGCTCGCTCTTCCCTCTCCTTCTCCGGTCATCTCGCTGAGCTCGAACGAACCCTAGAACTCGCTTCTTCCGCATCGAATTCGTCGACGGTTGTGGTGGACAATCTTAGGGCTTATATGCAGATCATCGATGTGGCGTCGATTTTAGGGCTTGATAGCGATATCTCAGAGCATGCTTTCCAGTTGTTTAGGGATTGCTGCTCAGCTACTTGCTTGCGGAACAGAAGCGTTGAAGCGCTAGCCACTGCTTGCCTTGTTCAGGCTATTAGAGAAGCCCAGGAGCCTAGAACTCTTCAGGTACACCCATTTCATCTCTAGTTTCAATTTGCAGATTCAAGTTTCTGCGCCTCAATTCCATTTGCTAGATATACGATTAAGAGCTTCAATGGGTCTCCTTTGAAAACAACAATGAATTGGAGTAATATGCTAAATGTCTTGTGTTCTTAGAACACCTTTTCTTTGTGGATGGAATTATTTGCATCTGCCTTGAGCCATCTGGTTTGTCCATTTCGTTCTCAGCAATGCGATTTCTGAACAGCTGTATCAGCATTGCGAAGTTTTCGAATTTAGGAACTAGGACCTACTATGCTAGGTTTCTGAAGCTTTTGTGTTTGCTGGGAGGAATCAAGCTGCTGTGTTGGTGTACTATTTTTGTCTGAGCTTTGATGCTTAATCAGTTACTGTTCTTATCATTTTCCCTGGTTGTTTGATGACATTTTTTATCTTTAGAAAACATAAATTTAGTTTCTTGAGTCAGGTTTTGTTACCACCAAATGTGGACCATTACTTCGGAACTTAGATATAAGCATCACTTCGTGGAACTTGATTTAAGTTCATTAGTGGGACTGGATTTCTGTCTAATGTCTTTTTCTTGCTTTGCACAACAGGAAATCTCCATTGCAGCCAATGTACAGCAGAAGGAAATTGGGAAGTATATCAAGATTTTAGGAGAAGCTCTACAACTAAGCCAACCCATCAACAGCAACTCTATATCAGTTCATATGCCAAGATTCTGCACTCTACTTCAGCTTAACAAATCTGCTCAGGTGTGCCACTGAACTTGTGCTTCTTTTTCAAACATGTATACTTTCTCCCTCATTTATTGAGATTTAGAGTCTTAAAAGTGTCCCATTGCTAGATCCAAAATGCTACCCTGATACCTTTCCTGATCCCAAAAAGTTTGTCTGTTTTAAATATTCCTAGGAACTGGCAACACATATTGGAGAAGTAGTGATCAACAAGTGCTTCTGCACCCGCAGAAACCCAATCAGCATTTCTGCAGCGGCTATCTATCTAGCATGTCAGCTTGAAGACAAACGAAAGACCCAAGCAGAGATTTGTAAAATAACCGGACTAACCGAGGTAACCCTACGCAAAGTATATAAGGAACTTCTAGAGAATTGGGACGATCTGCTTCCATCTAATTACACACCAGCTGTCCCACCAGAGAAAGCATTTCCCACTACCACAATCTCCACAACCCGCTCAACAACTCCCAGAGCCGTGGATCCACCTGAACCGAGTTTCGTGGACAGAGAAAAACCACCGGTTAAACCAACCGAAACTTTTGATCATGCACACCTACAGCCTAAAGGCAAAGAAGATAAGCAGCCAAAATTCAGACAGCCTTGGCTGTTTGGAACTGCCAGTGTCATGAACCCAGGGGAGTTGATAAGTGAGCCAGGAAAAGCCAGTGCTATGGACTTTGATAAGCAACAACTCGATAAGCAGCAACTTGGTGATAAGGAGACAATGCCTATATATCTAAGGCAACATAACCAGTTCTCTTCAAGTCCATCTCCATCTTCAGGTATCAGCACAATCAACTGGTCATTCCGGCCTTCTGGTGTCCCCGGGTCCTCGATCAACTTGCCTGTTGTTCATCCGCCAAAACTGCCTCCGGGTTATGCTGAGATTAGAGGTAGTGGATGTCAGACAGGAAACAAGAATGCTAATAATCCCCATGGAGACTTCTGCTAGAGAAACTATTATATTAGTCTTCAATGTGACAATGGTGATCTTCAGTTGCTGTTTAACTCAATGCGCATACTCTTGTCTTAGCGTTTCAACATCTTGGCTATACAGTGTCATGATCGTTGCTCTATGGTTTATGAATATAATTATGGTCCAATTCTTGGACTCCAATTGGTAATCAAATTTTGGTTTATCCCTTATTCTTGATTTGTTTGGAAACTACGGTTCAGTCTTAGCAATTAAATTTGTTTTGTCCTTATTGTTATAAATTTCTCTTTCTCTTTTAACTTCCTCCTATTTTCACAATTGGTACCTGACGGTGGTGTATTTATACTCACGCGCATGGTGTGACGTGTACTAGATAACGATGGCGAGGGTATTTCCGTATTTAACGAAGTGCATTGTGCTGAGGGATTGGGAATACTCGCTCTCTTCTGTGTGCTGATGACAGTGAATGCAGATGAAGATGAATCTGAGGATTCGTTAGGCATGATTCGTTGCATGGTCAGGGATAACAGAAGAAAGTGACACACCTAGAACAACACCTTGTCCCTTTCTCGGTTATCCCACACAACATCGTCACTCCATAACGATTCGGAGCCAAGCTGGCATCCGCAAACCCAAGTTGATAAACAAACACAAAGATCATTGATCCGTACCGTCCAAACTCTCCACGTCATCTATCCTTATCTCACGAAACCAACGGTTTAGATTCGTTTTCGATTCTCCATCCCTCTTAGGATTTGTTCTGTGTTTCTCCATTGTTCTTTCGACTTCATAATCTCTCTGTTTTCACCCTGTTTCTTACTCGTAACGGGATAAGAAACAAAATTAGGGTTTCCTAGTCTGGCTGGTTGAGAACAAGCTCGCTCTCGTTGATGGTTCTATAATTTCACGCAACGTCTTGTTTGATCTCCGATCACCTTCAGGATACGTTCTTCTTCTCGTTTCTGAATTGATCGGAGGAAAAACAGAGTTTGTCTTACAGGAGTTTATATCTGCAGTCCCTATCCGTTAGATTCAGTGTATTAGGATTATAGATTATTGTTTTGCATGGAAGAGATCTGGGAGAGAGCCGTGAAAACGGCATTAGTCGGCGAAACCGAGCCTCTGGCTGCTCGGATTCTTACTCTTGACGGTGCCGTCAAGTGCTTCCAAGGCCATCTTCCTCGGCCGGAAATTCTCGAGAGATTTCAGAACCTGGAGCACTTATCTATAGCTAGTATCGGCGTTTCTTCGCTTGATCAGTTCCCGCGGCTTGGAAAACTCCAGAAGCTTGTCCTCTCTGACAATAGAATCGCTGGTGGCCTTGAGTTTCTAGTCCAGGCGGGTTTGGATTTGCTCCGTGACCTTGATTTGTCTAATAATCGGATACATTTGATAGAGGATTTGGTGCCTTTAGCTCAGTTGAAACTTGTGTCGCTTGATCTGTATGAATGCCCTGTGACGCGGATGAAGGATTATCGATCTAGGGTTTTTGGGTTGGTTAAATCGTTGAAGTATTTGGATAAGATGGATGCTGAGGAGAATGAGAGACCAGAGTCGGAGGATGAGGACGATGATGAAGAGGAAGACGAGGATGGGGACGAAGATGATCCCGAGAGTTGTGAGATTGATGGTGAGGAGAGGCCAAATGTGATGAGCAATGGGGACAGTAAAAGGCTTGAAGGGGTTGTGGAGGTTGATGAAGAAGAGAGCGAAGCTGATGAGGAAGAGACAGAGACGGGAAGACAATCAAATGGGGTGAGTGACCATGCCAATGGGTTACCAGATGAACATAAGAATGTGGACGAAGAAGAAATTGATGACAGCGATGAAGATGGGAAAGATGAAAATGACGACGATGGTTTTCTTGTTGGTTATAGTCATGATGAGGAAGATGTGGGCGAGAGTGACGAAGAGGTGGATAACGATGAGGGACATCTTAGGGTGCCACTTGATGGGCATGAGGAAGTGGCAGAGGAGGGAAGAGAACCAAATTGGATGATTGATTTTGTTGCTAATGGATCTCAAAATGTGTTTCTGAATGTGGACGATGAAGATGACAGTGATGAAGAAGAGGGGAGAGATGAATATGATGACGATGGTTTTCTTGTAGATTATAGTTGGGATAATGATGAGGAAGATGTGGGCGATGGCGAAGAAGAGGTAGATCTTGGTGTGCCACATAGGAAAGAGTTGCTGAGGAACATCATAATTGGGGAGATTGATGGGGACGAGCTGGACGAGGAGTATATTGGTGAGAGCCGGGAAGAAGAAGAAGAAGAAGGCGTTAAGGATGATGAAGAAGAGGTGAGATTTTATCTTGTTGTAATGTTTTATAACTAAGTTTTTTTTTTGTGATTAACTGATGAGTTTTGACAGGATGAAGAATATGAAGCAGAGCACCTAGCTCAACCTGTGATGGAAGCAATTGAAGTAGATGAGGAAGTTGAAGGCGAAGAAGAATATGAGGACGATGAAGTTCAGGTTTTTTATTCAATTGCATCATCTAATAACCTTAAGAGGAAGAGAGACGAGGATGATGATGGAGATTCTGGTTCCAGTTCTTCGGACAACAATGATGATGATGGTTCAAGTGATGATGATAAATGAGTAGGAGAGGACTCTGAAGAGAGTTTGATAACTAGGAACTTTGATTAGGACTAGGAATATAATAGGAATAGGAGGAGGTACTTCAAAAAAGACGGGTTTAAAGAAAAAAGGTGTGAATTTTGGCGCTAATGTTCTTCGTGAGGAAAGACGTTGGTATTTTAAATGGCAGTTAAGGAGTCTGTTTTTTTTGCCGCCCCAACACTCTTTACCTAACTTGAAAGGGCAAATTGAGGAATGAATGTTTATGGTTTTCTTATTTGTTTAAAAAAGAAAAAAGGCTCCGAAAACCGTCAGTCATTTTTTGCTGGATTGGAAGGCTTACAAAGCACGTGGGAAGATGTGATGCATATAGTTAGTGTAATCGGACGGTCCATGTCAAACAGGTCATTCTCATAAAGTGTGCATTCCTTTCTTTCTTTTCCCACGGAAAACATTCAAGTGACATAATAAGCTTGGGCTTAACCATGGTGGAGGTTAAATACAACTTTGAATAATAGAGTAGATTCGAAGGTCATTCCTTGGCTAAACAATGCGCTGGTTCCTTGTAACATCTTTTTGTGCTCTGAAAACTGTGGTAATGATACTTAAAAGCCCACGATTGTGTATCGTTTACCCAGATTATGGATACTGGAGTCATCATCTTCATCTCTTAAATGCCTAATGAGTAGCTGACAATCGCCTTCAAAGATAACCTTTTTAAAACCCATAAATTTGACAGATTAAAATGTCATTAATAGAGCTTTACCCTCAGCCTCAATTGGTGAAGTTGCCTCGCCTGAATTTTCCGCTCCCGAATTGTCCCTTAAGATCCATTCCATGGAGCACAAAAGCATATGGAAAAAAAAAGAAGAAAGAGAATCTGTTCACAATCGCACAAATGTCTCTTCTCCTAGTCTATCTTTCCAGAATGATGATTTTGAAATAAAATCAGGTTTAAACAGCACTGAAGTTTCAAATATCGAAAGGACAAATTTGTTGGCTTATGATAATGATTGTTTCAATAATCCGAGTTGTCTGAAGTTTTGGAAAAAAATCATGCCGAAACTAAACGAAATTTCTTAAAGAGATTGAGAGAGGGAGAGGTTGACTTACATATTCATGTGTAGATCGAGATTGAGCCTGCGATTCGAGATGTTAGCTAGTCGTTGATGCTTCTTGCACAATATCAAGAGCATAAATAAATACTTTGTGACCTTGTGTTTGATTGCTTAGATTATCTGACGTCATTTGATCGTGGGCTTTGTATAGCCCAGTGACGTTCGTTGCCCATTATTAGTTTTTTTTTGTAATAGTCCAGTGACGTTCGTTGCCATAAATTTGTCATAAATTTTTTTTTGGATTCTATCGAAAATAAATAAAAGAAATACATATATGGAAAGAGCCGTGAAGGAAATTGCTAGGAAGATTCAATATTCCAATGAGAAAACGTGCTTAGGTACGACGCATGGAATCGGTAAACGCCAACAACCCATAATAGCTGTCCATTTCCTAAAACGTATTTCTTTTATTTTAAAAATTGCTTTTTTTTTTTGTTCCTTTTATGTAAAACAACCGAACCGCCTCTCATTAAAAACGCCCCTAAACACGTAACCTCCCACCCAAGAGATCACACTTGGGCCGTTGATCTTTTATCTAATCATTCGATCTCGTCCGTCCATTAGTCATAACCCTTTGTGTATAAAGATAACGCGTTGATCTCTAAATTTTCCATACCCGCTTTTCTTCCTCCTTTCATTCAACTTTCGGTTCATCATTTTCTCCAGATCTCTCAGCTCTTTCGGTGCATATGAGTCTTCTCGGTATAGATCGTCGTAGCTCAGCTCACGATCTACGTATCGACGTCGTATCCACACGGATCTAGTTACTCTGGTTCATCCATGGATAGAAGACGAATCGTAGCGGCTGCGATCTCCGAGGATCGGTTGAAGAGCTGGTAATCATGTCCTCCTCTCGTAGCTGGATCTGATTATTGATTCGTTTAATTCGATTGGATTCTTATGTAATATTATTTATATCGTTGATATCGGTTTCCCAGATCTGGATCGAGAAAAATCGGAATCGAGATTCGTCGATTGCGTTTTGATGAGTTGATGATTTCGCCAGTCAGTTCTCGAAGGTGGGAGAAGGAGAGATTGAAGAAGAGCGAAGAGGAAGCAGCAGGAGATATGTTGTGGAATTGATATGATGAGTATTGAGATTTGAAGGATGTATGAGATGTTTTTTTAGGGACGATAAGTTCTGATTAAACATCTTTGTCATCCGACCTTTGCCATGACAGGTGCGCTTGCATGGCAGGTCACCAAAAAAATCCTTAATAAAAAAAAAAATAGTTTCGTGTTGGTGAGGGGAGTTCGCACGGGGATAATTCTTTTTTTATTTTGCCCGGGTTCTCCCCTCCCCTTTTGTCTTGTTGCACTCGCTCTCACACTTGCTTGATCTATCTCTCTCTATTCACAAAATATCTCACTATCATCCACACAGAAATATTTTGAAACGATCCAGATCGTTTGAACAGCTGATCTGGAGACAAAACGGGGCAATTCCTAAATACAACTTCCTCCATGGAGAAACTCGAAAGGTACTTCTAATTTCAATCTTGAATTTTAATTCTCCATTTAGTTATTTATTCACATCCTTTAACTCATCTGACTCGCAAGTATTCATTTACCTCAAATCGGCTGCAATTTCAATTTTGCTCATCGAGATAGAGAAAGATCATTACTACTCAATATTGATATGTATCGATGTTAATTTGAATTTCTTGTTTATCATTATAATAACACCGTGCAACAGTTGACTACTTTCAGAATCGCCATGAGTTTTTATGTTAATTATTTTGTATGTATGAACAATCTTTTTGAGAAATTGTATCCAGTTTTGTGGGATTACATAATGAACAATCAACAGAAAAATTACTTTGCGCCGTACTGTAAACATATTGTACTATATTTATGATATTTCTAGAGTGTTGTTGGGAATGGCTTTGATGACCTGGATTTGCTCTCACGGCTCCACTGGGAGGAGCTTAGGATAAGCAGCCACTAGAAGAAGAAGAAGCTTTATTTACATGCTCAAGGTATCTAGAACAAGTAATTTGTCCGTTTTGTTTCTTGTATGATGTCTTTTGGACACAATTCAAGCCGGCAGCTCTTAGTTCCTTAACAAAATATTTTTGTTGTTGATAGTTGAAGAAGCTCCTCGATTTTGAGCTAAACTTTTAATAGATGTATTGTGTGGTTACAATGGTCTTTAGTCTGTTGCACACACACTATGATGGGATCAACTCTTTTGAATGAGAGTAATTTCAGTTTCGATTTATGCATTTATATTTATTTATACTTTGGATCTACTGTATAAAATAATTGCCAAATGAGGTACATGTTAAAGTTTGTTTGATCTGTATAATCTAATGGGTTTATATTAGACTTTTGCCGTTCTCTAGGGTTTTTTTTCATCATGGTGGTTGAAGTTGGGAAAGATTGGAGCGACAAGTTAATAATATAATTCCTCGGAAGCCCACAGGGGTGGGCTAAATCAAGTGGGCAAGGTTTGTGTTAATAGATCTGTAAGCTCAAACGGTAGAGCTCTCGTTATGAGAGGATGGTGGTTCGAATCCACCCAGATCTGTCTATTTTCTATCTCCCTACATTTATCCTTAACAATGAATATTGAATAGTATAATTTTGATCTAATTTCAAATGATTATGAACTGCGGTGTTATCAAGGCAGGCGTAAAACTACCATTTTTTTCCAGAAAAGGAAGTCTTTTTGCTGTCGGCAATTGGTGCGAGGGAAGTTGGAACCAAGCACACATCGTTAAAGCAATGGCGTATATATTGATATATACTACTCAGATGCATATTAGTCTTGAAAGGAAAACTTGAGCGGAGATATTGAAACAAGCTGCCAAAATTAATATTACTGAGAAATGCAATTTGTTTCTTCTTCTTTGAGAAGTTCTCATATATTTTTCTAAATGATGATCACTTACCAATGAAAACATAGAAATACTTGTAGCTACGGCCAAAACTTAGAAAAACTGGTAGCTACGGGCAATAAACTCAATCCTTTTGGACAATAGATTTTCCTCAGCCTGAATTTGAAGTGTATATAATGTCAAATTTGTTTTCTTGTTGATGCTATATTACTACATTTTTCTACCGCTTGTTGTATTAGGTGGTGTTGTTGTGACATTATGGGCAGCAATGAATACCAAAACTTAGATGCAACAATAACGATTGATGACGTATCTGCCCAACTAAAATCTTTAACTTCATTGATGACGTTTTCTTCGATTATAAGATTACTGATAATCGAGTGACGACCAAACCCCATTGATCTCTTTCCTCTTTCTCTATCCCTCCGAACAGTTTCCTCTGATGATTGAACTAGCTGCTATTAAAGGTGTTTGTCATTGCGTTTTGAGTTGCCATTAAGTTAATTAATAAAGTCTTTGAACCAGGAATCATTTCGGCTTCGAGGTTGGCTCTTGTAAACAAAGAACAACTAGTGACATATCTACGTAATGTTTAGGGTTACTTGTTTAGATCCAAATATATTTTCACACAAGTACCTTAAACGAGTTTCGAGCGATGTTTGTAGTTCTGGAATGTTTTTCATGGAACTGGTTTCAGGTAAACAAGCGTTGTGGTCTAAGTGTTTTTCTCTAACCAGACTGGTCAAAGCATTATGTCTTTTCACCTGATACGAGTTCCATGAGGATCACTCCCGAAACTGTTAACGTTTCACTTACGGTATTTATGTAGAAGTGTATACATATAATAATATGGATCCAAATAATCCATATTGTTTTGTACTAATGTTGTTAGTTTTTCTTTATCTACAACTACCAGTTTTTAAGCCCCAAAAACGTATATTCTAACATAAATATTTTCATCCAACAGAATGGTATCTGGTTCGATTATTTATAAATGAATTAAATAAGTGACGATATATATATATATATATATTTTTTTTTGGTCAAACTAAAATTGCATTCAAATCAAATGAGTTTTGCCCTCTGCTAAGAGCGGGTACACAAGGCTACAAGGGGCTAAACAAACCAAACCATCGAACCACAGATTGGTCCAAATAATGGTAAAATTTAAACAACAATAACAACTCAAAAAGAGACATAGAGATAAGGGGGAGTTCATAAGCTCAACCCAAGTAGCTTCTAAATAAGTGACGATATGATAGATCCATCAATTTCTGCATCAACATATTTTCTTTCGTTTTTTTTTTGGAATGCTTAGCTTCAATTTATTTTCTTGTTTCTTTTTGTTTTTGATCTATATTTCTTTTTGTAGATGGTATTTATAGAGATTTCTACTTCATGTTGTGTTGTGAGATAACGTTAATTTTACTGTGGGCTAATTACACGGTGCTGATTGAAATCGGCAACATCGAACACTAAAATTTTGATGTGGCAAGAAAAACGATTGACGATGTAACTGCCCAACTAATCTTTAACTTAATCGATGAGCTGTTTTTGGATTATAAGAAGACGAAGAAGAAGAATAGTATTTTTAAACAATGATCTTGTTCCCAGTATATACCTATTTGAGAGACAAACGATCAAAAATTATATATTTTGGTAATAAAGATGATGAAAAACTATTAAATTAAGAGCGATAAGGGTCGGATTAACGTCACATGTTCTGTGCCATTTAATAATTGTTGCAATGTCAATGCTGTTGATTTAATCAAAGCCATATATGTTAATTATATAGTACGTGTACCGTTTAATTTGAATAAACCACATCATACGATCTTAACCGAATCTTTAATGTTGAAAATCAATATTTCGAGTAAAACGTTATATTTAAACTTAGTTTATTACTCTGATGCTGTCTTTTCTGGACTTTATTTTGTTTGGTTTGTCTTTGTCTACCTAACCCATGAAAGAGTGGTTTGCACATAATGAATTTTCAAATTTGGATACATTTTCTTTCTTAGAAGGTAATTAGTGAATTTAATCATTTTTAAAATTAGAATTACTTTCTTCTAGATCGTGAATCGTGATAGTGATAATGAAGCAATATAAATAAATGAAAAGTCAAAGACCAGATAAGAGTTTCGCTAAACGTGAAAGAATGTTAAGATATCATAAATCACCAAATCATTATAATTGCACGAATTTCGGATCTCTTGTATTTTCTATTAAAAAAAAATTGTATGTATATAAAAAATTTGTATAAAAATTCAAATAAAACAAACAAGTTATTTAATTATTACCAACCAATGGGCCTTCCCATAACCACATTTGGGCCCAGTTTTGAATATAATTTGATAATTTTAATATCGACATAAATTGGTTAAATGTTCTGCAAAATCAATTTTCCCACGTTTCTGGCTAGTCCCTTTGGAGTTGGGAATGATACTCGCGTGACGACGACCAAACCCTCTCTCTTTTTTTTTTTTCTCTCTCTCTCTCTCTCGATCACTGATACAAAAGATCTGTATAAGCAGGTAAGATTCTCTCTGCGTTTCGATTTTGATATTTCGTTTGTCTAAAAATCGAGTTTCTCAATCATACTTTTGTTGATTCGATCGAAATCGAATTACGGCCTCTGCTGTTTTCAAGTCTCTCTCTCGGCGAATCAATTTCCGTGAGCTTCCAAAATTTTTGGTTGATCTGGTTTTATTCAAAGAAATGTTTAGAGTCACGATCAAATGAGTATATCTAGAAATGTTTCATGGAGGAGTTGTTTGAGAATTGTTTTGTTGGATTGAACTCTTCACTATTTGTGGATGTCAAAAGATTAAAAAAATTCTTTTGAGTTAGGAATCATATTTAAATCCATATTTATGTGTGTTATGATTTTTCTAGAAGATATGTGAGTTTCTAGAGAAATTATCGTATACTATGTGTGAAAGAAGATTCAAAGGCCAATTATTAACTAAAACTGTTTACCTCTTTGTAAGATCTTCATGAGGTAATTATACTAAGTAGGAATATATTGATCCCGTTTTAGATGTTAGATTTTTTTTTCCATCAATTATCTATTAATAGCCGATCAAAGCTCCCCTTATTATTCTTGAATCTAATTTAGCTCCTATTGGATTAAAATTCTGTTTTTGTGAAACCTGATTTTATTTGACTTCTATTAAGTATTTTAAAAATGTTTATCTTTTATCCTTTTCTAGGCTTTGAAGCTGTCTCCTTGAAGGTTTTATATTTGGTTCATTAAACATGTTCAAGAGAAGGAATGCTCACCAACTAGAGGATGATTCTCAGCAAGATAACAAGGTCCAAGAAGCTTTTGTTTTCTTTTCTTTTCTAGTATTACTATAACTAATTTCCAAAGTCTTAACATTAATAATATAACTTAAGTAAAACCTCTACAACATTCAGATTAGCAAATTGAGATCCGCGATAGGACCGCTCTCGGGACATAGTTTAGTTTTCTGCTCTGATGCTTCCTTGAGGAGATATTTGGATGCTCGTAATTGGAATGTCGAAAAAGCAAAGCAAATGATTGAGGAGACTCTTAAATGGAGATCAACATACAAACCTCACGAGATCCGTTGGGTAAACATTCAACATCTAAAGACTAAAAGATACATATGTGTTCATTTCTTGATTTTAATTATGATATACTCATTTCAATCTTCTCTGATTATCTACAGCATGAAGTAGCACATGAAGGTGAGACTGGAAAAGGTTCAAGAGCTAGTTTTCATGATCGACAAGGTAGGACTGTGCTTATACTGAGACCAGGATTGCAGGTAATTAAGCGATTTGTCCCTCTTTTTTTTTTTCTAGAATTTCTACTTGAATTAATATCCTTTTTCTCCAAGGATCCAAAATCTCACATCTCAATTATCTTACGAAACAGAATACAACATCAGCAGAAGGTAATATCCGGCACTTGGTGTATCTTCTTGAAAACGCAATCCTTAATCTTCCCAGAGGACAAGAACAAATGTCTTGGCTCATTGATTTTACTGGTTGGTCAATGGCTAATAATCCCCCCATGAAAACAACACGCGACATAATCTACATTCTACAGAATCATTACCCCGAAAGACTCGCTTTCTCCTTTCTCTACAATCCTCCAAGGCTCTTTAAAGCAGGCTACAAGGTATGAAAAAGAGTCACCATTACATAATATTGTCTTTTTGTTTAAAAGAAGTCCCAAAAAAAAACTCTTTAAAGAGTCAAGTTATTCATTACCTACTCTTCTCCCTTTAGGCTGTTAAGTACTTCTTGGACCCAAGAACAGCTCAAAAGGTGAACTTTGTGTACCCAAAAGATAAAACAAGTGATGAATTGATGAGATCACACTTTGATATGGAGAATCTCCCCAAGGAATTTGGAGGAGAAGCAACCCTAGAGTATGATCATCAGGATTTCTCAAGACAGATGTTTGAAGACGATGTCAAAACCGCAAAGTTCTGGGGATTGGAGGAGAAACAGTATCCGAAACCAAACGGTTTCTCTGCATCCGATGTTGTTCCTGAGCCGGCCACTTCTCTTGCATCAGCAGCTAGCTGAGAGTTGAAATGTATCTATATACACAGAAACAAGAAGAGATGAATAAAGGATTAAGGAAGAAGAGCCAATAAAAATCTGCTGCTGACTTGGAGAATGTATACGGTTCCAAGTCTTTGCTCTTCTTTTTTAATATTAGTGAGCCATAGATTATCTTGATTAGCAGAGACGTTTCGTGCCATTAAAGTTTATGTGTGTGTGAGAATATTGTTACCATGTGTAATTGTTTTTGTGTGTATTAATTGAAGACAAGGAGTTGTCATTTTAGTTTTAATGTTTTTCTCAAGTTAGTTATGAAATACAGTTCTGATGGAATTATTCCTGTTGACGTCATATGAAATAATAAAATCCGCAGTTAAATACGTCTCCTGAGTTAAGCAAACATGATCGTTTCCGTAGCTCAGTTGGTTAGAGCGTTGGTCTTATGAGCCGAAGGTCGCGGGTTCGAGCCCCGCCGGAAACATTAGACCTAAATTATATTATAATTTTGCGCTTTTTTTTCACCAACGCACGTTCGATTGTGGAAATCATCCCTGTTCTGATCTCCAAGTGAAATTCAAGCTCCGAATTTGAGTGATTCAAATGTTGTAATAAAATTCGTTTCTTGGTAAATCATTGGACTTCGGGTTTATGATCCAATCGACATTTTCTCAATTCTGAACCTCATCATCATTTCCCAGATATTTATTGATTTTCTTTTCTAATTGTATTTGAACAACATGAATAACTTAACTTGGTAATTCCCAGAAGAAGCGAGAAAAAATTCTCAAAGTCGACGAAAGAGACAATGGTTCACAACGCTTATGATTCGTTTCAGCTTCTCAAGGATTGTCCCGCTCGGATCGATGCTGTTGAATCCTACGGCTCCAAGCTCTTTGCCGGATGCTATGACGGCTCCCTCCGCATTTACTCGCCGGAATCTTCCGCCTCCGATCGCTCTCTTCCCTCGGAGTTGCATCAACAGTCTTACGTGCTCGAGACGACCGTCGCCGGATTCTCTAAGAAACCGATCGTGGCGATGGAGGTTCTGGCTTCGAGAGAGCTGCTTTTGTCTCTCTCCGAGTCAATCGCCTTTCATGGACTTCCTAATTTGGAGACCGTCGCTGTGATTACCAAAGCTAAAGGCGCGAATGCTTACTCCTGGGATGATCGGCGTGGCTTCTTGTGCTTCGCTCGGCAAAAGAGGGTCTGTGTCTTTAAGCACGACGGTAAAAATTCTGAGACTTTCTACTCAATTTTTGAAACTATCCAAAATTGAGATTGATTTTTGGATTCTTGTTGATGATGAGTCGTTTCTGTTGATCGGTGGATTGTTCAGGAGGAGGAGGGTTTGTAGAGGTGAGAGACTATGGAGTTCCTGATACTGTCAAGTCAATTTCTTGGTGCGGAGAAAACATTTGTTTAGGCGTTAGAAAAGAGTATGTGATACTTAACACTGCCAATGGGACTCTCTCTGAGGTGTTTCCTTCTGGTAGGGTTGCTCCTCCTCTGGTGATCTCTCTACCTTCTGGTGAACTTCTTTTGGGGAAGGTAAATATTCTTTTCCCCATTCAACGAATTTGCTCGGTTTTCTTAAATAATGTGTATTTAGATTTCTGAATGTGTATCGTGGGCAACATTGTGCTAGCATCTACATTTGTTGTGTGTGGTATTCTTCTTTGTATCTGACATCTTCTTGGCCCCAATTGTTTTACTTCTACCTGTTCTGTGTTTCAAGGTGTCGTCTTTATTTTTTTCTTCTTCTACTTGTAGGAGAACATTGGAGTCTTTGTTGATCAGAATGGAAAGCTACTTCAGACAGAGAGAATTTGCTGGTCAGAGTCACCAACGGCTATTGTCATTCAAAACCCATATGCAATAGCCTTGTTGCCTCGACGAGTTGAGGTATATAAAGTTCTCCATATCGAGAATCCAGTTTGCTTTTCTTTACACTTCTAGAAACCTGTTATCCTCTTATGCCTTTTTTGGCTTTGTTTTATAGGTTCGCTTGCTACGAAGCCCCTATCCGTTAATACAGACAATTGTTCTTCAAAATATTCGTCGCCTTGTCAAGAGCAATAATGCTGTGATTGTTGGTTTGGATAACTCTGTTCATGTTCTCTTCCCTGTTTCGATCGGTGCTCAGGTATTTACTCTAGCTCTGAGAACATTTGATGTTTCTTGCTGATGCTCTTTCCATGGACGAATATGATAATGTGTTACCTTTTACCTCTTATATCGGTTGACTATGATACAATGATAATATTTTTCAGTTTTCTCTTATTTATACCTGGCATATCCTTTGGCAATGGCAATGTACAATGGCTCTGCTTTAACTCGTAGGAGATGCTTTTGAAATTTTTTGAGAAAGTTAAGTGTCATCGCAGATTGTGCAATTAACGGCTTCTGGAAACTTTGAGGAAGCCTTAGCTCTATGCAAGTTACTCCCCCCTGAAGAGTCAAGTCTAAGAGCTGCGAAAGAGAGTTCTATTCATACAAGGTGTTTAAGGCTAGAGCTTTAATATTTACCCATTAGTGGTAATGTGCAGTTCTATGGGAATTTAATTGTTCATATTAGTTGTCTTTTTATCATGATACAGATTTGCTCATTATCTTTTTGAGAACGGAAGCTATGAGGAAGCCATGGAACACTTCCTGGCATCTCAAGTAGATATTACGCATGTACTTTCCATGTATCCATCCATTATTCTCCCTAAAACAACAATAATTCCTCAACCCGATAAGATGGTGGACATTTCTGGGGATGAAGCATCTCTGTCAAGAGGTTCATCCGGCATGTCAGATGATATGGATTCTTCATCTCCTCGATATTATTTGGAATCTGAAGACAATGCAGACCTTGAATCTAAGAAAATGAGTCACAACACTCTGATGGCTCTTATAAAGTATTTGCAGAAGAAGAGACCGGGTATTATCGAGAAGGCTACTTCTGAAGGAACAGAAGAGGTCATTTCAGATGCTGTCGGGAAAACTTATGGAGCATATGACTCTTCCAAGTCTAAGAAGTCCAACAAGGTAATAGCTGATTCATAACGACTTTTTGGATATAATTTTTTTTGTTGAGGGTTGAGCAACGTTTTCTTGCAGGGCCGTGGTACGATTCCGCTTAATTCAGGTGCCAGGGAGATGGCAGCAATCCTAGATACAGCTCTTCTTCAAGCACTTCTACACACTGGCCAGTCTGGAGCTGCTACAGAATTATTAAAGGGTGTCAACTACTGTGACGTTAAGATTTGCGAGGAGATTCTCATGAAAAGTAAAAATTATTCTGCACTACTAGAATTGTTCAAGAGCAATTCGATGCACCATGAAGCCCTGAAGCTTCTTACCCAGCTGTCGGAAGAGACCAAATCAAACCAGTCACAAACTGAAGCAACGCAGATATTTAGTCCAGAGTTGATCATTGAATATCTCAAGGCAGGTTTTCTCGGTGCTAACTTTTCGTCTGTGTATCTTTAGATTTTTTTAATGGTCGTAGAAAACTACAAATTTGTTAACTACGTTTGATGTTTGTATTGGCTGAAGATAGTTTGCTCTACATTTTCTTGTTGAAGTAGAGTATTTCTAAGAAATGCTGTCATACACTAACTTTTTGCTGGTGGATTTCCCTTTGTAGCCTCTCTGCAGGACTGACCCTATGCTTGTCTTGGAGTACTCTATGCTTGTCCTGGAAAGCTGTCCAACCCAAACCATCGACTTGTTTTTGTCTGGAAATATCTCGGCTGACCTTGTCAATTCGTATCTGAAGCAGCATGCTCCTAATATGCAGGGTAGATATTTAGAACTTATGATGGCAATGAATGAAACCGCAGTTTCTGGAAATCTCCAAAACGAGATGGTGAGGAAATATCACGAATGGGAAGCATTTTATTGAGCTTACGTTACATAAGCGGTACATACTTCTGGCAGTAACAATTTGGATGATGGTACAGGTACAAATTTACCTTTCGGAAGTGCTCGACTTGCATTCTGCAAAGACTGCGCAGCAGAAATGGGATGACAAGGATCATCCTCCCGAAAGGAAAAAACTATTGTCTGCGTTAGAGAGCATCTCCGGATATAGTCCACAAACTTTGTTGAAGCGTCTTCCACGTGATGCGCTCTATGAAGAGCGTGCAGTTATATTGGGAAAAATGAATCAACATGAGCTTGCTTTGTCGATCTATGTTCATAAGGTACCGATCAATAATCTTCTCGTGTACCAAATATCATTAATATCCTTCACCAAATAATCTTCTCGTGTACCAAATATCATTAATATCCTTCACCAAATAATCTTCTCAATGATGGCTAGTTGTAAAAAAAAACTCTTTGCTACGCAATTGCATTGTGCAGATAATTATATCATTATATACAGATAAGTTAATTGTGAACTATGTAGAATTTAGATATCCGTGTGTGTTGCTTATGGCTTAACTTGCTGGTTTTTTTCTTATAGCTTCATGCACCTGATCTGGCGCTGGCTTACTGTGATCGTATATATGAGTCCGTTTCTTATCTACCATCTGGAAAACCGTCAAGCAACATTTACCTCACACTGCTGCAAATATACCTGAATCCTAAGAAAAGCGCAAAGGACTTTGCAAAACGTATTGTTGCTCTAGGATCATTCGAAAGTTCAGACACCACGAAGATGATGGAGTCTGTTTTGTCTTCAAAAGCTAAAGGAGGCCGGTCCAAGAAAATTGTTGCAATAGATAGTGCTGAAGATATTCGAGCTGGTCTCAATAGCAGCACTGACAGTGGAAGAAGCGACGTTGATGCTGAAGAACCTATGGAAGAAGGAAACTCCACCGTCATGATTTCTGAAGTTCTTGATCTGTTGAGCCAAAGGTGGGAGAGGATCAATGGTGCACAAGCCCTCAAGCTTTTACCTAGAGAAACTAAACTTCAGGTAATCGTTTCCCTAAATATCTACTGCTTACTAGCATCTTATTGAAGTTTGACCCATACTTTTATCCAAACCCTGCAGAATCTGCTTCCGTTTCTTGCACCCCTTCTAAGAAATTCAAGTGAAGCACACAGGAACTTTTCAGTCATCAAGAGTTTGAGGCAGAGTGAAAGCTTACAGGTATGTTTGTGTTGTGGAAGCCAAAGTTATAAGACCAAAAGAAAGTTCCCTGTGATTCGTAACAGAGCAAAATTATGTTGAAACAAATAGGTGAAAGAGGAACTGTACAAACATAGGAAAGGAGTGGCGAAAGTAACAAGCGAGAGCATGTGTTCATTGTGTAACAAGAAGATCGGGACAAGCGTCTTTGCTGTTTATCCCAACGGGAAAACGTTAGTTCACTTTGTCTGCTTCAAAGATTCTCAAGGCATGAAAGCTGTTTCTAAGACATCACATGGAAGAAGACGATGAGATAGACGACCATTATTGTAACAAAGACAGGTTCTTTCGACTACTCTTTTAAGTTCAGTTAAAGAAGAAGCTCGTTTCCTTGTTTGTCAGTTTGTAGAGTTCTTTGAGCTTTTTGGAGTCGTTTTTTTTTTCTTTGGTTTTGTGTTCGGTTGAAAAATGATGGTCTTGAGAAAACCAGTTGGCTCTTGTTGTAAAATCCGTTTCGGTTGGAAATTAATTTATAAAAAAAAAAAGATTTCGTGTGGTATTTTAGAAAACGTATATAATTTCTTAAGATTGGACATGATGCAAATTTAATTTGCTCACCTTAATAATATAAAGAAGAACCGAATTATAAAAGAGAGATAACCTTTCTTGAAAGAGGTGAATGTACTCATCAAAAATGATAAACATTTTGAATTCTAATAAAATAGATTATATCCATTACGTAAAAAAAGATACATTCTATCAAATATAGAACAAGTAGAAACAAAAAATTAAAAACAAAATTAAAAACAAAATTTCCAGGGTGATCCCTGAGTAAGAAACTACATTACAATGTCTTCATCTTAGAGAAAGCGTGGAGGCTTGAGCAAGTAGATATCTCTCACCAGCCCTTTACCCATTTCGCCTACCGCCTTTAACATCTCTATTGGATTAGTTTCCACTTCCTCTTCATCTCGTTCTCGTTTCTGCAATCAAACATTACACATTTGCTTCGATTTGTCTCTTCTTTTTGTTTAAAGAAAGTTTTCAGAAGTTTTGCTTTTTACCTTTGAATTGCGTTTAGTCCAAGTTAAACCAATAGCGTCGCCTCCTATATGATCATACCACGGCTTCAACGTCCCAAACTCTTCCTGCACACAACCATACAAGCTAAGAATTCCGAGAAAGCTTTCTTTCTTTGACATTAATTGAATTAAGTTTTAATGTTTTGGTTTTGATTAGAAAACTTGCCTTCAACCCACTCATAAAGCACTTGGTTGGCTCAAAGTCCACCATTAACTTCTTCTTAAGCTCCTCAGGGCTCCTCTTCAAATCTCCAGGTAACATAAAAGGATTAAATGCTGTACTCGCTTTTCCACGTGCTACATGCTTCCCTGCTCAAATCATTGGGAGAGTATATTAATTTATGGAATTAACTATTAAAACATAAGAACTAGAGACAGAGAGCCATGTCTGGGACCTTTGTTAAGTTCTGACGGAAACATAAGACGACGTGGGTAAGGTAATTTGTCTCTATGGAGAAGAATAACTGCGTCATAGTTGTTTAAGGGTGTTCTGAAAAGGCACTGCAACATGTATATGTACGCATTTTGTATTAGTCAACATTGTATAAATTATGTTCTTGCAATACAAGCTTAAAGCAAATTTATTTTCAATGCATCTTACTCACCTCCCATTGAACGGAATCAGTATGTTCTTGCAATACCAGCTTGCTTAACACATTTGCGCTGCTTCGAGCATAAGCCACCAACCTTTTTTGTTCCTTTTACAAAGTATATAGTAAACTTGAGTTAACACAAGAAGAAACATATAGAGTGGTGCTGAATGAACTTTCAGAAAGCTTAGTCTATTACTAACCGATAAACTTGGTGAAGTTGTTGTCCATGCTTCTGATGCCTTGTCGTAAGGAGCAGCCAAGAACATGGCTGAACTTATGTTTTGTCTGTCCTCTTCGTAGCCCTTTCTACTTGACATGAAGTTATCCTAAAATACCATACAGCATTTACATATGGCAGTCCTAACAAATGTAGCTCAACATTAGAACTGTTATAAAACATGGGACTCACGTTGATCTCCTTCTCGTCATTTCTGCCAAAGTCGTTGTTTATGTCAACAATCAACGGATAGAACATCCAGTCGTAGTCTGCTAGTAATCGCAAGAACCTGTTACACAGTCACAGTGAAGAAAGATGTAACGTTTTAATGTTTGGCAGCATCCTTACTTGATTGTTTTTGGTAAAATCAAAAAGTATGGTGGCCGAAAGAAACCTTAATAATCCGTTGATGCGGGAGCAAGGAACACCAAGTGGGAGAGGCGTTAAAAATACATGTGCAACCAAAAGTTCAATGGCCTCTTCAGCCAGGCAACCAGAGAACAGATGGGCAGAAACCCATCTTTTTGCAAGCCTTAAGATAGCAGACAAGGTATGGGGTTATGAAACTTCAAAGCAAATAAAAGTAAACACGTGAAGTTTATCTCCTTTACCTTGCAACTGGTGCATATATAGGAAAACGACCTTGCAAACCATTGATCATGCTTGCATGTTGACTGCGAATGAAAAGCACTTTATCGGCAGAGGAAACATGTCTCACCGGGTCAACTCCAACTGCAACTTAGTAGAAGTTCAGGAAGTCAGTTTCACAAAGGTTTTCTCCTCAGTGATAGCAGATATTTTGAGTGTGCAAGAGAAGATATCTCACTTTCTCTCTTCACCAAACTCAGGCCTCTTTCATGCAAAATTCTCAGGCGAAATGCGTAACCACCCATGAAAACATCAACATTATCCTCAGTAGCTGTGCATGGTATCCCCTCAACGTTCTGAAGGCTGTCAGTATTTTCATTTGTAAGAACTTAATAAGAACACTGTGACCTAATAGTATGAAGTGTTTCTAAGAAAAGTTTAACCCACTTCTCTGCAATTTTAAGGAGGAATGCAGATTTTGTTTTCTCAATTGCCAAATCATCCATGGGCCAGTTACCAGAACCTTCTAGCTGTGAATAGCAAAAGAAAAGGAAAATACTGGGGCGTTGAGATAACTATCTAACAAAAAGTATCTACGCTTTTAATCATCTGAGTACTGATCCCACCTGAATCATGACCTCCATTGTTGGTATGCAAGATGGCATAAGTTTATGTAGTCTTCGAGCATCAATTTTTTCGCAAGCCACTGGGTGAGGTTCAGGAGGGAACACAGATGTGAACCTAAGAGCTGACAAGTGACGAGGGAAATTATATATGAGTAACCACATATATTGCAAAAAAACAGTACACACTTGTTTTTGCTCAAAGCTCAGTGCAAAAGGGAACTACAGGAAACAAACCTGAGTCTAAAGGCTGAACGCTAGAAACTTTTAGTGGTATGCCTTCGATCTGACGCAAGCACTTCGAGAAAACTTCATAGACTCGAAGCAAATTTCCAGATATAGATATTGGGTCTGAGACATGTCAGCATTATTACAGAATTAGATTGAAACCATAATGGGACACACCAGCAATGCATAAACGAAAGAAGTGATAAGTTCAAATGAGTTTGGCAATACCTTTATCCCCATAGATCAGAGAAAAGTCAAGTTGATCCACTAATTGTACAATTTCAACGGACGATAGTGAAAGATGCCTCTTAAAGATATAATCAATCATATGTTTCATGATAAGATGCCTTTTCCACTGCTGAGTCTCCCATACTAAGATAATGAAATAAGCAATATTCAGCTTTAATTAACTTGAAACTTTTTAGTTAAACTCTGCCAAAAAAGCATGTACTGATAACACACCTGTGCTTTCCGCTATTTTTCCATCTTTAAACCTCCTTAACTCAGACTTCTCCCCCCAAAACTTTCGGAATCTGAGTGCCTAGAAAAAGGTAGACTCTTTAGTACGACCCAAAGAGACAAGGGTAAGGAAATCTCGATGTACCTCAATCTTATTTTCAGCATCTGGCCCGATATCGACTGTTCTAAAAGCCTTTTCGATAGAGCTGATAGATATGCCAATGAAAAGTGGTTCTCTGTCAAGAACTGACAACCCCTGTTTCAAAGACAGTTAGGATTATTAGAAAAACGGGCCAATTTTAGCCACATTGAGAAGTAAAATTCATAATCTGAATAAACGTACACTCTCTACATGCCAATCTTGATTTGTATTTCTCCAAATAACGCGGATTGATTTTGCTCTATCACCCAGTCCTTGTTGCAGCAGGCTATGCACTTTCTGCTCATAAATTCTCCAACACTCCTTGTCCAAACAAAACCCTGACATAGACACTGCTGTTTTCCCTTTTAGGTGTAACCTAAGAGAACTTATATGTTAGGATCGCTAAATGGAAGGGAACTAACTAGCACAGGAAAAATTACCGAATTAAGTGGATATAATAGAGTAAAGGCAATTAATAATCTACATATCCAGCAGCTTAAAACCATGGAGGTGAGTATGAACAAATGAAATTGTCCTATCTAGAAATTAAAAATCTCATACGTCCACATGCATGAACACTTCGACAGAAGTAAGAACATAACAGGCTACTTCCATCCCTAGCAACACAAATAGATATCAATCAAGATAAGTGAGCAGTGAGAAGGGAAGCTTACCTTATGCAATGGTCATACTTAACAGGATAGTCAATCTTAGTCGTAAAAACCTCCTCGAATCCTCCATCTCTGAGTTTCATACATTTAAGCGTCGACGAAGCCTCCTCTTGGAGCTGTGCTGACCAACAACAAAATTACATGTGCAAGTCACAAAGACAACCACAGCCTTGGATAAAATATCAGAAAAGCAAACTATATTGAGTAAAAAAAAAATTCCAGCTTAGGATACCTCATGGAATCCAACACTGGTCATCCGGAAAGCCAAATTCACAAGTGCAGACGAATCACATATAACAACAGGGAACAAATCTCTAAAAAGCATTTTCTCCTGAAATTTAAACGTTCATAGTCAGTAAATCACAGTATGCAGAGAACACGACACCTATCTCTGCACATGATAATTTTTATAGAAAATACTTGCTATAGTATTTATCAAGAAGGTCAAGTGCTATAAGAAAACTTGACTGTCATACACGACAAAACTAGTGCCTACATATGGTATTTCCAACAGTATTAAGACTTCCATTTGTAGTCTTCGAATTACCAGAAGATCCCATATAGGTTCAAGCTATACACCACAATGATACTAGAGAGCATCTCAAATTATTTCAGTAGCAAATGAATCCAATAGCACCAGTGCAGAGTCATACCGCTTCGCAAACAAAAATAAAATATTCTGATATGCAAGTACAAAACGCACCTCCTTCGAGACACAATTTTCACTCTGTGGAGGAAAAAATAAACCCCTTTCCCATAATTTAGAAGTGGCTGCCAAACAGAATTAAAAAAATTTGGTTATCAACGTTGCATAATCAAATAATTACAAACGTAGCAAATAGACTTAAGCTGTATTAGCATACCTATGAAATCCAGTGTTACCCTGAATATGTCCAATGCGTTTAGTGACTTGTTAATTTTTCCATGTGTTGCAAGGTATGATAGTATCACAGAGATTAGAAATCCATTCAAGCAATCATGGACGTATATCGAGCTCCTTTGCCGAGCCCATATCTGCACACGACCATAGATGTTTAAGGACTCCAATAAACACCGAGTAACAACAATACTATGTTAAATATCTATACCTTCAGCAATATCAAAGCATCACCCAACTCCTTCCACTCAGAAAAAGTTTTCTCCAGAAGTTCAGAATATTCCTCCAGAAACATGTCCTCCAATATGCTTGAATTGTAAGTTGGTGTGGGCTGCGGGACACCATCTTTATCATCAAGACAAATCAGAATATCAGTAAATTGATGTCTCAATATATTTATCAAGTAGACTTTAGCATTCTTGAAACAAACCGCATTACCTGCAGTTACAGAACGGACGTTGTTTCTGCTCATACTCAACTTTGCAACATCAAACAGTGACGTTGCTGAAGGGATTATTCTTATGGAAAATCCAGGAAACTGATCAAGTCTCTTAGCTGCAAACACATTTTCAACGTAAACACATTGTCACCGTAAAAGATCTAGATTACTATTTATCTTAGCGAAAAAAAAACTAGAGCACACCTACCAGGGTAAACAACTAGGACTGGCTTCCTGGCCTCGTTCTGTAAAGTTGACCATTCAACCTTCTCAAAGGACGACGATGACAGCAAATGCTTTCTAATCACACAAAGATATAGACATCTTTTGACATGGTATCGATGATTCATGTAATCCTTCTCATAGAAACATTCCTACAAGAACCCTTCTATAATTAATATCCAACAACATCGACTCCAAAATCTCGAAATGAGTCAATAGAACTAACCTTAGGCAAGTGGAGAAGAAGATCAACAGAAGCATCCGGCTTTGCCATGCTACGAATGGAGTAGCTGCCGCAGACAGTAAAACCATTTGGCCTCTTAAAATTGAAATCCACTTTATCAGCCCCAATGTCACCAACGAAACTGGGAGCTAGCTCTGAAGTAACCTATAAATTTACAGTTTTTCAATTGTTACAAAAAGCTCGAATTTTTCACATTGACATATGCCCACGACGGACACGTGAAGACAAGGAGAAGAAAAAAGAAAAACCGCAAACATACCTTAATATCCTCAGGGATTGCATCAGTAGCTTCTCTAATCGACGAGACGAAATCGTCCACAGGCTTACTCAGAGAACCGTAATCTATCCGAATGTCTTTTAACAAGTTGTTCACTTTCAGAGTACGAGAGTCTCTCACAGCATCTGAATCCATCTTGACGGGATTGTCGATGAATATGGGTTTAAGAGAAAAAAAGAATGAGAAAAGTTCTGCAATTTAGGGTTTTGCGTCTGAGCGAGGAAGAAGAAGAACTCGGAGCTTAAACCCTTAGCTGGTTTTCAGTTTTCAACTTTTCATTCTTTCCTCAACGTTAATACGCTGTCGTGTTTTAGCATAATTTTATCTCAGGCAAAGGACAAAATACGACGCTGTTTCGATTAACTTAGTAATCGGCCCATCGTAAGCCCAATGATCAAGTTCAAGAAAATACTAAAAGGCCCATAAATTTTTCAAATGACCAAAACTTTTGAACAAAGATATTTGAAGTTTTGACTATCAAAATAAAAACAAAAAATTGGATTAACTGGGTTAAAAGCTAAGGTTAGATATATCTGCTTGATATAATGAATCATTGCCGAACACATAGGACATTACTTAAACTCGGTTTTAAGTTTTTATAAATTTGAATGGTAGTTCTGTTGATAAAAAAACTACTGATAATCGACTTTAGTAGATGTATTTTTCAGTCGGCTACTGAGAATTTTATGAGGTAACTATATATCCTTAAAACTAGATTACGTTTGGTTAATAGAAACTATTTTGTTTACAGTTTTTGAAAATCTTTTTTATTAAATTATTAGTTCAAATTACTTATGGTCTAGTCATCTAAAAGGACAAGTGGTCAAACACCATAGCAAAAACAAAACAAAAAAAATAATATTAATAGAAAAAGAAAAATAAAAACATACCAGTTGGATCTTGTTGCTTTTGAGGTACACAATTTATTTTTCTTTCATTCTCTTTTTTCTACTTTAATTTATCGATACGGTATCTACGTCTTAATTAGAAAAGCTCACGTTAGCTGTGCAAAATCGGTTATTGATATAGACCACCCCGTATATAGTACCTTGTATTAGGGCTGGGCAAAATATTCGTTATATTTTCTTCGATCCGTTATTCGTCTCGATTCGATCCGAAAAATCCGGTTATCCGTAATTTTATGGAGCAAAGCAAATTTTAAAATTCAATATCCGTTAAAAATGGAGCAAACCACAAATACTAAAAAAAATTAAGACGGATATCCGCTCCGCTCCGATATAAATATATATGTATATATAGATAGATAATAATTCATATAAAGTGTATAATTATTATATATAAATGTAATTTTTGTGAATTTTTATTTATAAATTCGATTATTATAAATATTAAAACTTAATAGGTTAAGAAAAAAAAAATTTAAAAAAAAATATTGTCATTTTAAACTAAATTTTGAAGTTTTGAATTTTTATTTTAAATATATTATTATTTAAATATTTTTATGAGGCGGATCGGATATCCGGAAAATATTCAGATTTTTGGCGAATATCCAAAAAACGGATATCCGGATAATTACGGAGCGGATACGGATCGAAAAAATATTATCCGGGCGGAGCGGAGCGGATCACGGATATCCTTAAAATCCAAGATATTCCCTCTGCGCCCACCTCTACCTTGTATTTGGTCATTAATTACTCTAGCTTTTTGCATGCATGCACCACGTCTACATGGCACCAGGATTTTATATAGACCTTGTAATGTGCTTCTATTCCTTACTTATAAAACAGATGTAAATGGAGGATAATATATAGATTATAATAAAGATTAGAAGTCACGTGAATGAAGAGACATGACAAGGGAATGTGAAATTACAAAGTCGAACAGTTAGTGTCTTGGGGTAATCGTTAGGTTTCGTGTTCCAAGAAGCAAGAGGGTCAAGAGTGTATGTGTGTGTGTGTGTGTGAGAGAGAGAGAGAAGCATCTTTTTGAAAAGCGGTGTGGTCGTCTCAATTGAACCAAAAAAACACCAATCTCAAGACCGATCCGATTCTCTTTGTTCCCTCCCTCTCTGGGTTTCTTGATGTTCTTTAAATCTTTATAATTATCAATCCTTCTGGTTATATACGTATTATTATTGTCCGTTCATGTTTGGCGGCACACGTCCTCCAAGATTATTGGTTTTTTCGTTAATCAAACCACATCGTAAATAATGACATAATTTTTTTTTTTAATCGAAAGCTTGTAAAATTTACTTCGGTATATTATATACAATAACCATTCAACGACTTACTTCAGGATCAGATTTTGTTCATCCGTAATGATGAGTTTATCCTTTTGATTCAAATGGTTTTCCGCTTAGATCAAATTCAACTGTTTTGCGTCTTGTAAATCTCTACATATTAATTTCATACAAAATTAACCATGACCCTTTTTTTTGTCGTCAATTAACCATGTCCTTATTTCATACGAAATCATATTTTGTGGCAATCAAAAAAGAAGAAAAACGACAACATAAATAGAACCACTCTTGGAGATAACGTTATTCGATCCAGAACTAGATAAAAGAAAAGGAAGATAAAAGGATAAAGAGAGCTAGCAACTGAGTGTACTCATTTGTTGGTTTCATTCTCTTTGTACCCTTTACATTTTATAATATTTAAAAATTTGAGTTGGAGTTTGCTTCTTTGACTAATCAATAGAATCTATCTCTCACACCAAGCTAAAGAATAACACAATGTTATTGCTTTTTAATCATTGCAAAGTATCTCACTTGGGTCACCTCTACCTTTAATATTCCCTTTTATTTCGCTTCTAACTTGAACATTGGCGGTTTAATTAAAAGCAGTGATCTCGACGATTAAGACTTAACATCTCTCATGCATTGGCCACAAGGCATTCAACGATTAAATTACGTGTGAATGTTTAATCTCAAAATTAATTGGCAATGATCTCTAAATAAATCAATCTCTCTCTCTCTCTTTATCTCCAATACGACATATACATAGTAATAGACTCATGCAAAAATGAGAGTAATACACGTCGACTTGGTGAAGCAAGCGATGACGTGTGGAAGAAGGGTGGTGAGAGATTCGGAAAAGAGGGTTTCGAGATGATCGTGATCGGAGATAGAGGCCAGATCCTTAGAAGACCGTGACATCCCCTAGTCACGTGGTCCTCTTTTGACTGTACTCTCTCGTCTCTCTCTCCCACTTTAACTGCAGATTGAACTTGTCATTATTATTACTTACTTTACTATCTTAAATATTGCCAATCTCTTTTTTTAATTCTTCAAGACTCTGTAGTAGTTTCCTTAGCAATGTTAAACAACATTTCGTCCGTACAAAAAGTATTGTTTTAGATATAGTTATATAAATCTACCCTTTGTTTTTGGTGTACATTTTCAACTAAAAAATGTAAACTTCAAACTAATATTCTTATTTATTTTATAATCAAACTAACGATATTTCAATTTAGTTCACTAGGATCAACTTAATGGGCATATTATATAGAATCATATTTGTGTTAATTTTTTCCTTTTAAAAAAAAAAATGTGCGAAACTTATCAAAATAACCCTATCTACGATTCAAAGTGGATACGTAAATTAAAGCTCTGTTTCCAGTAAAATTATAACAAAATCGCTTACCTAAACTGATGAGAAATTATAATCGAATAGCTAAACGAAAATTCAACTACTAATTGAGACATTATTTGGATCACCAACCACGAAATTTTAATCTAAAACAGCATAACTAACAAAAGTGTCTTAGAACCAAAACAGAGACCCAACACATAGTTAGAATATTCATAGCAACATCTTTTTAGACAAATTAAAGGAGCAAACACATGTAAATCTAAATAACAAAGAGAAACAATGGATTTAATAACACCGGGACCAAATTTTGCTATTTTTGTCGAGTTCCCAAAGCTCTATAAATACTCTCATGTCTCCACTTCACAACATCAACGTGGACTCCTTTGTTTTTAGCTGACTCCTCTTTCACCGTTTCCTTATAATAACCCCCAAACAAAACATAAACGTCTCTCTTTCAATCTCTCAAAACACGAGTTACTCCTAGGGTTTCCAAGATCAAATTTTGAGATGGGTTTCTCAATGTTTTTCTCTTCCGAAAACGACGTCGTCCATCACTCCTCTCCTTATGCTTCCGTGGACTGCACTCTCTCGCTTGGAACTCCCTCCACTCGTCTCTGCAATGACGACGACGACCGTAGATTCTCTTCTCATACCTCCAACGCCTTAGGCTGGGACTTCTTGCACGGTGCCAAGAAAGGCGGTGGCGGCGGTGGAAATAACATCTTAGCTCGCCGTTGCGCTAACTGCGACACCACTTCTACTCCTCTTTGGAGAAACGGTCCAAGAGGCCCCAAGGTAAATAATATTCACACATCACACATTCAATCAATCTTTGGATTAAAGCAAATTCAGTTATTAATCTATTGTTTTCCGGATTACCGAAATCCAATAGTTTCTGATTTCAAACCCATAATCTTCTTGGACAAAATATTAAAACAAATAATTTAGTTATAATTCGTAACTTTGAAGATAACTCTTTTTTAAAAGGTCTCCTAGTGGCTAGTACACCAATTTGGTTCTATATTTATTATACCGAATATGTATAGTCCATTTTTTTTCTATCAGAGAAATAAAGAATACCGATGATAATTTTTATTATTTTTAATTTGGCCAGTCATTGTGTAATGCGTGTGGAATCCGATTCAAGAAGGAAGAGAGACGTGCGTCGACCGCCGGAAACTCGACTTCCGGCCGAGGATCAGCGGCGGCTGAACTTCCAACGACGGATCATCACGGAGGTGCAAATTATTATTATAACAACAACAACAACAATAATCACTATGCTTCATCGTCGCCTTGGATTCACCACCAACAGCAAAATACGCAAAGAGTTCCTTATTACTCGCCGGCGAATAACGAATATTCTTTCGTTGATAACGTCAGAGATGACAATCATGACGTCACTGCCGACCCGTTCTTGTCTTGGAGGCTTAACGTCGCCGACCGGACCAGCCTTGTCCACGATTTTACGATGTGATAAATGATCGTGCCACCGATTTTCCCCTTAAAAAGTCTTATATTAGCCTTGGATACCTTTTAGCTTTTAAAAAAAAAAGTCTTAGTCTTGGCCAAATTCTATAATTTTAGTTTCTTTACATATATATTCAATGTTTTTTTTTTTTTTTTTTTGCGGGGTCTTCGTGTAGCTTTTTTTTATATTGAAATTTCTTATGAATTTGCTACTTGGGTTTTCTTTTCATGACTTTTTGAAAGTTCTATCGGGTAATGAACTAATGATAGTTACTTACTTTATAACCTTTTCATGATATGTGTCCTACTCTGACCAGGATTCAAGATATTATACATATATATGTAGGGCTTCCTTTGATTCACTTTTACGTGTCATCTTAAACGTTTAATTTGAGGTTATGTTAATCCTATTCACGTCATGTAAGGGAAAACAACATTTTTAACTGAGAGTTAGAGATTTTAAAATACGTACTCGTTTCGTTGCTTATAAATATCACTCTCTAACTCTCAAGTATGTGTTATTATTCAATTTTTTAGATCGAAATGAGTATATTATTTGAAACTTTTAGGAACGGAAGTGCCGAAGTGGTACAGAAGATCTGTCGGGAAGCCAAATGCAGCATTCATTTTTTTTTGTTTTTCAAACTGGATACAAAATTGAAAACAAACGTAGACTTTTTGTTATTAACAAAAGATATATATATAGTTCATTTGAATGTTTAAAAGTTGCATGCATGAGCTCTTATACTTTCTGAGTTTTATTGCAGTATCAAAACTCTTTCGCTTAATAATTGTTCAAGGATCGTTATGATCCATATCATTAATAACTGGCTTGTACTATTTTCTAATATACTTTTTATTAAAATTATTAAAACATAGGATTCCACTAACGAATTGATAGTTCGTTTTATATTATGAGTAAATATATCCAAAAGAACCATAATTTATGTCTGATCTTTTTTGACAAGACGAAAAAATAGAAAATGAAGATACATTCATTTTTGCAATATTTTTTAAACACTAGAATTTTGTTTTAATATTTTTGCAGGTATATATTTCGATTAAGCGTTAATGTTTTCAAGTTCAAAAGTAAAGATGTAAACAGAAAATGCTTTAGTAAGAAATAAAGAAAACAGAAAATGAAATGCATATTCCTTTGTTCTCTTTTCGCATTTCCCCCTGAAATTATGGAAACAATCAAATACTAGAAACGATTCACAAATGAGAAGCAAACAAAAAACAAACCAGCGAACAAAATATCTGCAGGGTGGACAAGGTGGAATGTTTGTCGTATTATGCCCAAATTGTCTTGAAAAGTTGACCATCAATTTGGCTTCGTGTGTTGCTCTGCTTAACATAACACCGCATGTGAAGAATATTGATCCTTTTCATAACGTATTTTATTTTCCATAGAAGGAAAACGTTTATTCATTTTTATGTTATTGTTTATAACTTACTTAAACGGTAGAAGTAGAACAACCGGATATGAAGTCGAGTCTGAAGCCAAGATGTTTCCGGGAACATGAAAGAATTTTGAATGAATTTTTTTGCATATTTTATTTTTATGGATGATATAAATTTGTTTAAATTTTCTTTACCCTAATTTCGTTAATCTCTCTAGGACATGTTCACGTCTTGTGCGTCCAAAAAGTGCATAGCTCTTTTAAAAATTTCTTGAAATTAATTTTCTAATCAGTTAATCTTATCTAAATCCAATTATGAAATTTGAACTCAGCCATATGGTGAGGCCAGAAATATATACTAGTATCACATACACTATCACTCGAATTTTGGCTATTCTCAGATATGTTACTCATGGACCAATCTAATGAAGTCATCCTAGTCCTTCTCGAAAAAACATAAATTTTTGTTTATGTATTGAAATGCGGAATTCGATCTGTGATAGAGGGCTTCTAACATGAAGACAGTTAATTGATTTTTCGAATAGACTTCACAAAAATAATTAATTTGCATATGCGTGAATACCATTTATTCAAACTATTCAATCAATCCAAACATATCTTATTATTTTCATTCCTGAGATTTTCGTATGCGTATTATTATGAAATGCAAGTTTAGTTACATTAGTTTATATATCTTCTGACGATTATGGTAAAATCTAAAACAATTGTGATTATTTTTGAAACAAACCATATATTAATTTTAACTTTAAATATAGATCATACGTGTTATATATCGTATAAATTGTGAACATTAAAAAGAATATGATTGATCTCTTTACTTGCTCATTATGATTGATTTCAATAACGTTTTAGTTACTTACTTACTTATGGTTGATTGCTTATCTTATGCATGCAAAAGTCAGTACGGTAGGTAATCAATAAAAACTTCAGAGACAACATTTTATCCAATCATACATAATGAAAAGAAAATAAATAAAAACCAAAATAGTTGATCAAATAGTGGCAATCTAGTGATTTCGGTATATTCGTTAGTCAAATCATAAATTGAATTGTATTGATGTGCAGGTTAATATTTTATTATTATTATATATGACCAATAGTTTCTAGAAGTGTTCTTAAAAAAAAAAACAATTTAGATGAACAAAAGATAACAACTCAACACCAAACACATTTTAATAAATACCAAACCCAATTTTAGAAGTTCCACTAAAGAAAACCCAAAAAACTTTATATAATGAGGTTTTTCATTTGATCCTTTCTGAAATCACACATCTCTCCACGAATAAAAAGGAGCAACAAAAAAATAAAAATTGCATAATGGTGAACTTGGTCGAGGCACAAAAGCCATTATTGTACGGTCTCATGAAAATGGCCGGTGTCGTTCCCTACACTTTAGAGATCGAACCGGGGACAAAGATGAACTTCTGGGTTCCCAAAGAAACCCTGAAGAAAAAATCCGGTACCGGAAAACCGACAAAACCCCATAAACCAACCAAACCGGCCGTCTTGTTAATTCACGGCTTCGCCGCCGAAGGAATCGTGACGTGGCAGTTCCAGGTCGGTGCATTATCCAAGAAATACTCGGTTTACATACCGGACCTCCTCTTTTTCGGTGGGTCCTACTCGGACAACTCGGACCGGTCTCCGGCGTTTCAAGCCAACTGTTTGGTCAAGGGGCTTCGTATCCTCGGCGTGGATAAGTTTGTTCCCGTAGGGTTTAGCTACGGTGGCATGGTGGCTTTCAAGATCGCCGAGGCTTACCCGGACATGGTTAAAGCAATGGTTGTGTCCGGTTCGATACTCGCGATGACCGACAGCATTAGTGAGTCGAGCTTGAACCGGTTAGGGTTCAGTTCTTCCAAGGATCTCTTGTTACCGACTTCGGTTAAGGGACTTAAGGCTCTCTTCACCATTGCTGTGCATAAACCCTTGTGGTTTCCTAAACGAATGTTCAAGGACTTCATTGAGGTACTTAATTTACTGCGTAAAGTTAATCCATTTAGAGAAAATAATTAATAGTTATCTTTAGTACTGATATCCTGTGGAGTAATTAATAGTAAAACATAATGATATTGTATTTTACAGATTTTAATATATGATAAACTGTATACAATTTGCATTTTATTAATCTCTCTGCAATTCTACAAGATTAACGATACACATGTTTAAAAAAATCTTCTTCTGCTATATTTAGTTAAGTAAGAAAATTTTGTTTGATTGTTTCGCTATGTCATCCCATTATTATTATTTTTTTTGGGGGGGGGAATTTTTCCACCGTTTCACATTGTTGAGACATGAATTTGATTTATTCACTGTGGAAAAGTATTTTCTAGTGTCGTTAGAATATATAATTAAATGAACATATCATAGAAATCACATTTCCAATTAACGTGATTGTGAGAGTTAGGTGGAACTCGCGAAGTATATTGCCTCTTATCAAATCTCCGAACTTGGTGAGAACAAAAGTTTTGTTAATAGAACGTTTTGCTTATTTAAAAAGTTTTACGCATATAATAGATTTCTGATTTAGGAATTTATGTTTATTCATTAGTACTATTTATATTTGTTAATTTCTATCATTTATAAATATAATTTACAGAAGCAGTTAAGTTTGTACGTTATTTTTTCTATCCTTCATTTGAAAATGAATTTGAACTTAACATTCTGTTCATTCTAGTTAGCTCGCCTAATATCAACTAGAAGAAAGTGACGAAACAATAGATTATATTGATAAATATCCATATAAGGCAGGTTAAGTATATAAAATATGATATGGTATTTTAGATTAGATTTGTTCACCTACCCTCAGCTAAGTCTCGTATTATATGGGTAACTAAATTTTATTTGTCTACCAATGATTAGTTTAGCTAGAAGCCTAGAACTGGTATTATTTATTTTCTTATTCTAAGAAAATTTGTTGAAAACGGAAATGTTATTATAATATAAACTTATGGTTCACAATTCTATTTTATCGGTGAAATTGGTAGGTAATGTTCAACAATAGAAAAGAAAGAGCTGAATTGTTAGAGGCTGTTGATGTGAGCAACAAGGACGCGACAATCCCTCATTTCTCATTGGTACGTATAAATTAATGTCCACATCCGTGTATATATACATGTAACGGTTATTTATCTATCTTATTGTAGTTAAAAACATAACGGTTCTAAATCTATGAGACTACATCACAGATGAATAAAACAAGGAGTACAGTGTACATAAGTTACAAATCGATGAATCTAAACGGTTATGCAATTGGATTGAATGATTTTCTTTCCCCGTATTTTGCTGAAATTTTATGATTTGCGATTTAAAACACCATTTTTTTATTCATCGATTCCGTTGAAAAATGGATTTTTTTTTTAAAAAACTTGTTAATCTATAACTTCTATTCACCTTTATGATTATTATTATTTAAATTTATTGTTCATTTGTTGCATGTGCATGCAGAAAATACATCTTTTGTGGGGTGAAAGTGATCAAATATTTGACTTCGAGTTAGCTAAAAAGATGAAAGAGTAAGTTTTCAGATAGTAAAATTAGTATTTTTCTTCTATTTGAAGTGATTATTATGTATTTTTTTCTAATGTTTATCGTTGTTATTTTTTCAGGCAATTAGGTGAGAAAGCAACAATAGATAGCATAAAGAAGGCAGGTCATCTGGTACAATTGGAAAGACCTTGTGTTTACAATAGGCACCTCAAAAAGTTTCTTGCATCCATTCACTCCGAAGATAAAACCTTTCAATAAGAATAACTTAAAGTGTGTTTTTAAGTTGTATTTGATCTTGATATATATAAATCGTTATGTCAAAATTGAATAATCATTTGTTTATTTTGTGTGATTGCGTTTGTTTTTTTTGAATATTCATTACTATCAAAATACGTAATAATAGGTGGGATTCACCTCATGTTTTGTAACAAATTATAGCAAAATAATTGATGCTAAAAAACATAACCGTTTTTTTCATTTGGTATTGTTTCGTTTTCATTAAAAATTCATTGAAAAATATGAAATCCACGAAGTTTTATGATAAAAGAGTAAAATGAGATCGATTTTCGGCTAAGTATAAGACTTCTTTCTTTTTTTTTCTTTCCTTTGGGTCACACTTTTCTTTCCTGAAAAATAAGATTTTCGGCTAATAATCCCCATCAATCAATTTGTAAATATTTAGGGTTCGTTTTTATATTATTACTAGTATATTCCAATGTTTATTGTATTAAAATAGCTGTGGGACAGCCCCATGTCTGATTTTTTTCTCGGGTAATTCCTTTATATACATGTAACATATTTATGAGAACTTACGATGTTAAATGAAAGTTTTACTGTGTATAATTTAAAACATTTATGACAACTTACACTTGAGTAGATGGAGCATCTATGGGGCCATCTCATAAGAAAAAGTTTGTCACGTTTCCTAGCATCTATGGGGCCATCTCATAAGAAAAAGTTTGTCACGTTTCCTCAAGTGTATGTATTTCTCACGTTTTCTTATGAGATGGCCCCATAGCCCCCCCCCCCCCACAACTTCTTTTTTTTTTCATTTTTTATTAAACTTAAATCATGTTACAAATATGACATTCCTAACATTGATTTCAAAAATAGAAGCTTCAATTTGATCGAAACCCACTACAACTTACAAAGGAGACATCCATAACTTGGATTTCCAATACGGATAGCTTCAATATAATCCGATCAAACTTAAAACAAGTTACTAAGATGAAATCCATAACACTGACTTCTAAAACTGAAGCTTCTACACAAATTTTTGGTCCTACGAGTTACAGAAATATTTCATCGTCATCAAAACTCAATTAGAACGATAATAAATAAAAAAATTCCATCCTACAACGAATATATAGCCAAGAACTCTTTCTTCATTTTCATTTTCAACGAACCCGTTTAGCTCATCGTCCATGGTTGTTACCCTCTCAACAACTATCTTCTTCCACTCAACCTTTTAGCTCAAGAAATAGCCTTCTTCTGTTCATATTTCATGGTTGTTATCCTCTCAACAAGCATCCTCCGCTCCAGCTCCACTTTCTTCCTCTCCTCTCCTCGTTCACATAACCCTTTAGGCTTTTAGCTCTTTCTCGAGTTTTTTTTTTTTGTTCTTCACGCAGGACATAAAATGATATGGGAAGGCCTAATGATGCAGCACATTTGGGCCTCTTTTCTTCTATAATTATGTGCTTTGCTTCTTTTTTTTTGTTTTTCCCGAATTTCCATTCTTCCAATTTCATTTGCCCCATGGAAGTATAATTATGGGCTTTGCTTTTGCGTTGGTTTTTTAAAACAATGCAAAGTATCGTAAACTTTTTATGAATTTTGGCGACGGAGTGATGACGTGGGCGTTACAGGTTCGTTTGTTATCAAAGAGATACTCTGTTTATATACTGGACTTGCTCTTCTTCGGTGGGTCCTACACAGATAAACCAGTCTGGCTACCGCCTACCGGAGTTTCAAGCCGAGTGTTTGGTTAAGGCTATGCGTATCCTTGGCGTGGATAAGTTTGTCCCAGTCGGGTTTAGCTACGGTGGCGCTGTGGCGTTCAAGATTGCGGAGTTGTATGGGAACATGGTTAAGGCTTTGGTGGTATCCGGTTCGCCTCCGGTTATGACCGATTCGAATGTGAACCGGTTTGGGCTTAGTTCAATGTCGGATGTCTTGTTACCCAAAACGGTTAAAGGACTTGCCATCATAAAAACGCATCAAGAAAGAAAACCATTGACCAAAGCAATAAGAAGAAATTAACAAACCCGAATCAACGTGGGAAATAACGTGGAATTTTTAAATGTAATTTTGAGAAATCGGTAAAGGGTTGTGTTTTAAACGTATCATTACATTTTGACCAAAAAAAACGTATCATTACATATATAAAAACGCATTTATCATTAACCTACCTCGCATAAAAGATTTTATTGGATCCAGACGAATATAATGTTCTATGGCTTTGTAACTTAATTCTTACAAGTTTAAAGTCAAAGAGGGTTGTCTTACATGTGTGATAGATACCTAAGAAACAGAACCTTAATTTAAAATCTGCTTTCGAAACTAAAACAGAGCAGCTCCACCATTCTTACATATATATAAGAATACTTATTTCAGGAAGAAAGATTTGAAATCTAAATGCAACCCCTATACGTATATAAATTCTCCGGTTCTAAAGCTCAGCACTACGGTCTCTCATATACGCGCCGTACTCTCCAGCAGCCTCAGAAGCCTTTTCCTTTGCACTCTCATAAGCTTCTTTTGTTTTCTCCGACATTGAATCCTTAGCTGCACCATACCTCTCCCCAACTTTATATACTGCATCCTCAAATTTTCCAGCTGCATCACTCCCTAATCCGTACGCGTCTGTTGCTTTGTCTTTGCCATAGTCCATCGCGCGCCCAGCGGTTTCACTAACGTCATGAGCTTTATCAGATGCCATGTCCTTAGCATTCTTGGACCCTTCTTTAGCTCTTTCGTATGTTCCATAACCCATTTCCTTAGCTTCATCGCTTTTATCCGTAGCCATCCTAATCACATCCTCCGCTTTGTCATATGAAGCATCTTTTGCATGACCTGCTTTGTCATAGGCAAAGTCCTTGGCTTGACCAGCCTTCTCAGAGGCTGATCCCACTTTTCCATAGGCCATGTCCTTGGCTGATCCAACCTTGTCGTATGCCATGTCCTTGGCTTGACCGGCCTTGTCGTAGGCCATGTCCTTGGCTGATCCGGCTTTGTCGTAAGCCATGTCCTTGGCTTGACCGACTTTGTCGTAGGCCATGTCTTTGGCTGATCCGGCTTTGTCGTAGGCCATGTCTTTGACTTGACCGGCTTTGTCGTAGGCCATGTCTTTGGCTTGATCGGCCTTGTCGTAGGCTATGTCCTTGGCTTGACTGGCCTTGTCGTAGGCTACATCCTTGGCTTGACCGGCTTTCTCGTAGGCCATGTCTTTGGCATCACCGGTCTTATCATAAGCATAATGTTTTGCGTTGTTAGCACCATCATAAGCAGATCCGGCCTTGTCGGATGCAAAGTCCTTGGCATAACCCGCATTGTCATAGGCTGACCCAGCCTTGTCATAAGCGTAGTTCTTTGCAGATTCAACCGCTTCTTCCGCTTCATCTTTCTTGCTTCCCAAACCGCTGATTCAGAGGGAAAAAAAAAAAGAGTTCTCGGATCATGAGCATTTCTAATTATTTAACGTATAACGCCTCGTCTGAGGACAATCATGTTTTTGTATATATATTTCCAATACACTTACGTGGAGATTTTATCAGAAACCCAACCAGCCCAAGAAGCGGTTTTGTCCTTTGCGTCATGAGCCGCCTCGCCCGCCATTTCTTTAGCGGTCTCGGCAGCATTTTTGGCATGCTCTGCTTCAGTTCTAACCATATCCTCTGCTGTTTCTGCACCCCATCCATGGCATTCCTTCTGCCACGTCAGCATCACCACCATCATAAGAAGCATCATCAACATCATCGTTTTTTTCTCCGCCATTATTGCCACTTTTGTTTTTGGATTCGTTTTTGTACCGTTTTGTTTATGGTTCCGATCTCCATGGAAGTTTATAGTTATAGAGGGGAGAGAGATTATTCCTTTCTTCCAGAGTTTAGTGTTGGACACGTGGTTATTGCATATATACGTGGCGTGTGAAGAGGCGATTATGTTGGGAAGTAATGTCTCTCGTATTTGCCACGTGTTGTCTTGTGGTTAGGGTTTACCGCGTCGGCGTCTTCTGACTCCGAGGTCATGAACTTGTCAATGAAGTTTCAACATTCAATATTTACTAATAACCAATTAACCATATCGAAACCGACCCGGTGGGCGTAATCGGATAAATTAAGAGGACAAAACTACTTATCGACTACCGTTTTGACTACTGGCCAGTACATGGATGTTTGGAAGGAATTCTTAAAACCTTTATGTTTTTAACTGTGAACTTTTATTTTATTAACTCGTAAATTTTTTAAAAATTTCAGTAAAATAACTTTTACTTTATATTTTAGTGATGGATACAATCCAATGTTTTAAAATTTTATTTTAGCTAAGTTATACTATTGTTTTTGGAATGTTGGGTTAAATGAGTACAACAATTATTTTTGGAATATCAAGATAAATGAGTTTAATAATTGTTTTTAGAATATCGAACTAAGTGAATTTTTAATACTTTATCCGTTTCAAAATATAAATCGTTTTATTATCAATTTTTTGTTTCAAAATAAAAATTATTATCAGATTTCAAGACAAATATTTGAAAAAAATTCTACTTTGATCTCTATTTTTTAACTAATTAATTAATGTGAACATAATAAATAGTAGAATAATAAAGAATAAATTAAAAATTTAATGACTTATATTTTGAAACTGATGGAGTAGTTTTTCTTAAATATTTTTTTACAGTATTAAATATTTTAGAATTTAGATTTTCAGGATTGTTACCTTACGATATCATTGGGAAATCGCGATTCCAAAATTTTGTCGTTTGGAAACACAAGTAGTAATCGTACGATTTCGAGTTGTAATCGTACGATTTCGAGTTGTAATCGTTCTTCGTGGTTGGAAGCGTTGCTATAAAACTTCAATTAAAATTATAAAAGAAAAAAATGACGTGTCATTGTAAACTCATCTCACGTAACAATTTTGTTGGATTTAATATATTTCAAGCCCATTACATCACTATCGTTTATTGTTTTTGTTTTCTAATATTATCTAATTAGACTAATTGTTTATTTAAAGAAAGAAATTAACGATAAACCTAATTATAACAATCTAATTACCTTAGAAGGAGAAGAGACGAAGCATTATTAGGAAGAAATTTATGATATTTTCTTTTTTTTTTAAGATTGTAAACTAGAGAAAGGAAAGTTTAAAATATTTATTCATATTATTTTATATTAGGTGTTTCATGATATATATAAACGCTTTCAATATATACCTGATTTCTAATTTTTTTGAAAAATCTGTTTTTCCGTTTTCACGCTTCTGTTTTCAAGTTCTGCTTCCGATTCCATACAACTTATGCCAAATTAAATGATTAACATTTTCATTAAATTATTATTATTTTTTGATATTTTATTTGAGCAAATAAATTGTGATAAATTTATGAAAACTGAATTTAATATTTTTGATTATATGTTTTTTTTTCTTAGAAAGATTTTCGATCATATGTTTAATCAAAGACAACTGTATATCTTATCTAAACTATGATGTGGCGATATGAATATCCACAAATAGATAAAATAAAAAATTTGTAGATATATTTCTCGTTTTAATAGAATTATGCCTTTAACAACTCATTTCATAATTTTTAAAAAAACTCGTAAATATTTTAGTTTCTTCTTGTGGGGAGTTCATGCATACATTTGACAGGTTGCAGTGCAATGTAACAGCTAAAATGATGACACTGCATTTTACAATATCATGAATTTTATCCCCTATAGAAATATACAGCTAATTATATAAATTTTTCTAAAATGAGAAAAATTAATTTATACAAAATATATTTACTTATAATGGCTTAAAATGTTTAACTCTCATACGTAATTCACCACTATAAATATAAAGATCTATTGTATTTCTAAACAATCAATCTTTCTTTTGTTCATCAAAAACTTTGAGAAAATGGTGAGAAATGGTAGAGGTCGTCAAAAAATTGAGATGATAAAAATGAAAAAGAAGAGCAACCTTCAAGTCACTTTCTCAAAGAGAAGATTTGGTCTTTTCAAAAAAGCTAGCGAACTTTGTACTTTATGTGGTGCAAAAGTTTTGATGATTGTGTTTTCTCCAGGTGGGAAAGTCTTTTCATTTGGCCATCCAAATGTTAAAGATTTAGTTAACCGTTTCTTAAATCGTTACCAAAATTCTCTGTTTCTCCACCAATACAACAACAACAATCTACAACTCGTTGAAAGCCGTCCTGATGAAAGTATTCAACGTCTCAACGAGAAACTTACTGAGGTAATAATACAATTTTAATTTCCTTTTAAGAAAAAAAGAGAGGATCTATATAATTTCAAAATCGTACCTAAATATTTTCTGCCATGCATAAACATATATATAAGCAATAGTTGGTGTGGTTAATCATGGAGTACATACAAAAACATGGACCTACACTAATATATAATGATACATGCATAGACATACAAACATTGAACTACACTGATAATATGCTACTATGATTTTTGTAGGTACGTAGAAAATACAGTTATTATTTTTTTTTTACAGATATCAAATCAAATTAAATTGATACGATCGTGTATATATAGTTAGATTGTATTATTATTCTATTTAAATGTTCTTACAAGTAAACCATGTCTCATTTTTGCAGGTGCTGGCAATACAGGAAAGTGAGAAAAGTAAGAGAAAGTTTTTGGATGCTATAAAAGAAACCAGAGAGCAAAAAGGGAACTGGTATGAAAATGACGTGAAGAAACTCGACATGAACCAAACCAACCATCTAATACATGCTCTTCTTGATGTGAAAAAGAAGTTGATAAGCGACATATCCCAATATTCTCAAACGAATGTTCCTCAGAACTACTTAGGAGAAAGTTCTGGCAATATCACTCCAGGTATTATTGGTGGTCGCGGTAATGATGGTGGCCTTGGTCATTTTGATCAAAGAACAATGTTGGATTTGAATGCATTCAACTATAATCCAAACATGATTTCTCCTAACTATGGACCATCTTTTGGTTACTATAATAATGGAGTTATCATTCCGGGATGCAACATGAACTACATGTGAAGTTACAACTTCAACGAGAGCTAGAGTCTGAAGCTAGAAGAAAAGGCTTTTGTGATATGGATCCTCCATATTTACATTATTTTAGATATGGTTATTGTAAGGACTAAGGATTTTGCTTGTGTTGTGTCCTGTTTGATTTAAAATTTTATTTTGTTCAGTCTGTTTGTCGTTCGTTTTTTTTTCTCCTTCGTATTTTGGATATTTTGGGTATCATGAATTTATTTAATTATATTTTCTTTGCTTCTCTCCATGATATATTTATTTCTAGATTTTTTTAATAACAAATTAAAATCTCTTTTTCTGAAATAACTTCCACAGAATTATATGAATGTATTAGCGTGATAATATGAGGCACATATATTTATAAAGAAACAGGTAATGCGTTTTGGCTTAAAATGTTATTTCGCCAGCTTATTTTCCATTTTAAGCGCCATATCACCATTGTGACTTATCTCCCGGATACAGAAATAGAATTTAACAAAAACGAATAAATTCAGTATAAAAAATATATATTCAGATTTCTTCATTTTGAATTAGTAAATAACATATGTAATCATCAAGAGAATGACTAAGAGAAGAGTAATGGTTGACAACCTTCAGAAGCAAGCCTAATCCTCTGGTGATGTTCATCAACTTTATACTCAACAATCTCTTTAAAAAGCTGCGAATCCAATACGCAATCCTCACGTCCGTACACTCCAGCTTGTACTCCAGCCACAAGCTTTGCGATCTCACGGCCAGAGAATCCTTCCGTCTTCTTCGCAGCCTCAGCAATCACTTTATCAGTTAGGTCTGCCTCAACGGTAATCTTCTGTGACAGCTTCTTAAACAAATGACTCCATTTGGGTTTTGTTTCCTTGTTGTCTTCACCCTTCTTTAAGTACTTGTTGAGATAGAGATTGAGAAGCTTGAAACGTTCTTCTTCACCTGGAAGTGGGAACTCAATGACTTCATCGATCCTGTCTGTAACCGCACTATCGAGATCTCCAGGTCTGTTTGTAGCTAAGACAAGAACAATGTCTCGGGATTGATCACCAGTTCGAAAGAGCAACGCGTTCAGAGCACTACGCTGAGCCTCGCTCATGTATGTGCTGTTACGCCTGCATGATAAGAAAATAAAAGGAATCATCTTTCTTTAAACCCATACAAAAAGCTGCAATCTTTTGCCATCTAACTGTCATAGAAAAGAAGAGAGAGATATCTTACTCGCATAGAAAAGCATCCGCTTCATCTATAAAAAGAAGTAGACCTTTGTTCGATTTCTTAGCCCAATCGAATATTTGATGGATTTTAGTAACAGCTTGTGATCCCAAGGGAGCAACATCTCCTCCTGTCATCATAGCATAATCCAAACCCTGCAGCATATAATTGTGTCTAAGAGCCCCTGAAGACGCCATTAACATAACTAGTACCATAGCTTTCACAATAACTTACCGATTTCCGAGCTATTTCCCTTGCCACCATGGTTTTACCGGTACCAGGAGGTCCATAAAACATCATGTTGCGGAATGGTGCTTGATGGGATTTAGTATTCGTCGTAGCTCTAGCGAGATGTTCGATTCGCTTCTTCAAAGAAGGATGGAGAATTACATTATCAAGCGGCTTCTCTGCTGCAGATCTAGCTGCTGCCCCTGAGATTCTGTTCTTCAATTGAGACATTGAGCCTGCCAATGGAAATCTACCCATGGAAGATTCTCGGATAAGTGAAGGTTGGCCAAGCATCCTATTGATATATCCCCATGTAACTCTAGCTCCTTCACTGTTAAACACAAAAGCATCGTGAGATAAAAGAGTCTAACATCGCTAGAGTCAAATCAGACTGTTTCATAAAATCCAAATAACTTATTTAGTAAGGAGATGCATACCGAGTTGTGTAAACTCCTGCAGTTAATGCTGTTGCCCCTCCAACAGTCATAATCAGCCTATTCCGATCGGTTAATAGAGTCCTGAATCCTCCTGCCAGTTCCATATAGAAAGTTAACACAAGGAGGAAAAAAAAAACAGAATAAAAAGCAAGAAGATATAAAGTTCCTTGAATTTAACAGTTGCCATACCTTCGATGTGACCAAACATTGTGTTGATTGCAGCAAGCCACTTCTCCCTTTCACCATTTATCCTCTCCATAAGTAATCTTCTGTTTTGCTCCTCAGTAAGTTTGGCTTCATGAGCCCGACCTTCAGCTTCAGCCATGGCTTTGACGCGAATCGTCTCTCTCTCGAGTTCAGCTCTCTCTTTCTCAGTTTGCCGTTGCTGAGCTTGGATCTGTTCTTCTGTGGAAATTCTCGCTCTCTCTTTCCTAATAGAAGACTCCTCTTGCATCTTAACCAGTTCAACATTATGATATCTCTGAGCTTCATGATCTGTCTGCATCATTTCCAAACCAAAAACATTTGTATGAATTTACATCTCACGAACAAGAACAGATAAACAAAAACAAAAAGAGTAACCTGCTGTCTCTTTCTGGCCAACTCATCCTCATATCGAAGATTTTGAGCTTTGGTTTGCGCTTGTGTCTGCAAAAGATTTCTCTGCGCCTCAGCCAATTTCTGCTGTCTGTCCTGCCCATTTCAATTGTCCCATAAAACAAATCATAATATATCTTCCCAACTTAAAAATATGTCTTATGATCATTATAAACTTTGCATCAAAATTATATCCCATGTTTCTGTGAAAAAAATGGCAGCAAAATTGAAAAATTCAAGGAAGAGTTCGATTACTAACAATATCATTGTGTGCTTGAACAGCCTCGTTCTGAGATTTCTCTGCTGCTAATTCAGCTAATCGAGTTTTCTCCTGCTTCCTCATAAGATCAAACACCTGATTGAAAGAAAAAAACCCCAACTTTTTTTAATTACGAAAAGACACATATCCTCCGCAAATCAAATCTAATTTTGAGTTAGAATACCATTTGATGCTAAACCTCAATTTCAGGGATGAAATTAGAAACAATACGTCACCTGTTTGGAATGGGGAGAGCTATTGATCTCTCTAAGAGCTTTCGCAGCTCTCTCAAGTGACTCAGGATCAAATCCCGACCCTTTCCGCTCATCGCGCTCTGGTTTGGACTCCGACTTGTTAGAGTTCGGCGAAGATTGATTCGCCGGAGAATCTGACGGAGTAGGAGGAGAAGAAGAGTAGAAGGGAACCCGGAATCGAGAATCGGCGTATGCACGGTTCTGGCTCAATGACATTGAAGTGAACGCAGCAGCTATCGCCGCCGCGGAACACAATCTAGAAGCAGCCATGGTTTTCGAAAAAAAAAGAAAAACAAATTCGAGTGAAGAGATTTGATAAAACCTATTCTAAGATTGAGAAATTGATGGTGAATGATGTCGATTTCTGGGTTTTGCCGATCATAAACCCCACGGTGGCTAAGCTTTTAGGGTTTAAACGGTATTTTTTTAAAGAAATGACAAAATCTCTGACCGTAGAAGTCTCATTTGCTTGGAGAATAATTAAAAATCAGGTGTGGGCCCAAATTAATATTGGGCCTAATATTAGGCCATGTTCTAAACCTAGTACATCTTCACGACAATGTTATGCAAATATGAAAATCTATATTAGTGTTACGCATCTAACAATTACCCGCTCTGGTATATGGCGGCAACAGGCAAATTTACTGGACTTTTCTCGAACCAATTGAATTCAAAAATATATTGTATGTGTCAGAGTAAAATGATTTAAAATGATTTTGTTCTCCACTCAGCCATGAAAAAAATATTAGTACGATTCCGTTTGTTTAGATCATGGGTAAAAAGAGACCTTACGTAAGATGTAATTGGTCTTTAATAATTGTTTAAAAGAAGAGATATTATTCCATGTAGTAATAATTACCAAATACTGAGTTTAGCTGAATATTATCGATGGATAATTATAAAAAAACTCACTATTATTTGAGCTAGTGCACATAAGAATAATTCGAACGTACGTACTTGCGAATTTACAAGTTTAAACTTACCCGTTATATTCTAGTATCTTATAATATTTTAAGAAAAATTTAATCCACTTAATTGTACTGTATAATTTAAACCTAACCAAGAATTATTTCTTTTATTGTTGTGCTGTGAATATGATCGGTAACCATAAATGTTGGTCCACTGGTGACTGGCCAAGTGTTCGAGTGATAAAAAAAGTTCTCTATGCGTCTAAGTTATGGTTTCAATCTCATAAACTACTAATTTCCACTGTCGACTTTTTTCATTGGTTACTAATGGCTAAAGTATCTAAATTTCTATAAGTCTTGGAGACTATTATAAAATTTGGCTAAAGATCTATTCTGATTGCCAAAAAAGAGAAAGAAAAAAAAAACAAGTTAAAATAGCTAGGTCGGAGTTGAAATAGAAATGTTATACACCTAATATTTGGGTTGAGATAGTATATAGAATTTTCAATTTTCTTATTTCTAACTTCTAAATCTAACCATTTGGACTATATATGTAAAATGTTTATCAGGTATAACAAAAAAATTATCTTTTCGAAATTCTGTGCCGGGAATATATACAAGACATGCGCTGTACAACACAAATAAAACGTTGCAGAATAGATCCCTCCTTTTTAGAGAAAATATAATACATGATTTTTTTTTCTTCTCTTAAACGAATTCGAATGGTAATTATACTAGTGAAATGAATAATTCCAATTCTCTGGGTACAAAAACAAAAAAATCTCCGACATTGTTCATATGGGTCGCAATTTTGCGACGTAGGTAGAATATACACAGCATGTGCTCTAAAATATTACAGAATAAGCTATATATATACCTCATTTTCTTTGAGAAAATTTATTACTTATATCTTTGTTTGACACAAACGAATAATACTAAAGAGGAATCATATTGACAAAAGAGTATAGCTCAATGGTGTACCTCTCATCTTGACTTTTATTTTTGGCGTAAAACTTATAGTACTTTCAGTTTGGTTACTTTTGTAAGTTATCACTCTTTTTTTCTTATATTTTAGAAGTTTTTTATGTCAACGCAAATTAAAAAAAAAAAAAAAAGGAGAGATGAATATGTTCATAGTGAATAGTGACACACCGTAATTTCATATATGTGTAGGGTTTGAATTACGAGTGTGGGATTGAGGCAATTCTTTTCTTAGAAAATTTCTGTCAAAAGTAATGTCAATCAACAGATAAAATTAGTTAAGTGTATGTCATTCCGAGAATTTTATGCTAAATAATGAAATATAAATTTACCGACAATATATATAATGGACAAGGGTAAGATAATTATAAAAGAACACTTATCAGTCATAAAGTATGATTATTACATTTTCTATATTCCCAAATACATACATCACAGTTCACTTATCCAATCATACGTAACTTTTACTGCGACTATATATATATATATATATATATATATATATATGTATAATACGTAACTTTTACTGCTAACATATGTTAAGGACAATAATTATGATCAGCGTTAAATGTAGCCAGTTCGTATAAGTTAATATTCAAAATTACATGCCATGCAGAAAGTTTCTGCCCAAAAAGGGACGCCTGTATCTGACGAGAACCAAGGGATCCATTATTGGTCGGTCCGTCTAAGAAATTAAGTATCTTCTCTAATTTGCTTTTACGATGTTCTCTTGATATCCATCAAGCTACGCGCCGGAACGACTAGGTGAATGCAAAAGGGAATCAAACCTTGTTCTGGATCGTTACATCTTGTTTGTTAGGTTTTTGTACGATTTGTGTGATAATGAATAAAATTCGAGACGAATTAGTTTGATCATATGAAACTCACTTTGATTGATTTAGATTAGCATGAAAGTGGTTGATTCTTACATATTCAACACAAATAAAAGTAAAAATACTTTGATAGCTCTCTGTTTGTTCTTGGTCTTCAAACCATGGTTTCAGATGAACCTGCAATACATATATAAAATCCAGATGAAACGATAAGTTAAAAGAGTAAAATGAGGTAGATATTAAAATTCAGGAGGCATCTTGATAATCTTGTTACACGAGTTAAGCAATGGAGGTTTTGCAAAGGTAAAAACAAGAGTTATGGAACATGCTATCATCATGTGGGACTTTTCTTTTCATTTGCTAAAGGACAAATCAAAAGTTGAATGAAGGTTATTCAGGAAATGGATTTTTATGAATATAAGAATACAACAGGCATGGAGATAATGGCCTAATCATCAATTTCAAGAACTTGACAAGATAAGCTTTTGTATTTCTCTGTTACTAGATTTGCATTTTGGCCCCACGGTTATAATTTGGGACAGTTTACAGAAATGGGAAACAAACAAACAGTGGTGTTTCTTTAAGATAGATTTTTTTTTCCCTTCATTTTCTTGCATGATTGGTCTGAAAAAGCAGTTCTAGGTAGACAGTGAAACAAGATAGACACATAAGAAAGTAGAGGTTGCATGCATGTCTACTCTTTAAAATGATAATGCTTTCTTATGCACATATGATAGTTGGTGATATGCACCTTTTAGAGTAGCTGAATGCTTTCAGTTTCCATTTGAACGGTAATTGGGATGCGGATAACGCCCTGACTCAATGTCATTGACATCCCTAATGAGGAGCTCATAGTGTCGCCTCACTTCTTCAGCCGATTTCCCACCAACTGCTCTTGCAACGTTATGCCAACGGTCAGGAGTGTCCTGGTCATATGTAGCCAAAGCCCTTTCAAATAGTTTGTTCTCCTTACGTGTCCAAGAAGCGTTAGAACTCATGGAGTTGGAAGCCATTTAGCGAAAGTATATCAAGAGTAGAAGATCGAAAGGAGCCTTTTGATTATGGAAACTGAGTTTGTGTGTAAAAGAAGGAAGATGTATGTATGACTTGATGAAAACAGGAGTTGATTTGGTTAGTTGAGAGAGTATGAAGCTCCATATATGTAGGAGGAAAAAAGCATGGTGTGGGGTTAAGCCAGTTGGAAGAATATATACTTTAGGAGTGACTATTTCTTTTAGTAACCACATAAAAGTCTTAGAAGGTACACAATTGTGAAACAATCCAATGAAACTTGAGATTCCTAGCCCATGCAATAGAAAAAAAAAACTGCAAATGGCTGTGGCTTCCTTCCTTTTTTCACGTATCCGTACAGTAAAGACTAAGGTAGTATGCTTTGAGACCTTCTCTTACCTCTTTAAGGCTGTTGATGCGATCTAGAGATCTTATCATTTAGATTGTAGTATCCGATGCTTATTTAAACACATGAGATTGTTAGATTATGTTTGATGCTTCTTGTGATCATTTCCGTCCATTTTGATTGGAAAAAAAAATAATCGGTGTACGAGTTCTCTTTGATTTCATTGCTCTAGCTGTTTAGTGATATGTCTTTTCAATATTGTCGAAGTCGTAGCTAGTCATAAGAGAAACAACATCGCACACTTCTTTTACCGATTCTTGCCATTCTTGTTCTCATGGCTTTTATAACAAATTTGGTAATGTAAATCATGATCTGATGAGTGATCTTTATTACATTGGCTCGTGTTGAGCATCTGTTGAGAAAGACACAAACTCGTGCAATACATATATATATATGTCTTGATGCTCTCTAGTAGCTTTTAGCTTTAAGCTATATTCCCCCAATGACAAGATAAATATCTGATTGCAATATATATAGTACAAATTAGTAATTTGGCTTAATAATGGGGGATTAGCCAGGCCACTGTGACCATAAAAACATTCTTTTAAAACCATAAGAACCGAACCTTATGAGGTTTGTTTTCGTCATCGAATCAGTCAAATATTAATCATTTCTTTTTAAGAATATTTGCTTTGCCCTTCTTTTCTAACAAGTGGATAAGAAGATTGGTCGATTTAAACCTAAGTAAACTTGAGCAGCTACTTTTCTTGCAGACCACTCTTTTTGGTAAGAATTTCATGCGTTTGCGCATGCATAATTTTTTTCTTTTTAAACGTCAATACTGCATGGCTATCGAAATAAAATAATTTTCTTTTTCATATTTGAATTTTTTTTCTTATTCATTATATTTTGTTTTAAAAAAAAATTTTACATTAATTCTTTTTAAAAAAATTAACTTATTTTTTTAGTCTTGTATTTCTAATTTGTAAAAGATATAATGTAACCCAAAGTTATGCATTAACCACGAGAAAGGTTGGGCAAAACAGCACCTTTTTAAGGATATTCAGGTGATTTTGTTTATTTTATCTCCTTTTTTTTAACGTTGGGTGGTAATAATACAAAATGGACAAATTCCAAATCTTGAGAAGATCTCATCGATGGATCTTATCGACGACATCTGCGCCTTTCTTACGCTTCTTCTGCTCCTTTGTTTTGGACATTGTTTAACTTCTCTTATTCCTCTCCACTCACTCTGTTTTCATTGTACCCATATTAGTTATATATATATATATGTATATGTATACATAAATATAATAACAAAAAAATGAAGATATGGACTGTATTTCTTCTCAAAAAAGTTTATAAAATATCTTAATATCGTAGTACTCTTTGGTCTCTATTCTAAGGTTTGTGATAAAACATTCTTTTGGCAGATACTCATCTCCTTTCAACTTCACTTGCGCACTCAACAACTTGTCCTCTTGGAATATATTTTTGGACTCTTCCATTTGGATCCGTACCGTCACTTCTACGCTTCCTTGCTTAAGGTAAGCGCAAGCACTCATATTAATTTATCTTCCATTACCAACGTCAACTAACAATTCCTGCTTCAAATTTTCATTAGAAGAACTTCGATTTTTCTTACTATGTCCTGTTTGTTCTGTTCATTTGATTTTGTAGGCTAATTTGTATTAAGGACATATCGACATTTATGTAAAACTCAAAACCACGTCATTAATACGCCAAAACTCAACACCAAACGTTTGATTTGAACTCTTGATATTTGAATATCATCACAAATATCGTGTGCCTTATTTTTTTCTCTTCTCTAATCGTTTCGTGAAGGTTGGATATTTGATATCCAAATCCTAACTTATGGCCGGCCTAATATATATAACTAATAAAATTGTGGTAGTCTAATTCTAGAGGGGGAGGGGGACAAATTCTCTTTACTTCTTTATTTGATTAGATTCTGATCTTGCCTGATCCCTTTGAAGTGGACCACATTTGACGTTTCGAAGATGCTCCCTCGTAAAACCCTCTATTTAACAACTTTTTACTACTTTATATCGTTGCTTCTTTATTTTGATGTCAAAATTTAAACATATTTTATTACCATATATGTTCCCGAATCCACATATTTTGATGTCATCATATTATAAACTTCATAACCTTAACTTTTGTTTTTGGGGATAAAATGTATTAAAAAAAATCATTTAATTTGCCTCCTGAGAGAGCACGGAACTGCCCGGAGAAGAGTATATTGGCTGCAATATTGCAGGTAAAACTAAAAGCCAGCCATCATTTTATATAAACTAACAACCGAGATACATACAAAAAGAATAATGTAGCAATTTACCATTTTCGTTATATTAACATTTGATGAATGATAATTTAACATGAGTTCTTACATTTTCCTCATTTATATGTTTTAACATATTCACTTGTGTTTTTCGATTGGATAAGTAAAACCTTCGAATGGCCTTACATTTAATTTTTTATTTTTCTTCTTCTTTTCTTACATGTATAATTAAATTCGTGTGATGAAATGACATAAGTGAATATGCTACAAGAAATAAATGAGAATTAATACGTTTGAGAAAGAAAAATATTTGACCAAATAAAAATATGTATAGCAATACCCTTTTAGTAGGACTAGGACAAAAACATAGTTTCGAAGAAAATTCTCATATCCTTTGTGGTGATGAGGTCAGTCGTGTGGTGACTGGTGATTACATCTGATCCAAGACTAATCAAACCATCCGGCGATGGCTAAAATAATCTCAAAGTTTTTTAGTTTACTCAAAAAATTACCAAAATCACTGAATTTTCTGGTATCACCAACTTGCAGTTGAACACGATCTCTACATATATTTTCACAAACTCTTTCATAAAACCTAATACTTTGAGTGGGCTTGAGATCCATTCATACATTATTAACTTGTCCATGGGCATTGACATTGTCAATACCCATTAGTCTGTCTCTTCCTTCTTCCTTACTTGTGCCTATTCTAGTTGACTTGGTATTTACTTTTTTCAAAATATTTATAATTTAGCACTATAACAAATATTATATGAGTTTCTAAGAATTAAAAAGTAAAAGGCATTTGATCGAATCATATTTAATAACACATGTTTCTTTGATCTAATTCTCCCTTCGTAAGTTCCCCTATATATAGAAACATATGAAAAAGCTTAAAAATGTTCTAGAAAAGGCACTTGCGCGTAAAATGTACAATACTTTCATCTAACCTATAGACTCTAGTCATAGATCTATTGAATATTATGTCTACCACCAACTCTAACCGTGTGCCATCCAAAATCAAAACCTAAAAACATCAATCTTGATTATCATAGGGGCGAAAGAGCATCCCAAAAGTTAAGTTATTTAATTATCTAAAAAGCGATTCGCAATTAATTAAACGCATCTTTTGTTGTGAGGATGAGAGTTGTTGTCGCTTGTCAAAGAGTAGTAGGTGGAGCCAATCATATTATACATTTTGGGAAAACATGATTATACCAAATAGTTGACTAGACCTAGAATTTACGTAACTAGCTTACCCTACTTCTGTTTTATTCGTCGAAATAAATGAACTAACTCATCTCTACCACATTAATCATTTTTTGGGAGAAACTTCTACTCGGAAAATTCAAATACCAATATACTATTTTACTTTCATTTTTGTCGGTGGCCTAAAAATGTCGAACTTTAGGTCAGAGCCTTATTAGTTCTAAGCCCTCAAGCAGGTAGGTTACATCAAAAAACAAATTATTATACCTGCTTTGGCCAATAAGGAACATGTATGCCTTCACATTAATTGGGACATTGATGTTTTGTCCAAATTACGGCACAACTTATCACTTTTAAAACAAATAAACGTCAATACTTATCGAACTTTAAAAAGAAAATCAAAATCTTTAAACCCATGGTATCTACTACCAACTATTGACAATACATACACTATATTTAAATCATCATATCTAGTACTATTCTCTAATTTACACCTAGATAAACCCGGATAACAGTCTTTCGATTGTTGAGTAATTTGTCTAAGTATTACAATAAATTATTCACTCCATACAATCTTTAATGATTCGGTCGCAATTTCTGTTGCCATTATTTAGAAGAACAAAAAAACTCAAATAGATTTAGGTATTTAGCAAGTGGGGAAAGAATAAAAGGTGGACCAGTCAACGGATTGCGACGAAGAAGACGACTTACACAAATGTTGATCATTTGCGTTTGTGAAGGACGTGGTCACAAAATAGTAAACTATCTCACTAATGGCATGTGATATGACTACAATATCTGCTATGTTTATCTATCTTTTCATTTTTCACAAGGCTAATCAGCCAAATTACAAATTTAGATGTTGGAGGATTACACGTTGGACTCTAAATTTTCTAGCAGGATTGACTTCAAACTTTAAGTGTAATTTTGTTGGCAAATAAGAAATACATCAAAAATATTTCGCAGTAGTAAACACCAAAGCAACATAACATGTTTCTAAAAGAGATTGACATTATTTAGTACATTCGCTTTGTAACGATATTCGGTTTCCGGATGGTTTTGATTCTTGAATAGATATTTTAGTGAATAGATAGGTATTTTGCATGGACATACCCTGGGACCCAAATATTGGTGATAATGTAGTTCTTTTTTTTTTTTTTTTTTTGCTTTTCGACAAGAGTGTATGATGCAAAAAAATTGACAAAATCGTAGTATAGGTAATTTAAAGTGAAACGGGCGCAACTTTAAGGGAATGCGTACTTATCTATTAACCAAAAAAAACTACCTTTAACAAAATACTTACGGCATAAATCTTGGAATGACATCGGACACCATTTTACTCTTTTTAATTACAACTTACAAGACAAAGGTGAAAATGACAAGGTCTACTCAAATCACCATTAGAAAACATAAAATCAATTCTTACCATCCGTCGATACGAAAAGAATAAAATAATAAAATGTATATTACTTACGTTACGACACTATCAATCTCTATTAGAAAGAATGGTGAAAATCATTAGTTTAACAAACTTAAGAAAAACGATATATATTAAAAATCAAAGAAGGAAGACTTTTACTCAGAAGTACCTTTTCTCTGGAAAAACAAGGAAAAAAAAAACTTTAGTCTAAATTACTAAAAATAAAAATTGTTTGCATGTGTATTGACCTGACCATTACGAGACCTCGTCCTTTCAATTAAGTCTGCGCTTGACACGGCACTCTTATGATGTAAACCAATCTCTTTTGGACCAAACGCGGTCACGTAGATTCCGTCACAGCCCCAATTATCGTCCTTTTTCTATTTGTAGCTCAACGACTTATAATCGACCGTCATTCACCAAAAAGGCTGTCACTTTAACACTCTCAGTCTTCTTCTTTCCCAAAGGAGGAGGCCAGTATCTCTCATATAATCTCATCTCATTTTCTTTTCTCCCAAGGTTTCAACGACCAAAGTTTATTACTTTTTGTTTAATTCAATCCTCGAGATCTTTGCACGAACAAAACTGTTTCTTTTTCTTGACCCACCAAAAAAACAGTTGGTATTTTTCTGCGAGAAAGCAGAGAATTTCAGTGTGTTCGATTTAGGTTTTTTTCTTTTCAAAATATCTGAAGGGTTTGTTTGAGTCGATTATTTGGATTTTAGCAGAGGAGCTATGCTCAAGGTCTTAGCTGAAATTCTCGCTTTCTATCACCATTTTTTGTTTCTCTTTCTGATTTACGGTGGTGAGTCTGCAAGGGAAATTCTCTGTTTTTTCTGAAAAAAATTTCTGTGAAAATCTTCAAGTTTATGTTGGTGTATGGTTCTCCTTCTAAGGGCTTTTTACTGTTCGTAACATTATAGGGTAAGTCAATTTTCTTGTTGTTGTCTCTGCTTTGGTTTGTTTATCTCTGGAATTGTGTTTCTTGTCTGTATTTGACAATTTTTCCTAAAAGAACCTTTTATGTTTTATCAAATTTGCAGAATTTAGGACACTTCTTGTTTAGATGGGAATTGATATCACTCAACGGATAGAGAGGTTGCCTCACTACTTTAAGGTTGGTTCTAACTTCTAAGAAAAGAATCTCTTACGATGGAGAATTGTCTGTTGATTTTTGCCTTTAAGGTTTGTTATTGTAATAACATGTTTTGTTGCTCTGCTTCAGATGCACTCTTCCATGTGCTTAGAACTGAAGAGCTTAGTTGATAGAATCATGAGCATCTTTCCTGATATAGAAGATGCTCGACCCGGAAGCTCCTCAGGGATACAAACTCTATGTTTGCTCAACACAGCTTTGGAGAAAGCTAAGCTGCTTCTTCAGTACTGCAGTGAATCAAGTAAACTCTACATGGTTTGTCTAAAACTCAACTTCCTCTCATATTTGATGTAGAATCATCCACCTGTCGTTACATTCATCTCTCTGTGTGGCCAAAATGTGATTAATTCTTGTTTCAATCTTCAGGCAGTAACAGGAGATGCTATACTCTCAAGAGGCTGTAGAGCAAAAAAATCATTAGAGCAAACCTTAATTGACATCCGAAGCATGGTGCCAACTGTTTTGGCTATCAAGGTTTGCACCAAACTCTGTTTTGACTTCTTTTTGTTTCTAGGGAAAATGCAGAATCTCTGATGGTAGTTTTGCTTGTAGATATCTCAGGTAGTCCAAGATCTTAGATCAACTGTTTTGACACTGGAATCATCTGAAGAAGAAGCTGGGAAAGCTGTTAGAGAACTGATGCAACGGAGCACATCTTCTTCTGTTTCTTCGGATGAGATCAGAGATTTCTATTTCGCAGCACTAAAGCTCCAGCTTTCAACACCCGAAGCCATTGTGATAGAGAGAAGATCATTAAAGTCGCTTTTGGAGAAGTTAGGCGAGTGTCAAGTGGACAAGAGACAGATTCTGAAGTATCTTCTCTGTCTCCTGAAAAAGCATGAAAGAATCATCTGGAGAGATCATAAAGACAACTCTTCTTTCACACAGCATCAGCCTGTCAATGATTCTGTGTGTGCTAGTGTTGCAGAGGCCGGGTGTTCTGAGGAACGCAATGATACGCTTCCCGAGCAGTTTAAATGCCCGCTTTCTCTGACCGTGATGTATGATCCTGTCCTCATTTCTTCTGGTCACACTTTTGAGAGGATGTGGATTCAGAAATGGTTCGAAGATGGTAATGTTACATGTCCTAAATCAAAAAGGATGCTGGATGATCTCACGTTGAAGCCCAACGTAGCGATGAAGGTTCAGATATCAAAATGGTGCTCGAAGCACGGTCTTGATGTTCAAGATCCAACAACGAAGCACACAAAGGCTTTGCAGAATATTGACTTCTCTGTTTCCATTGCTAGCTTTGGAAGTTCTCTGTACGATATCCCAGATCTCGGCTGCTTCTCGAGCACGGATTTCAGCTCGAGCTTTTCCACTGATTCTCCATCCTTCTCTAAGATGTCAAAGGGTGGTTACTTCATGCCAATGCAGACGATAAATTCTGAGTCAGGCACTGTTACCACAGATTCTAGTCACAGCGAGATGGAAATAGAGCCCTTATGTGAACTCTCCAACCTTCCATTTGATGCGCAGATCAAGGTCATCGAAGATGTAAGAAGTCGTTATGAGCACAATACTCGCGCTTTTCGGTTTATGTCACCGAGTAAGTTTCTTGAGCCACTTATCACATACTTGAAGAATGCTCACGAAAGAAATGGCACCACTGGAGACATAATAAAGAGTGGATTGAATTTGCTATTGAATTTCCTCAATGGGAACAGGAGGGCTATAGAATCTTTGGAAGAAGACGTTTTCAAAACGTTGTCGATCTTTCTCGGGTCCGATTCCGTGGTAGTAGCTGAAGAAGCTCTGAACGTATTTGAGATTCTCTCTAATAATCCGCAATGTCTCTCCAAGTTAACTTCATCAGGCTTTCTCTCTTCCCTTTTGAAGATCACCGAGTCTGGAGCACAACATCTCCAAGAACAAGCTATGATCACACTCAAGAACCTTTCCTCAAGCAATGAGATCTGTCTGGAAATGGTGTCTCTCGATTTCATCAAGAAGCTCACATCGTTCTTGCAACAGTTTTTTTTCAGCAAACAGTCGATCATCATTCTGAGAAACCTCTGCAACACCGAGAAAGGTCGGGTCTGTATGACCGAAACACCGGGTTGTATAGCTTCCATAGCTGACTTACTCGAATCAAATGTTCCCGAGGAGCAAGAGAATGCAATCTCCATCCTCCTACAGCTCTGTGTGCAGAAGATGGAGTATTGCTACCTTGTCGTGAGAGAAGGCGTTGATATTTACTCATCTCTTATCTTAATATCCAACAATGGAACCGAGGAAGCGAAGGTGGGTGCATCGGAGTTGCTTAGAGCTCTTGAAGAAATAGTCAGAGAAGAAGAAGAAGAAGAATCCTCCAGACCAGAGGGAGCAACTGCCGCAACCACTTCACAGGTTTTTACTCATCAGGAGCCTATACTAACAACACCATCTCCAAAGAAATCTGGTCTTTTTGGATTCACTTTCTCGAGTCTCAAGAAGAAGAAAAGTAGATAAACGGATAAGTTTTGTTAGGATGTCTTAACTTAGTTTTGAAAGGTTATAATACTTTTTTGTGGTTCCATCTTTGTTGACTTAGGTTTGTATATTTTATTACCACTCCGAAGGGCCTCCATTAATGCAAGTGTAGTTGTAAGTTAATAGGGAAAGAATTGTGAGGAAGATAGTTTGCAATTTGTAAATCATTTAAAATGAAAAATGTCAATTCTTTAAGAAAATTTTCTGCCTTTGGTTTTTGGTTGCCAAGAGAGAGAGAGAAATACTTATATTTGGAGAGAGATCATATTATATATACTACAATGTACAACAAGAATGGTTATGACCACAAGAGCTTTTTCTCTTTCTTCTACAAATGCATATCCCCTAGTATTTGTATGAAGATATAATAGATTGAAAGAAAGATATTTGGATTAGTTTCCTCCGTCTTTCTTGTTCAAATTTCAGATAACGTAGAGAAAAGGATAAGACAAAAAAAAATTGTGGTTTACTCAATGACCCTTATCCCTAATAATTTTACTTCAGGCTGAAGAAATTGGATACGGAATCAGTTCTCAAGCTGTTGTAAAGAGATTGTGAGTGAGTTTCCCAGCTTGCAGATGTCTGATCTTTCTACAGAAAAGAAAATGAAACAGGTTACTTCACGGACAAGTAACAATTTGTTTGGGAATAATGATTTTTGTCTTGTCTAAGAGAAAGATTATTACAATGCCGAGAGATGTGGTTTGGCTTGAGTTTATGACTGAGTAATCTAGAGATCCTTGCTGGTGTAATGGAAAAGACTGTAAATCCGCCATCACTGACTGCTTCGAGACAGCTTCTGGAAGATCTGCGAAATAAGCCTGAAACTAGATTACAATTTAAAACCAGTTAATAAAAAAACTCGGATACTTGTATTTGTTGTAGCTGAATAATATATTAAAAAAAAATTTGTCACCTGTTTTGTGGATAGTTCATTGATATGGAACTCAAGCTCTGGGTTTAAGACAGAGAGTTTCATCGACAAGAACTCAACTTGTTGTTGCAGAGATTGGACATAGTTGATGATCTCATCAAGCATACCGGCTTTTCCAGTAACTTTGGTGCATCCAGGAACAATATCTTGAAGACATTTCATCTTCTTGCTTATCTTTTCTCTCCTTGCCTGCCAAAATCCCACCAAAAAAAAAGTAAGAAAATATATCTCTCAGATAAAGCCCTTAGAAGTAATTTCTCTGAAATCAATCCCTTAATCAACACTTAAACTAATTACCCTTTCTGCTAAGCTATGTCTGTCGGTGGCTTCACCTCGTCTAGCTCTCACATGGATGTAATCTGGTTTCTGAATCTCTGAGGATGTCTCTGTGTTGCTCATGTTTGATTTTCCTTTCATGCTCGTTTCTGTTTCAGCCTCTGTTTTGATCTTCTTCTTCTCTCTCTTTTCTGTCTTACCCTAAAACCAAAAGTTAAACAATCAAAACCAATGTTCCAAACAAAATACAAACACCAAAAATAAATACTTTCTAGAGCTATAAACCTCTGGTTTTCTCTTGTTCTGGAAGGAAATGGCTCTGTTAACTTCATCGTTCTTTACTGGTTCCATTTGGAAGCTACTTGTTCTTGAAATGCAGCCATCAATAACATTATAATCCGGTCCAAATTCGGGAAAATGTCTGAAACTCTGCAACTCATCATTGGTATTTCCCAAATAACTCTCAACCCTTTTAAGCTCTTCTCTCCCACCTGAGCCAAGTATCTGAAGAAATTCAGGTGACACCATTTGTTGCTGTTGCAACCATTTAAGCTTTTCAGGTATATACAAGTCCATGGAGAGAAGGTAGAAAAACTTAAAGCTCTTATCTTTTCTTTTGGGGGTTAAAGCTAAAGAGAGAAAGAGAAAGAGTTAAGTTATATGTGTGTGGGAGAAATGTAATCCATTTGATATAATTATTCTTAGCTTTAAATAGAAAGCAACATTGACCCACACACATGAGATTCGAAATCTAGTGAGAGAGGGACAAAATTGATAAAAGTGGAGGAGGTTGGGGACAAAGAAGGTGAGATGAGAAGTCGTGGGGTCTAAATGACATAACCTACCATGTGGTCATGTCCTTGTGAACATGAGATGAGGAGTCTCTTAAGTTAGTCGTTTTTGTGTCTTTCTCTGTTTTATTTTTCTTTTGCCCTTTCAAGTTTTTGAGAGGATCTTTTATTTGCCAACCAAAATAAAGCCGACTTAGCAAACTTAAGGTTTAAGAGTATTATCATATAAAATATTGAGAAATTTATTTTCAGTCTTGGCTCATAATCAATCATTCATCTCGGCAAAAATAGAAAAGAACAGTTCATTTTGTCTTCTCATAATTAACGCATCAAACTGAGAGATAGAATTTTATAATAAAATCATACAATAAGAAATAAATTATTTTAAATGGAATCATTGAGATTTTAGGCACACTGCAAATAACTTTTGATTGTATATCAATTCATCCATTTCTTTTTAAAGAGAATCTTACTTGAAGAAAGAGTGTTTCTTAAGGTCATGGTGGAGAATGTGGGGAATGTGGGGAATGTGAATTATGAATCTTAACTTGCAAATGAATAGAAAGATTGAATCATGAGAGGTTTGGGGCCAGTGATATCATTTCCATGTCTTGTTGTGAATCTATACGTGATTCTTGTGACGTATTGTTACTATCATTTATCAATCTATGAATTACACCAATATTTTATTCTATTTCATATATTACAGAGATCATCAACCAAAAATTTATATCTACAGCAAGAGAGAGAGAGAGAGCATCTTTATGACTATATTTGAAATAGTATACTAGTTTATTTAAGAGCAAATTTATAAGTGATAGGGACAAAAAAATAAGAGATCTAAAGAAGAAATGGGTTTGAAGATAAGTGACAGGAAGGTAGGCGACACCACTGCTTTTGATCTAAGTGTTTGGTCCCTATGGGCTATACTTTTTATTTTATTTTATTTATTTATTTTAGAATTATATATCGATACCTTATCTATACCCGGTGAGATAATTCAAGCTAGAGAATCAATACTATATCTAACAACATTGTAGTTTTTCTTAACACATTAAATAACAAGTCCATATGGAAATTCAGTTGCTTTGTACCATGTTATTACTTACAATAATAGCAATAACTGATCGTCTATGAAAATCTTTGTTGCAAGAAAAGTAGTGGCACTGTTAAAGTTAGTGAAGGGCTTTATACTTCTAAGAATGATCTTGAACAAAAGAAATAGAAGCATGTTAGCAAGTTGTAGAAGTTTTGTTTCGGTATACTTGTTCTCCATGTCCTTAAATATGACTTCGGTTAACAAAAACTGATTCTATTTTCTCTTTGAATCGTTCCCTTAGATTCATCTTTTGCCTTTTTCGGGATTCGCAGATCAAATGGCTTACAACCACATCTGGTTAACATTCAGTTCCAAAAGAAATTGAAATTGCAGGTATCATCTAATTATGATCCAATTTCAGATCGAACACTAGTTTACATGATTTCTCAATAAGATATCAATTTCCATGGTTCTTTTGGAATCATCATCAAGATTCAAGAAGCTATAGTAGTGAGAGATTAGATAAGAGAGATTACAAGATTGTTTAGGAGAGCTATGTACTTCACTAATAGTACATGTATATGAGGTCTCTGGTTGATTATGTCAATTACATGATTTTTATTGGTTAAGGATATTTGCGGTTAGGAGTTATTTGGGAAATAACAATGAAGTAAATAAAATTCAGGATCTTTAGGACACATTACGACTGAACCGGCCGGTTCTGGTAGTTACCGGTTTTATTTTTAAACCAAGCATTTTGGTAGAAACATTCTGTTACGTCGAGCGGGTTCGAAAACTTGTCTGGCTCAGGCGTCGCCACAACTCTCGCGCAAATTCACACATACACTCGGGCTCTACACTCGGTGCTCCTTAAGTTTTTTTTTTTACTTGCATCTTTCTAGCTCTCAATTCTGAAACTATCTGTTTCTATTGTTCTTGGAGATTTCACGAGGCTGTTCTCTGTGAATCGATCGATGTCTGCTTCGTGTGCTCTAACACCGTCTGTTAGGACAGAATTATTCAGCTCATCATCTAAAAGATCCATCTTTCCTGCTCAAATTTCCCGACCCAGTAAGATTCTACAACACCTTTCATCAAATTATTTTTAGACTAAGCCTGAAATGTAACAGCTTTGTTAAATCTTGCAATGAAGGAAACAAATGTGAAATCAGCAGAAGGGATTTTGCTGTGAGAGGGATTGTTGCTTCTGGAGTTTCAGTCATGGGTACTCCTTCTTCACCATCAGCTGCTTCTCAATCTGTTCAAGGTTTGAGTCTTGAAAACATAGATTTTGATTGTGGCTTTCTCTCCTTGTTACAATGTCTAAACGAGTTGGATGATTCTTTCTTTAGGTAGTGAGAGGCTAGCTTTCAAGCCAGAAGGGTATAACTTTTGGAAATGGAGAGGTCACAAGATTCATTATGTGGTTCAAGGAGAAGGCTTACCTCTTGTTCTTATTCATGGATTTGGTGCTTCTGCCTTTCATTGGAGGTATCCTCAGTTTCTCTTCTACCCTCTAAATTGTCACTCTTTCCTTTAGCTTCTGCCTGTCTGTCTCTCTTGATTTGGGAATAATCTTTATAATTTTAAGGAAATCAAGATTCATTGGGTTAGAACCGGTAAATTTGTAGGTATAACATTCCTGAATTGGCTAAGAAGTACAAGGTTTATGCCTTGGACTTACTCGGTTTCGGTTGGAGTGATAAAGCTCTCATAGAATATGACGCCATGGTTTGGACTGATCAAGTTATTGATTTCATGAAAGAGATAGTGAAAGAGCCAGCTGTTGTGGTCGGAAACAGGTAGATGAATGTCTTCTTTGAAGCTCTTTTTGCCAATCCATAAGGAAACGTGAGACAAAGCTTTCGACTTTTTTCACAGCCTCGGGGGATTCACAGCTTTGTCAGTTGCGGTAGGATTGCCCGAGCAGGTCACAGGAGTTGCACTTCTAAACTCTGCAGGACAATTTGCAGCAGAGAGTAGAAAGCGAGAGGAAGCTGAAGAAACTGTGATAACTAAGTTTATAGTTAAGCCACTTAAAGAGATTTTCCAACGCGTGGTTCTCGGGTTCTTGTTCTGGCAAGCCAAGCAACCTTCTCGAATCGAATCTGTCTTAAAGAGTGTAATGTCTTACTGACTTTTGTTAGATTTCCTCTTCATCAAAGTTTGTTACTTTGCACTCAATTTTTTATTGCAAAAAAATGCAGGTGTACATAAACACTGCTAATGTCGATGACTACCTCGTCGAATCCATTTCAAAACCTGCAACAGACCCAAATGCTGGAGAAGTATACTACAGGTACTACAAACACCAAAGAGAGCTTCTCTGTTTTGATACATAAAGGGACCTGACTGTTGACTTTTTACAGATTGATGACAAGGTTCTTAACGAACCAGAGTAAATACACTTTAGATAGTGTTCTAAGTAAGATGACTTGCCCGCTTCTGTTGGTTTGGGGCGATCTTGACCCGTGGGTTGGTCCTGCTAAAGCCGAGAAGATCAAAGCATTTTACTCGAACTCATCGCTCGTGCACTTACAAGCAGGGCATTGTCCTCATGACGAAGTTCCGGAAGCTGTAAACATAGCTTTGTTGGATTGGTTGTCCAATGTAGTTTCCAAGCCATCATCCCCTAAAGCCATGGAGATGTAAAGAACTCTTTCTTTTTTTTTGTTTGTGAAGGAAGTATATAGTTGTAAATACATTGTTACCACTGCTTCTGGGATTGTATAATTTGAGAATTAGCTGAGGATATGATTAGGATTCTGACTTAAGAGCAAAGTTTGGATCAAGCTTTGCTTAAAAAGAATATGGATGCAAATGATATAGTGGGCAAGTTGCAGTGAGTTGTCCATCTGAAGCCCAAGAGAATAAAAGACAACTTACAATTTGAATCAGTTATGACATTAAAATTTTTAAAAATAATTGATGATAAAATAGTGGGTACCAAATAGTAGATTGACTTGACATGTTGTTTTCACACGTGTGAACCATGCAATTTACAGTTTTTTCTTCATGTTTTTTGGGCTATAAATTTATTAATGGTCATATGAAGTTAGACAGCAGAACTGGAAAAAAAACTGTAATAACATTGAAAAAAACAACTATTAAGTAAAATAAGAATATGCAATTTATACTTTTTCCGCGGTTGTATAAAGTTGTGAATATAATGTTTCAAAAAAAAAAAAAACTCTACATAACAAAAATGGTCTATCATTAATTTATTATTCGGTTTATCATGATTCCAAATTAGTCGCTCTCAATGACAAGTGTACAAGACATTGATTTCTACACAACCTGATTAGAGCTCTTAGACTACTTACTACAACAAGTCCCGCTAATTATCATAGATTTAGAGAAAACAGAAAAATGACTGACTAATTTGAATAAAAAGTGTGGATCATATTAGGTAATTTCCTTATACAGTTTTGAATTATCTAATATATTGTCTTATTATATCAAAAAGTAATAATTATTTAGGAGATGGTCGAATGAATATTGAGTACTGCGATTCCAAAGTGGCCAACATAAGGACCCCTTTCTTTCTTTCCTTTAATATTTTTTAATCCAACATTTATAAACTCGAGAATTATGGAATTAGTTTTTTCATTTCCTTAATGACTTTTATTCGAACGTTTCTAACCTCAAAATACATGGAAATTTCCTACCAAACTGCCGGAATCAAATTGCGTTACATATCAAACTGTTTTTGCCTCGTAATCTACAAAAGTAGTAGAGTTACGCTCAGAATGGTGACACACACTATTCTGCGAATGGTTTGTTAATCGTGTAGAAATGGTGAAACTGCGTTTTGCAACATTATATATTTATTTTAGTAAAGTTATTGAATAAACATATATTCTATGCCTTCTAAACCACTATAATCATAATAAACCATGAATAATTATGATCAACAAGTAAAAATTTCGTACATGGGCCGGTTTATAATTCATTCGTACACTAGTTATGCTCAGAAACATGCTTTTCAAATGATTGCACTAACACTATAATATAGTGAAATTCAAATATATCAATAATTAGTGTTCTGGAAAATGTTTTTTTTGGGGGGGGGGAATCATTTGTATTTGGGGAGTATATTACTCCCAACTCACTTGTATAATTAGTATTCTGGTAAATATATAAACTAGTAGTACCATTAGTGTTTTTTTTTTAAAAAAAAATTTACCTTCAACCTAAAGCACCTAGAAAAATGCGTGAGAGTAAAAAAATTCTGAATTATCCGGTTAAACAAAAAAAAATCAATAATAAGCGGCCAACATTTAGAATCATATCTAGTGGTTTTTGCTTTATTTGACATTTTCTTAATTATGTTGTTCTATATGCATGAGTTTCAACATCTGAACATATAAAAGGGAAAGAACGTGAAAAGAATCTCCATATCATACTTTACCATGTACTAATATAGATTAAATAAATAGAGAGGATTACCCAAAAAGAGAAGTGGTCCTAATTAATATTCAGATTGCTCTAAATTGTAGGCTGTACTGTGGACAAAAGTGAAGGAATCCAATCGAGTTGGAATGGAAACGATGAAAAGAGATTTATTATATAACCCAAAAAAATGAAAATATGAAAAATGGGACAACAATATATACAGAAACCTAGTATTTGGTCTTTATTTTTTTGATAGATATTGTTAATACATATTTAGAATAGTCATGTCCAACACGATCAGATACAGATAAATGCGTGTCTCTTAAGTTATCCTAAATTAATCCTGTTTTGCGCAATATATGGTATATTCAGATCGCAGCTTATTGGTGAAGATAGATACTAATCTATCGCAGAACTAAGCATACAGCTGTATGTAAGAAATTATCCAATAATTTTCATTTATAGTTGAAACATGATATTAGAAAATTAAGTTTCGTACGGCCACAGCTAAGCATACAACTGTACAAGTTACGCATTCTGATAGCTATAACATGATCGTGAGTAGATTAGCGATTTCGATATTCGGGTAATTAACGGCATGAAAATTTTGCTGGCTTACAGTTATAAATATAGAGTTTCAAGGGATTAGCTGGTAACGGGTACGAAATCAATATAACAAAAAAAAAAATCAATATAACCAAATAGTTAAAGTCCACTAGCTATAGAAACTACAAGAATTTATTTACTTAACATTCATACCCAACAAAAAAAAAAACTATAAAGATTTGTTTATGTTGAAGACACATGTGATTGTAGTCTTGTAGACACAATCTGTTTATGATCTAGAAAATCAGATTTAATATCAACTGTGAAATTTTATATATATAGTACTTACTTAAATACACCGATCATGAAATTGTAGCAGGTATGAATAAGTGAATCTTGTAAGTAGGGCAAGCATGGCTGTGATCGACATCATTATGTTCCGTCCGTGGTAGTTAAGTATGTTTTCTTTCCTCATTTTTTATTTGATTTTAACTAGTACAGCCATTAACTAGTAGTATACTAATATTAATCAACTTATGGATTCGTCTTTTTCTAAATTTTTCTATTGCCTAGGGTTCATGCATGCTTTACGAGACACTCGCTTAGAAAACAAACATGCGTATGGATTCGCCTTTTCTATTTTTTTGTTCCATTGCCTAGGGTTCATGCATGCTTTACAAGACACAGACAAACATGCGAATACACACGCACATGTTTAAATTTGCATATAGATATGCTAGAATTCGAATAACTCGAATCTATTAACTGCATTAGAAATTTTGAACGAAATCGATTAATTTGATTTCAAAACGAAGTTGAGTTTCAATTCCGCTGATTAAGAAATTAACCAAAAAGTTAAAAACAGTATTCTCTTTTTAAAACTATTAATTATTAGTAGGCATAATCCACATCAATTGATGCTATAACCCAACAAGGAAAAATCAATAAGCCAACAACCCATCAATGAAGGAACAAGTCGTTATCTGAAAGCTTGATAAACAATTATAAGCTAGACCATGTGAGTATATTCTATAGCCTGATGAAAAACATAGCAAACTCGATCATGAAAAATGTTTTTTCCCCTGAAAGTTAATGAAAAATGATTGGAAGCTATAAAGTTTATATATATATATATATATTTTTTTTTTTTTTTAAAAAATATCATTCATCATAAACCATTTTCAAATCATGGATTAAATTCAAAATAGTATATATATAGTGAAAATCGGTATAGATAGGTATGTTTTCCGAAAAAGGGGTATAGGTGTAAACTATAAAGCCTTGTTAATCAATGATACATTAAAGACTTTCAAGATTAAACCTCGATATCGATTGGACGAGGGCAAAGAAGAGTAGTCATCATATGAGTTGTCAACCACAAATGGAATTTAATAATGGATCAAATCATGCATATGCCACGAAAAATCTCGTTATCGAGTGTGGACACAAAACGCTATACGCTCGCAAATCGGTATGTATTCTAGTAATTTATTAGAGTGATAATACGTATCGGGAATATATATTGTATATGCACAATGCACCCAGCACCATAATTGTGTCGTACTTAATTATTAGAGATGGGGTGTAATGACAATATAATTTTTGAATTGCAAGAGAGTATATATATGATCGTAGAAGAATACAAACCAAAAGAGAGGCTCTATATGATCTGGAGGGACGGTTAGGCTGTCTTATTCGTGACGTGAATCAAGTGGACTTGATTTTAAACTAAGATAATTCTATCGATTAGCACATTAATCAAGAGGCTTCCCTATCATTATATATATTTGTTTGAATCGCTATCCATACATCAATTAGTAGTACATGCTTTGCTAAAATTTGAACTAAAAATGCTTGCAAGTCTGATACTAACGTTTTACCTTATTAATAACTCCAATGAAGAAGTTAAAAATGAAGAATTAGTACAGAATAGAATGTGCGTTACACATGTAAATCATTCATTGGCAGAGGCAACCCCTGCGTTTTTCTTACCAGCCTTTCACAACATTTGTTTCCCTCTTGGGAACCCAATTTTCTTGTTCATTTATTATACTGTTTTTTATTATTCTTTTTGTTTTTGTCCGTATTTTGTTTTGTTTTTTATAGCCTTGCAAAACAACGACACTGTTATGTCTATGTTTTTTTATCTAGATGACTAGACCGGTCCGGAAAATCAAGTTTTTGAGAGTATAAGTAAATATATTGAGATTTCTGCGATCTGTTATATAAACGTTTTCAATTCCCTTCAATTTATAACGTTCTGTTATCTAGAGAGATATTGATATATATACAAATATTACTTTCATGGAAAATGCTGAAGATAGTGTGCTGCAACGGTCGGTCCCACCGAAGACGAAGAAGTGACAACAACTAGTAGCGTATATTTCCAGTTTTGCCCTTTTCTTTTCGGTTCGCGCGTTTTACCTGCTTACCGGCTACACCTGTCGCGCTTTTATCGGTTTCATAATAAAATTAAATTAAATTTACTAAAATAAATAAGCCTCATTAAAATATTGTCGAAAATATTAAAAACTGTTAATAAATCAGTCGCCGCCGCGCCGGCCGTTACGATTGCAGCAGCACGACTGTTTTCAGATTTTTTTTTTTTATAACAATATTATTATTGTTTTGCAATAAATTTATACTAGTAATATTTTGTTTAATAATCCTTGAGTTAGTCAGTTAGTGGCAACTAGTAATAACTTATTACTCAAATAGAAGGAATACCTATCGTTCATTATTAAAATCACTACTTCAAAATTGATCTATCAAAATTAACCAAAATTCAAACAGGCTAATACTATTCTCATATGCAATTTGGCTATTTCCGGATTTGTTTTCCTACTCTTATTTATTTGTTAATTGATTTTTGTACGATGTAGAGATGGGAATTATATTCCCTTTAAAAAAAATATATTCGAATTAGATTTTTCAAATTAAAGCTGAAGAGACCCTTTTTCGTCATTTTGGAGTTTCTTTTTGGGACATTTCTCTTTTGATTTTCGCTTTTGCGTCCTCTCTCTCTCTCCCTCTTGACTTCTGTTCAGACTCTCAAGGGAGCGCCTGCAAACCAGACCATAGAGAGAGAGAGAGGTTGAAGAAGGAGAAAGACTGCGAAGCTCTTGAATCATTGTTGATTCTCATGGAAAATCTCTCTCATTCTCGGAATCCAAGCAGGTCAGCGTCTTCTCTACAGAAGAAAGCTTGCAATGGTAATAATGGTGGTTTTAGCTACGGCTCCGGCAAAACGACTAATATCGCCACCACGTACGACGACGTTTTCGGCGGTCCGCCTAGGTTCGGAGCCCCGACGTTGTCTCCTCGTCTCGAGGACTATTGCGAGATTTTCGCCGGGTTTAATGGCTCCTCACGCGCCGCCGTCTCCTCGATCCCGGTGCTCGATCTTCCACTTGTAGACGATAGAGATGTCTACTTCGATGTTCGGAGCCAGGGCTTTGACTACCGTGAGGTTTTCGGAGGTTTTAACGATCTCGATTTAGCGCCGTCGTACGAGGAACTGTTTTTGCAGCGGTCCACGGTTGGTGATTGCGACTCCTCCGACGATGCTTGGTACTTTTCTTCATTTCTTCTCAAAACAAAGCTCTTCATTTTAGTATTTTTTTTGGGGTGAAATTCCTCTGATTTTGATTCTCTTAATGTAAGAAAAGATAAATGTGGTGACTTTATAGTTCGTATGTCTACAAAGTCTTCTCTTTTTTTCTGGGATAAGGTATTTTTCATCATTTGGTTTGCACTATTTAAGAGATTTGAGGTTCATTTTTTGTAGGACACCTGAAGAAGTAGAGTCGTTCTCAGGCAAAAGTCCTTCCTTTTCTAATGGCAGAGATTCGTACGACTCAATTGATGGCTGTACAGAGTTTAACATCTCTTATAACAAAGCTAGTCAGATAAGCGACACAAACATCTCCAGTGGCGGCGTCATACGTGTAGCTGATCTTGGTGCTATTCCTGGTTATACCGTTGCAGTTGATGAAATGGTTAGTGCAAGTGGAACTACAAAGCTCAACAACAAGGAGTCTGGGCCCTCTTCTGTTGGCAGAGGTAAATATGCCCAAGAGTATTACAGCGGAGTTACGTCTTTTCCGAGTGAACCTTTTGTGACTGTTTCTGAGATTGGTTTGAAGACTCATCCTACTGGAATACCACCTCCTTCGAGACCACCTCCTATGTTGAAGAGCGAGTTTAGAAGTTCTGCTTCTAATTCTAGAACCACCGGATCAGAAGGGTCCGTGGAAGGCAGTTCTCCACCCTTCTTCGACGTAGAGGTTGATGCAAGGTCTGCTGCTGTGAAGGAAGCTATGGTAAAAGCTGAGGCAAAACTGAAAAGTGCAAAGCATCTGTTTGAAAGGAAGAGGGATGGGGAAGAGAAATCGAGCCATACAGCTGGTTTGCCTGGTCTTGAGAGAAATATTGGTGTAGCTAGGACATCTTTACGGGATAAGTATGGAAGCAAGTCTCGCTCTTCTCAAGGGTCTGCAAACTCTGACGGAAATGATGAATGGGAAGAGGCTACACAATTTGTTGATTTGGTGCGAACAGAGCAACCCAGAAATGCTGATGAGAACAGTGGGGGAAAAGGTGATTCTTTTCCTCTTAATGCAGGGTTTTTCGATCAGAAGCTGACACAGGAAGCTAATCTTGGCTGGGAGAAACAACGGAGGAGAGCAAAAGGAGATAGGGAGGATCATGAAGCTAAGACGTTGCCAAAACACCCTGGAACGAGAAAGGCAACATCTAGGCATAAGAGACATGAGGACAGGCTTGCAGAAAAGGCTCCTGAAGAGCCGAAAGATGAGAAGTTGAGAGATGTTGAGCTGCAATTGAGATAGGCAATAATTTACCTGATCATGGTGGGATAGTGAAACACAGAAATCTGCTTAGACCAGAAGAAAACAAGCCCTTAATTGAAAAACCTGCAAAGCAAAGGAAGGAATTGCACTGTGAAGAGAAAACAAAACGCATACAAAATCATCAATCGGATAGAAGAGCACATCGGAAAGCAGCTGAAAAGAACCAGGATTGTGTGTTTGATTGGGAACAAAATGCGAGAAAGCTCAGGGAGGCCCTTGGTCTGGCAGATAACGAAAGCACGCTAGAGATTTCCCTGGAAATTAAAGGAAATGGTAAAACTTTGGGAATGCGTGGCGAAACGGACGAGACAAAACTTAATGAGGCCTTGAGGCGGATGGAGGAAGAAACTAGGTCTAAAGAGGCTCGTGTAAAGGAAGAAACTGACAGCAGAGAAAGAGAAGCTTTTGAGAAGGCAGAAAATGAGAAAAAAATAAAGGCAGCTTTGGAGCAAGAAGAGAAGCTTAAGGTTGCTCGTGAAAAAGAAGAGAATGAACGGAGAGCGGCAGAGGCTCGCGAAAAGGCAGAACAAGAAAGGAAAATGAAAGCACAAGAAGAGTATGAATTGCGGTTAAAAGAAGCCTTTGAAAAGGAAGAAAAAAACCGTAGAATGAGAGAGGCCCGTGAGAAGGCAGAGCAAGAAAGGAAAATGAAAGAACACGAAGAGTATGAATTGCGGCTAAAAGAAGCTTTTGAAAAGGAAGAAAAGAACCGTAGAATGAGAGAGGCCCATGAGAAGGCAGAGCATGAAAGGAAACTGGAACGGAAAATTAAAGAAGCACGTGAAAAGGAAGAAAAGGAACGAAGAATAAAAGAGGCTAGTGAAAAGGCAGAGCTGGAGCGAAGGCTGAAAGAAACTCTTGAACAAGAAGAGAAGGAAAGGCGGATTAAAGAGATTCAAGAGAGGGAAGAAAATGAGAGGAGGGCTAAAGAGGTACTTGAGCAGGCAGAGAATGAGAGGAAGCTGAAAGAAGCCCTTGAACAAAAGGAGAAAGAAAAGAGGGTGAAAGAGGCACTTGAAAATGAGAAGAATGAGAAGAAGCTGAAAGAAGCCGTTGAGCAAAAGGAGAAAGAAAGGAGGGTGAAAGAGGCATTTGAAAAGGAGGAGAATGAGAAGAAGCTGAAAGAAGCTATTGAGCTAGAAGAGAAAGAAAAAAGGCTGATAGAAGCTTTTGAGAGGGCAGAGATTGAGAGAAGTCTGCAAGAGGATCTTGAACAGGAAGAGATGGGGATGAGGCTGCAAGAGGCCAAGGAAAGAGAAGAAAGAGAAAGAAAACAGAGAGAAAATCAGGAGCATCAGGAAAACGAAATGAAACAACATGAATTTGCAAGAGAAGAGAGAGATAAAAGAGAAAGAGACGCATGTGAAATGGAGAAACCCTGTGAAACCACCAACAAGGGCCATGGAGAGAAATGCTCGAAAGAGAGTCTTAGCGACACTTCAGAAGAGGATGGGAGAGTAGATAACCACGAATCAGTGAACAAACGAGGGGAAGAAGAAGAAGGACCAAGTCAGAGAGAAGAATCATGGTCTGAAGAAGCCTGTCCTTGGAAGGTATTTGAGAAGAATCTTAAAGATGCAAGCCAAAGTGAAGGAACCAATGATCTGGATGCTGAATCTGGGATATTTGAGAGGAATGAAGAGGAACCTCAGCTGGGTGAAAATGGAAGTTATAACCAACTAAGTGGAGAATTAGGTGAGGAATCCACATCTGTGACTGACAATGTCCAAGGAGGAAAGCTCAACCAGAAGAGCAAAAAGTTTGAAAGCACCATCGATGCCTCAGTGCTCAAAGGAGATGGTGGATTAAAAGAAAGATCAGACGACGAGAATGTCAGAAATGCAGGTGTTGGCCGTGATCAAAGGAATCCAGAGGAAAGCAAGTGTGCTAACAAAGCACCCTCTCAGGAAAGAGGTAGTACCCAAGCGGGTTCAAATCAAGATGCAAAATTAGAAAGACCATTGCCTTCTCGAGTATCTGTGCAACGTGAGAAAGAAGCAGAGAGACTAAAGCGAGAAAGAGACTCTGAGATGGAACGTTTAAGAAAGATGGAAGAAGAAAGAGAGAGGGAAAGAGAGAGGGAGAAGGATCGAATGGCTTTCGATCAGAGAGCCTTGGCTGATGCACGTGAAAGATTGGAGAAGGCATGTGCTGAGGCCAGAGAGAGGTCTTTGCCTGACAAGGTATCAATGGAAGCGAGACTTAGAGCAGAACGGGCAGCAGTGGAGAGAGCAACCGCAGAAGCACGTGAACGTGCAGCTGAAAAGGCTGCTTTCGACGCAAGAGAGCGAATGGAGAGATCCGTTTCCGAGAAGCAATTTCAGAGTTCAGGTTTCTTTGGTGAACGAATGGAAAGATCAGTTTCCGACAAACAATTTCAAAATTCAGCCTCTTTTGGTGCTTCAAGATATCAAAATTCTCCTGGTACAAATACTCTCATGGAACTCTCTAGTTGTTTTCGTTTTTTTCATCCCCCTATAGCTTAATAACTCTCTCTATATTCTTTGGTCTCTTAAGGTGCTGATGGTGAATCACCTCAAAGGTATACATCAAGATTAGAAAGGCATCGAAGAACAGCTGATCGTGTGGTAATCAATTCTTCTAATCACCCAGTACTCGTAGTGGAGTCCACACCATTAATGTTAAATTAATGTACGGTCATATTTAATTTTCTTAACAGGCTAAAGCTTTAGCAGAGAAGAACATGCGTGATCTCGTGGCTCAGAGAGAGCAAGCAGAGAGACTTGTACATCCACCAAACCGAAACTCTTCTTCAGCTTTAAACGAAGTCTTCGAAAATTTTCAATAATCATATTTTGTTTCTCTTTTCCTACAGAGAGTCGCTGAAACCTTGGACGCTGATGTAAAGAGATGGTCAAGTGGAAAAGAAGGAAACATAAGAGCATTACTCTCAACATTACAATACGTACGTTTCCTAATGAATAACACAGAGATCGAAGTTAGAAAGTAGAGTTATTTCTCAATACCGAGTTTTTTTTTTTTTTTTTGAATTTGGTTTTTATTGTTATGAACCAGATCCTCGGTCCCGAGAGCGGTTGGCAGCCATTACCATTAACAGAGGTCATAACTTCAGCAGCAGTGAAACGAGCTTACAGGAAAGCAACACTTTGTGTTCATCCAGACAAATTACAGCAAAGAGGTGCAAACATTCACCAGAAATATATCTGCGAAAAGGTCTTCGATCTTCTTAAGGTAACAACTATAACCATATCTTCATGTTTTGTAACAATCTCTGAACACGAACATTGACTTTTAGAATTGTGTTAATGTTTCTAAATTTCCAGGAAGCTTGGAACAGATTCAACTCAGAAGAAAGGTAGAGCCTTGGATTATTGACTTTGACCTTGGTATATGATTTGCGTTTTTCACCTTTTCGACTCAGAAGAAAGGTTCGAATTTTTTTTTTCTCTAGAAAAATTGTAAAGTCATGCTTCTCGATTAGTTAAGAGTCAAATATCCTACGTTTCTAATTAGTTGTCCCCTAGGTTTACTTTCTATGATTGCCTACTTGTTCATTGTAATTTTTTTTTTTTACTTGCTATAACCGCTACATTTTTCTGTGATATATGTAGTAAAAGTTCTTGGCAATATACTCCCAAGGAGTATATATTCCGATAAGTATTCTACAAACAAATCGTTAAATTTAGTAATGTTTAAATTCGACAAAAAAATAGTGGTGTTTAAATAATTTAAACTCGAAAGCAAAGGAATTTGACCTGAAATCATAGATTAAATACTTCTAATTAAGTCTAATAAAAGCTTTGTCGACAAAAAAAAGCTTTGTCTTCAAATAATTTTATTTATTAGTCTACAAATGTAAAATGACTATTTGATAAATATCATATGACTATATGACGGGTACTAGTTTTTTCTGTTGGCTGACAAAATATTGTTCTAACTTTTAAGAAACATATTTCGACAATCATCATACTTTTATATAGAAAAATTGGATGATTTCTTAACAAAACATTATTTCATTTATTTGACCCACTTTGAACAATGAAAACATGTTATTCATTTGTTTGACCTATATAGATGATAAATCTATTAATGTAATCTAAACCGAGTCCGTGGAAGTTCCCTTGATGATGATGTGGTCAAGGATTGCGTTAGAATAGATTTGAAAAGTCAAAGAAAGCTCAACGAACCCTTCTCATCACTTAATCTTTTGTTATTTTTTCAGAATAAAGAAAACATAAAAGATTTCAAATTGGCAGCCAAAGTCTGACTGACCATTTCGACTTTCAAATTTAATAAGATACAACCATAAAATCTCATCACATCTTTATATATAAACAACACATTGGTGAAACTCTTTCGTTACAACAACCAAGCAAACAACAACAAAATCATCTCTTCACATCATCTTCTTGACTTCTCTCTATTTTATACAGTTAAGAAAGTATCAACAAGATGCAAATGCTTAGAAGCTTTAGCACGAGGACAAGAAGCCGTCGTGGAGGCTACGAGCGAGTGAGTGATGATTCAACTTTCAGTTTACTCGGAGCAAAGCTAAGAAGATCGACGAGTGTTCCTTACTACGCTCCATCTATAAAGCTTGGTGCTGGTGGTGTCCCGACCATTCTTGAGGAGCTTCCTCGTCAGAAATCCAAGAAAGTCAAACCAACAAGCAAATTTAGCCACCCGATCTTTAGCTTTTTATACGGAAAGAAGAAGAAGTCGACAACGACGAAGCCTGAGTTTTCTCGGTATCTTGAGTATTTGAAGGAAGGTGGAATGTGGGATGCGAGATCTAATACGCCTGTTATTTATTACAAGTAGATGACGAATTTATGGAAAATGAAAATCAAGAAATTGTTTTTCAAAAAAAATAAATTAAATGAGTTTATATCTTTTAATTTGTGATGATATTTGTATATTATAATTATCGATTCATTTAGTTTTCCTTTAAGAATACAAGTGTTGAAAAAAAATTGTATATTTTGAGCATTTTTTATTCGGATATGATCAAAAATTGAAAGCAAACATTAGACGAGTCACGACAAAAAAAAAAACATTAGACGAGTCAAAAAGTCAAAAGTTCAACAATTCAAACGTCAAACAGTATTTGTGAAAAACATTATTCGGATATCCAGTCTGTGTAAAACGATGCCGTTTTAGGGGAAGTTTGATTAGTGATTCCGTTTGGTTACATGGAATGGGACTGAGGGAGGCTTCTCTTCTTCTAATTTCCGAAAATTGTAAAATTCCAAAATTTTAACCCACAAAAATGGCTAAAATCGCAAAAATAAAAGTAAACATCAGTCTAATTATTCGAGATTCAATCAACAAGTCAAAAGTCAAACAATTGGTTTGACTATAGATCATATCCAGTCTATAAAAAACGATGTCATTTTAGGGAAAGTGTGAATAATGAATCTCCCTTTGGTTACATGGGGTTCAAAGGAGGATTCTTGTCTTCTAATTTCTAAAAGTTGGAAATTCCAAAATTTTAACCCACAAAAATGTCCAAAACTGCAAAAAAAGAAAAGAAAGCACCATCGTTTAGACTTGTGCAATCATTTAGTTAAATACAGGACTTTTACGTACAATGTTGTAACTAATAAGCAAGAACACTAATGAGTGGGATTTAAAAATACATGTTACATGTACAATGATGATTCCAATAGATTTGATTCTGTTTCCTTGTTATTCTGGTACAGTTTCATATATAGTTCCAAAGCTTCAGAGCTTCCTTCTTAGGACAACAACAAACGTGATGGGTCTTATGTCTTCCTTAGCCAACTCTTCGTCAACCATTCGACCATATGTATCAAACAGCTTGTCAAGAATCTCTTCCCCAAAGTGTTGAACAAGCATTGATTCTTGAACCGCTCTTACCGTCTTTGCAACCGCCTCACCGTAAGTGATACCATCCTCGTTGCCTTTCTCCTTGTCCACTTCTAACATCTCTAACCTCTCTAATTCGAAAGACCCTTCTTTCTTCACTTCTTCTTCTATCTCAGCTGCACTCGGGGCGTAAAAGTGCATCTCGTAGGAATCGAGCTTCTCTTCCTCAGTTTCTCCCTACAGTTAAACGGAAACAGTAACATGGTTTTAATTCAGTCTAATTTTCTAAACAAGATCCATTATTTGAAATCAAGATGCATATATGATACATACCTGTGCTACAAGATTCGCTATGGATCTTGCGAGAAGTTCCCAGAAGAAAGAGTTCCCTCTGTCAACGTGATCAACACCTTCTCTTCCAAGTATGATGAGCACCATTCTGCCTTCAGTAACCAGCTCTTTTGATCGAAGCCGGAGGAAAATGGAGAAATCTTCCTTGAACTGACTGTAGTAAGCTTTGGAAACAGCTTCAGGGCTCGAGGAGCAGATACTAACACAACCTTTGTTTATGGACTTGCCTTGCTCGTGATCATATATAGACGGAGGAACCTGCAAATACAAAAGAAACAACTCAGTATGTATATTTCTCTTTCTCTCACTCTATCTCTATATATATATATATATATATATAGATACATAGACTAACCTTGGAAAGCCAGTGTAAGCTGTAAGAAGAATAAATAAAGTGGATGGTTTTTTCAGGGAAGAGCCGTCCATAGAATGATCCAGGGTAGGCTGCAATGAAAACTAAAGGGCAATCACCATTAGTTTTGGTATTTCTCTTCAGCTCTATGTGAAAGTCAGGCAAGGACTTGAATATGGAGTTGAAGTCATTTCCGGGGAGATCGTTAAGGAAGATGCTGAATTCGGGCAAAGGCTGGCCTGGGATCTCCCGTTGGTGAGCAAATTCGACGGCTTTGATCATGTCTCTAATGGTGGAAAGAGTGTTTGGTCCTGAAGAACATCCCAGGTCAGCTATTCCTAAACTTTTTGGTTTTGTCTCTTTGTAGAGTTGTTGCAGAGTCTCTAGTGTTATGTGTTTTGCCTCATCAGATGCTTTCTTCTGCAGGATTAAAACACCAAAAGAAGGTAATAAGAATTTAGAAATCAAGATTATGAAGTAAGTGAAGAAATTTGAAATATCAAGAACCTGGAGGGAAGAGTTTCTGGCATAACTAGTTTTCCCAGCTCCTCCTGTCATGTGAAACTCTCTTTCTAGATCCCTCTTATCCATCACAATGACAAAAAAATGTTTAAATCTCACTAAGTTCTTAGGTTAGGGTTTGTTCTTTTGGTGCTAGGATTTGCTTTCCTTAAAGGATAAATCTTTGGCCTGTCACTTCAGTCTTCCATTACCCTACTTTTTTATACTGTTTTGCGCGTTGTGTTTTCCATAAAATCTTTCTTTTCTAACTTTAAATTAAGATTTGGCATTCTTTCATCATTGTTCATGATTTAACAAAATGAACTTAAGATGTGAATTTTTTTCATTGGGTTGGTGAATTTAGTTTAGAAGGGGAAATGGTAGGTAGGTATAGTCCAAAGTGACCAAAAATAGGAATGAAAAAATAATAAAAAGGATAATCTAAGAAAAAACAAAAGAATATAAAATTTTCCAACTACATCATGATGGCTTCATGTTATGTTTGTACTTTCTTTACCCTGTTCTTGCTGATAAGTGCTAGACACTCTTGCCATTTCTTGTTTAAGGACTTTAACAAGAAATATTTTCGTAGACTCTCGCTAGAATCTATTGGGTATTCACATCATCACATGGTGATCTCAATTATATTGCTGAGTTATATATATTTAATTTATATGAAATACGGTTGAACAAGATAGGAATAATACATGAGACATATACATAGTGTAATCTAAATGTTACAGAACATTATAGAAGAGTTAGGGGAAACTTTGGGACAGAAAATGATTACGGAGGAAGAAGAATCAAGATAGATTGACTTTTAAAAGGTAGAAAGCTAAACAAGAATAGGAGATGATGATAGGTGTTGTGTGTGACCACCATTTTTCCCCTCTCCCTCTCTTCCTTACCTTTAGGCTTTTAGTACAATTGCTTTCTCTCCCTCTTTTCTCTTCCTTACCTTTAACATTACCTTTAAGACTTTAGTGGTGGTGATGAATGCTTGTTGAGTCATGAGTGTAGTGTATGCTTTGAGAGAGAGAGAGAGAGAGAGAGAGAGAGGGGTGATGATAGTTTTTGGTACGATATGGGTTTGTGTTTAGCGGGGCACGCACGCGTGTCACAAGAGGGAATTCATGCAAAGCGGTGACGTATCAATCTTTTTTTTTGTGTGTGGTTGGACTATTTATAAATGTTCCTGCTTCTTCTTCAACCATGATTTTCTCTCTCTCGTGCTTACCCCTTCTTGTTTTAGGTTCTTGTTTTCGTATTTTTTTAGATGAAATGTCAATCTCTTTGTTTACTTTCTGGTACATTGTAGAGATAGGTTCTTGATTGAACATTTTCGATTGCATTATGAACTTAGTCACACTATTCCAAGGTAGGTCGATTATCTGGAATCCAACTTTGGTAGGACTTGTTGCTATAGACGGTGGACAAAAAAGCAGACCATAATGTTTTTGGAATTTTGGTAAAGTCCCATCCATTGTTTTGTTCGCACTTCCATTTAAAAGTCTAGTTTATTGCTAGTTGATTATAAGGATAATGTAGATACTCTTTTAATGAATTGGTGCTTAGAAAAGACATGCAAGTTATTCACTATAAGATCGGTTGTTTAATAAATATAGCAACAATAAAGGAAAAAGATATATTAAAAAAAATAAAAGATAGATCGAATATATGAGTGGCTCTATGAGAGAGCGAATATATGGTCCAAATCATGATTCCCCACGAGAAGCAAAGAAAACATGTGAATCAAACACATTAGATTATTTTTAGGAGCTTTATCATATGATACACTAATTGACTTAATGTACACATGGCTTTCGTATGCCAATCTCAAAGCTACAAAAGCGGATAAGGCACGGATTAGCTAATGTCCATGCTTTAGTTATCGATTCCTAGTCATCAAATTTGATAAGATACACAGCAGAAGAAACTAATTTTGTTGCCAAAATTTGTTTATATTCTTACAAAATCAGCTTGAAGTTCTCGGATCCAAATAATTCAACGGTTCAAATGGACGATGTTGAAATATTGGGCCTCTATAAAACCCAATATATCTTAATAGATACTTCTGGGCCCATAAATTTGCTGACATAATACGGACATGGAGAGATCCGCCCGCCAGACACCCATCAATCCATCATCGTCTTCTTCATTTCCTTTTTTTTCTTATAATAAATCTCTATAATTGATCTTTTTTTTTCCCGTCTGTGTAATCAAAATTGCCTCTGCATCTGCGAATTTGAAAACACTCCTCGTGTGTTTGATACTCTTGTGCACACGATATCTTCTGCTCCTTCGATTTTCCCCCGAATCTATTGGGTTCAGGTAACATTCCTTGATATGCGTCGGATCTTTTGTAATCATATTGTTTCCCAATCTGTTTTTTCTTCTCGATCCCTGCAATTGGTATTTTATTTTCCGAAAATCGATTTTTCCCGAGGTTTTGAACTTTTTTCGTTGTTCAGTGATCTGATAATAGATCTTTGCTGATGGGGTTCCCTTTTTTTGGTGGCTAAGTTGGATTCGAAATTGCCAATTTTGTTGTTTTTCTGATCTGCATTTTGAAAATTGTATAATGATTTGAGGATTGGACGTGGTTCTGTAGGCTGTCCGAAAGTTGAACTCGCTGCACTTTGCTCGATTCGTCGAGCAAATTTATATATAGAAGAAGAGAGATACAGAGCATTTCTAGCAATGGATACGAATCTCGTGGAAATGTTTAACGCCGCTTTAACTTGGGTTAAAATGATTCTGAATGTTCCTTCAGCTAGAGTTGTTTTGTTCGGTGTCCCCATCCAAGGTACATTTTAGTGAACTTTGTCTATTTCAAGTTTTTGTGGGCTATGGAGATTATTATTAAAGATTTAAACTTTTTTTTTCCAGGGCACATCTTCTTGGAAGTGTTGTTGGGTTTTGTAATTGTCGTCCTCCTCTCTCAAAAGAGTTACAAACCCCCCAAGCGACCATTAACCGAGCAGGTTCTTTCTCTATCCGATTATGTTGTCGTTCTGATTTTAGATCATAGGATTTGGTTTCCTGTAAACGTATTATTTGATTAGTTTGGAAATGACCCATTGTGTGGTTTTAATTGATTGCATAGTCGAAAGTGTATTGAGTTTTCGAGTGTTTTCGACTCAGGAAATAGATGAGCTATGTGATGAATGGGTTCCTGAACCTCTTATACCACCAATTACAGAAGACATGAAGCATGAGCCACCAGTTCTTGAAAGGTCTTGCTGAAAACTTCTCTGTACTATCTGATCGCCTTTTAGCCTTTATGTTCAAAGATTTGTTTGTACATGCAGTGCTGCTGGACCGCATACAACGGTTAATGGAAAAGACGTGGTGAATTTTGCCTCAGCTAATTATCTTGGACTCATTGGGCACGAGAAGTTGCTGGTAACGTCAAGCTGCTTTGTATTCAATATGGTTTCTTCTGTGTGAACAGTTATACTTAAGATAGTCTACGCCAGGAATCATGTACTTCTGCGTTGGAAAAATATGGTGTCGGTTCTTGTGGCCCTCGTGGATTTTATGGCACTATTGGTAAGAATTCACATTTGTTTTGAAAGGCTTCTTTTTTCCTCTATTAGCTTGCTTCAAAACGATTTCTTACTGTTTGACACTTGTGTTGAATAGATGTCCACCTTGATTGCGAAACCAGAATATCAAAATTTTTGGGTACGCCTGATACAATCCTCTACTCTTATGGACTTTCCACGATGTTCAGCACAATTCCTTGTTTCTGTAAAAAAGGCGATATCATTGTTGCGTAAGTAGACTATTTCCTAAAGCGTCTTTCAACTTATTGGAATATACGTCTCATGTTTGAACATTGGCTTATTCTTTTCTTTTACTATTTCTCTTAGCGACGAGGGTGTTCACTGGGGAATACAAAATGGACTTCAGCTTTCCAGAAGTACAATCGTGTACTTCAAGCACAATGATATGGACTCTCTTCGTAGTACCCTCGAGAAAATCATGACAAAGAACAAGCGCTCAAAGAACTTGAGGCGTTACATTGTAGCTGAAGCTGTATACCAGGTATTGTAAACAGCTCTCTGTTTTTTTTTTTTTCTTCTTCTGCTTGCACATTTGAAAACTCACCTTGAACTGTGACGCTTTGGCATTTGCTTTTGTTTTAAAATCTGCAGAACTCTGGCCAAATCGCCCCTCTGGATGAGATAGTGAAACTAAAAGAGAAGTATCGTTTTCGTGTTATATTGGATGAAAGCAACTCATTTGGTGTGCTTGGCAGTTCTGGGAGAGGTCTTGCAGAGCATCACGGTGTCCCTGTGCGTATGAATGACACACATCCTAGTAAACTTATCATTTGCTATACCATACGCTGATGTTTTTGTTGTGATTTTTTTTTTCCGTGAACAGATTGAGAAGATAGATGTTGTGACTGCTGCAATGGGCCATGCATTAGCCACAGAGGGTGGATTTTGCACTGGGAATGCCCGCATCATCGATTACCAGGTAAACCATGATCAAGCTGATGAACTAGAAAAACGAAAAGTAGCGATAAGAGAAACTTGACATTCTATGGGACTCTCAAATGCACAGAGACTGAGCAGCTCAGGATATGTGTTCTCTGCTTCTTTGCCACCGTACCTTGCAAGCGCTGCTATCACGGCCATCGATGTCATCGATCTAAACCCAGATATGTTAGTTAAGCTGAAGCAAAACATTGCTCTGTTATGGAAAGGTTTGATCTTTTGATTCTGATTTCGATTTATTCGGCAACAATAAAGTTTGATCTTTGATTATGGAAAGGTTTGATCTTTGATTCTGAAACGTTGGGAACACACACGCAGGATTGTCTGATATCAAGGGGATGTCGCTAGCAAGCAACCCGGAATCACCTATCGTTTTCTTAAAATTAGAGAAATCGAGTAGTTCAACTAAAAACGATTTACTTCTACTGGAGGAAATGGCTGATCGTGTAAGTAACATTGTTTGTTTGCAAAAAACCGTATCTAAACCCTCTCCTGGTTGCTTGATACTGGATCTATCTATATGCAGGCTCTGAAGGAAGACTCGGTGTTGGTTGTGAGTTCTAAAAGATCGTTCCTTGATAAATGTCGGTTACCTGTGGGGATCAAACTGTTCGTTTCAGCGGGACACTCAGATTCTGATCTTCTTAAAGTATCTGAGTCACTAAAGAGACTCGCTACAGAGATTCTACTCAAGTCCTGAATCACCACCACACTCATCCCGAGAGTTTTATAGTTTAAAAAGTTGATGACAACACAAATTTACTTTGATCGTTACCATAATTTTTGGAAAAAAAAATGGATATCCAGAATGCTATTTTGCCTCTAAATTTCTGTAATAATGAGTTTTGGTTCATAATTTAACCGTAATAACAAGAGATATATATTTTGTATGGGTCAAAGAATTAATATGTAAATAGTCCAAAATGCGGAAAATACTATTCAATCTGAAGCCCAAAATTTTGTTTTTTTCTTGAACAGAAAGGTTGTGAACACACACAAATCAAAACAATTTGTTTTTTTTTTCTTATAAATTCAAGTATTTTTAAAAAAATTAAAATGCCTTATCGAGTGAGCAAAATGTTATATCGAGAAGACTTTTTTAGTTTAGAAGGATTTTTTACACATATTATGTTATATGTTTAGAAGAAAAATAAATCATTAAGTTTCATAAAAAAAGAATGTGTGTCGAAATAATTTGTTTTCTATACAAAATAAAATACTATTATCGATAAGTTTCTTCTGTTTTAGTTTATAAATCATTTTAGAATTGTTTTTGAAATTTGTGTTAAACAATTTAAACATCTTATAAACTGAAATGAAATGTGTAGTAATCAAAATAATGTTAATATGATGATATTTAAATTATATTTTGCACAAAAAATGTATTAAAAATTAGAATGTTTTTTATAGTTTCTCATGGTCTATGAAATGTTAGAAACAACTCTGACTACTTTAATCCTAAATTTTTACCCTACCCTTACCCAACTCCTAAACATAAGGTTTTTAGGGTGTGATGCATCCAATGCCTAAATACTCAACACCGAGACATTAGTGCGTTGATAATGACGAAAGGTATAACATGTCACCACTTAACTAACAACTCGTATGCAAGAGTAAAATTTCAAGTAAACCTGTGGTGAAATCAAAATCATCCCTTTTATTAGGTGAACCAAATGAAGGTAAGTTGAAAAGCAAAAAATAACTTACTCAAAGTTCATTTTTATTTTTAAATGTGGTATCTAGTATAGTAAATATGATTAGAGCTATGATTTTAGTCAGTCTTCAAGAGTGCAAAAGAAGCTAAAGATAATACATCACACACTTACATCAAGAGACAAAGATTTAATAAGAGTGTTACTCCTACTGTCAAAATTCTGGAGTCCCACCAAAAAAATAGGTTTGTTCTAATAATCATCTATTTATCCAAAATTTTCAACAGTTATAGTTTGTTAGATATTAACTATTTTTTATATCAGGATTAGTTTCTCTAAATAGCCAATAACAAGGTTTATTTTGATAGTCAACTATTTCTAAACGATAGATAATAATCCTAAATCCTAGCGTAGTTAAGTAATCCACTATGTTTTATCTTTTATTGGATAATGTATCCTAGGTCATAGTGGAGGAGGAGGTCATACCAATCAAAGAGAAGTCAATTTCTTCACCATCAACCTTGGAGTCCCATCAAAAGTACAGGTTTGTTCTAGTAATCGTCTATTTATCCAAAATAGTCAATAGTTATTATCTGTTAGATACATTCGGCTGTTTCTCTTTTCTATTTTAGGATTAGTTTTCCTTAAAAAACCAATAACGAGGTTTATTTTGATAGTCAATTATTTATGAACGATTGATAATCAGACTATTTCTGAAGGATTAGTTTTTTTTATTGGATAATGTATCCTAGGTCATGGTGGGAAAGAGGTTACACTCGTCGTCGAAGAGAACTAATTCCTGCATCCGTCAACCTTGGAGTGTTAGTTAATTATCATAATTATTACAAGATGAAAATAAATGATGTTCGATATTTCGTGAGTCTCTAGAAAATCTATTCATCAGTATTCAAACTCAAATAAAGAATTATGGGAAAGAGACATAATGGCTAACGTTGGATAAGAATTTTGTAAAGAATGTTTGTTTTAGTAATGAAAAGGGCTTCCTAGGAGTGCTCTTCCTTAAAAAAAAGGTCTAGGATATTTGTCAGTGTTGCAAAACAAGAACAAAAATGCTCAACAAAAGATCAAGAACGCCCTATTCCTCTCTTGTGATCGATGGCGGATGTCTCACACAATACTCACTTCGTTTCTCTGATCCCCTCCATCTGCAGTAGATGGATCAGCAGCTTTTGAACGCAGCAAGGTAATTAACTGATCAACCTCAGATCTGTAAAGTCATCAAAGATGATCAGAGGAATTTTAAAACAAACAATTTCAGTTATTTAAATCTGCAAAGACGCTTATACATATTGTAATGAAACGCACCAAAAAGACAAGAGGGAAAAATAATAGGGTACCTTGTAAAAGTTTCCTCCTTCAAAGTTTGTACAACATCTGTAAATGCTTTGGCTCTGTGTCTGTCCTTCCTGAGTCTTTCTCTTTCTTCTATGGCCTCCTGAATCACCTCTGATAACAAGAAGAAGAAAAAATACATATTAATAACGTCTAGAGAAGTAGGAAGGCGAAAAGGAATCTCAAACACGATTGCTAGCAACAGCCACCTCCTAATACATAAAACAATCTCATAATTAAAGAACACATTAAGAACTTATATTACTAGAAGCATATAACCTAGCAAGCTAATTCAATTATATGCAAACTAGGTACATTCCAGTAACGTCCGTGTAAAAGCTGCAATTACTAAACAACACTTTTCTGAGACTCAATGAGATTGGGACACACACAAAAAAAAAAAGAAGCTATCCCTTACCTTGCAAGTTCCTCTTGCGTCTCTCGAAAAAGAGCCGAAGAACCTCCCAGCTCTCTCTGTAATAACCCTCTGCGCCGGATCCACCAAATTCCAGAACCAGCCACTGCCTCTGTCTTCTCCCACCCCAAGTCCAGAGTTCGTCACAGGAGTCATGGCTCCGTTTTAATAAGTTCAAGATTTGGATTCTGAAAACTTGTACTTTATTCAATGAAATCGTTGGCTTAATATTAGCCTTTTACAAGCAACAGAACGCTCCTAAACTTACTCCATAAATAAAATCACAAACAACTACTGCAACTACTAGACCGTAAATACTCGGTCTTTATTGACTAATAAATCAAAACACGAACTTATTCAAACACTAAGACTTCTTCAACTCCTCGTTCCCGCCTTGCTCTGTTCCAACATCCGTGTCATACGGTGTTTTCTGAGACCTATGGGCCGTCGGCTTTCGGCGCTTAACGCCGCCGTCTGGATTGCTGCTCTCTCCCTGTGCCGCACTAGCCATCACCTAAACGCTAAATGTGAACCAATCAAGGGTTTCAACGAACCTTTCTGCTCAAGGAAAATCGAAAACTTATTGAGAAAACAAGGAATTGAAATATTTGGGGGATTCGGGTAATTTTTCTAATTTGTGGTATCGAAATCGAGAGAAAAGAAGCAATCCCGAAAAAATGAAAATGAAAATGAAAAAAAAAAAATCAGTGTTATTTCTCAATACAAGTTAACACGTGTCAGTCTAAAGCGCGTGGTGTACACAAAGTGCGCGAGACAGGAGATAATATCCTTACCTCGTCATGTCTCTTACTTCTGTTTCTAAAGCACAACAATTTTGTTTGGTCTAAATGTTAAGTTCCTTAACTAGAAACATAACAACAACAGCAACAAAAAAAAACAGAGACCAAAAAAAGAAGAAGAGAGTAATGGAAGGAGAATCAATGGTTGGGGAAAGAGAAAACCAGAGGGAGAATATGAGGTCGACGTTAATGGAGCCGAGAATCCAAAGGGACGATTACGAGAGATTTTCGGACCAATTTCACTCTCCTTTTTATCTTTCTCCATCCTCTCATTCCCTCTTTGCAGAGGTAAAATTATCTGTTTCTCTCTCTCTCTCTCTCTTGTTTCTTTCCTCCCTGTTCTCCGTCGCGATGAATCCTTCTGCGTCTGTGCGATTATATGGGGAATGGGTTTAGGACTTAGGATAGGGCCATTGATTTTGGGATTAGATTCTCTTCAATTATTGAGCTGAATTGAATTAGATTCTCTTTTGGATTTTGATTTGTAATTTGGGGATTTTGCAGGAATATTGGCAAAGGGCATTGGTTAATTAATAAAGACACTCTCGTTGAGTGCTCCTCCCTCGTGCCCTTTTCTGCCTATTCCATCTATCTGGCAAAATCATGTCTTTGATCCAAGGTAAACAAAAAAAAGACAAAGTCTTAATTTTTAGTTCATTGATCTCTGTCGGAGATGTTTAATCAGATGATGACTTTTTGTCTTTTTGTTGCAATCTTCTTGTTCTTGATGGTGGTTGTGTAGATGCAAGAGAGAAACCAAGGATGGGCTCTTTTAAGAGGAGGAGCTCCTCTAAGAATCTGAGGTACTCAATGACCAAGAGAAGGAGAAGTAGCAAAGTCATGTCTGTGGAAGAGATCGAAGACGTGCATGACGCCGAGGAGTTGAAAGCTGTTGATGCCTTCCGCCAGGCGCTTATCCTCGACGAACTACTCCCCGAGAAACACGATGACTACCATATGATGCTTCGGTTTTTGAAAGCCAGAAAATTCGATCTTGAGAAAACCAAACAAATGTGGACCGAAATGCTTCGTTGGAGGAAGGAGTTTGGTGCTGACACCGTCATGGAGGTATTCAAGGAGCTTTGAAGCCTATGGAAGATTGTGAAATATTGGTCTCCTCACTAACACTTGATTTTTTTTTTTGTATATCAAAGGAGTTTGAATTCAAGGAAATTGACGAAGTGTTGAAATACTACCCTCAAGGACACCACGGAGTTGACAAGGAAGGACGACCTGTGTACATTGAGAGGCTAGGTCAAGTAGACTCTACCAAGTTGATGCAAGTCACTACCATGGATAGGTATGTCAACTACCATGTCATGGAGTTTGAAAGGACCTTCAACGTTAAGTTCCCAGCATGCTCCATCGCAGCAAAGAAGCACGTTGATCAAAGCACAACTATTCTTGATGTCCAAGGAGTGGTATGTCACGAAATCAACACTAACCTATAGCCATTGTATAACATAGCTCATAGAATCTCTCATGGTCTTCTTCTGGGTATAACAGGGACTCAAAAACTTCAACAAAGCTGCTAGGGACTTGATCACGCGTCTTCAAAAGGTGGACGGTGACAACTATCCCGAGGTGAGATTTATATTTTAATGCTTTGATTATCGTCCATCTTGCAACCTTTTTTTTTTGTTGTCTACGAGCTAGAAATTTATAATTTTTAACGTCTTTGGCTCAGACCTTGAACAGGATGTTTATCATCAATGCTGGCTCAGGATTCAGAATGTTGTGGAACACGGTTAAGTCCTTCCTTGACCCAAAGACTACAGCAAAAATCCATGCAAGTATTCAAACCTTTTCCTATTGAGTCTGCTTATTTTTTTCGAATGAAGATAGTTTAAGTAATTAGCTGTATATTTTAATACCAGGTTCTTGGCAACAAGTACCAAAGCAAGTTGCTTGAGATAATTGATGAAAGGTGAGTCTCTGGATATTCAGACAAGTTAATCTATGCTACCGAACATGCTATTGAATGACTAAATTTGTCATCTCAATTTGTATCAGTGAACTCCCTGAGTTTCTTGGAGGTTCTTGTACCTGTGCTGACAATGGGGGCTGTATGCGCTCTGACAAAGGGCCATGGAACAATCCAGAGATTATGAAGGTGAAATTACTCTTCTTCTTTCTTCGGATAAGTTCTTTCTACTTCTAAAGCGGCAGCAACATTTATGTGAAATATCTGCTTGGAAAAGATCCTGATTTTGCATTTTACTTTCAGAGGGTTAACAATGGTGATCACAAATGCTCAAAGAGATCCCAAGCCGAAAACTGTGCACAGAAGACCATCTCTGAGGTCTTGCGGACTTTGAGCTTACATATATGCTTGAATAGTATCTTTTCCCTGAATCTTCATCACTCCTTCCTGTGGTAGATAAACTTATATTCATTGATCTTCCAGGGAAATGAACCTACAACGGAGCCGGCTCCTGAAGAGGAAAAAGCTTCATCACAGCTCTCTCCCTGTGAAATTGTAAGAATGAGCAACCTATAAATTCTTTGAGATCAAGTGTTGTTCAGTAAACTAACTAACGTACGTGCACCTGATTTCATATTCTCTTCATTCCTTTCTCCTAACTCAGGCCCCAGTTGCTCACCCAGCCTGGAACATGCCAGAAGCTCACAAATTTTCACTCTCGAAGAGTAAGATGATTCTTTTGCATCCATTTTCTTACAATGCTATGACATATGACCTTAACTCTTCATGTCTTCTTCTGAGCAGAAGAAGTGTATGCCATTCAAGAGGCGTGCAACAACGCTACCACCGATGGAGGGAGATCTCCCATTTTCACCGGTGTCATGGCTCTTGTGATGGGTGTTGTAACCATGATTAGAGTGACTAAAAACGTCCCAAGGAAACTAACCGAGTCAACCTTATACTCAAGCCCCGTGTACTGCGACGATGCGTCAATGAACAAGAGTGCGATGCAGTCAGAGAAAATGACGCCCGCAATCTCAGGGGAAGATTTCATGGCCATAATGAAAAGAATGGCTGAGTTGGAGCAGAAGGTGACCGTGTTGAGCGCTCAGCCAACAACTATGCCTCCGGAAAAGGAAGAGATGCTTAATGCTGCCATTAGCCGGTCCAATGTATTGGAGCAAGAGCTTGCGGCAACCAAGAAGGTACATACTCTGAAATCGTTATCATCAATATACTCACTAAACTTCCTCCCTTGAATCTTCTTAAAGCTACTTTGTTCTCGATGCAGGCTTTGAATGATTCTCTTAGTCGTCAGGAGGAGCTCGTGGCATACATCGAGAAAAAGAAGAAGAAGAAGAAGATCGTAAGTCTTTTAATTTTAGTTAGACTCTTGAAACTTGATTTAAGTCCAGACTTGAGACACAAGCCATCGAGTTTTGTCAATGCTTTTTAGCTGGTCTTTAATTTTGCTTCTTGTCCTTTATTACAGTTCAACTACTGGTGAGTGAGGAGATATGGAGGGAAAGCCCCTTGAAGTGCTAAAGGATTAATGGTGGATTGATAATGTTTTTTTTTTCTTTTTGTATCCAAGGTCTAACTCATCAATGCCAATCTTATTGTAAAATCATTTTCTTGTTTATATTATTAAAGAAAATTGACAAGAAAGACAGTTTTGTTCTTTCTCTGTGTATATTACACTTTCTGATAAATACATGTACATCAAATTGTAGTTTTCATGTGCATGCATTATGCATACTACTAGTTACTAGTAGTTACTACAAAATGGATATGCTCTTGTCCGACCTCCACGAAATTTACATAAATCTAACGAATGATGTACATATTAAGGAAAATGATGATATCTTTTTGTAGAGTGCTCGGTGTATAGTTAATTTCATCATACGATGCCATTAGTCACGATTTCCTCTCATTCATCTCAGATTAGAGAGATATCATCATTGTTTTTAAAACTCATCTTTAATCTGTCAAGAAGAGATGTTTACTGGAGAGATTGTAATTCACGCGCTGATTGACCCTCAATTCACTTTCATGGTTTAGTGGAAATTTCTGCCAAAGTGGGCCCTATCAAGAGTTTGCCGCTACTCGACGTCATCCACGTGTACCTTACATGCATCTACGTGTGTTATAGTATGGTCTTTCTTTTGCGTGCTAATTAATAAATTACTGATTGTTAATTAATCTTCTCTTAAAAATCGATTTATGGCTAGTATACTAGAGCAGCAAGCAATTAGGAGACTTGCTAAAATAATTTGTTCATGTTTACCGAAAAGGGAAAGAAGATTTATATAGGTCAACTACGTCTAGGCTCGTCTTCTTCGCCCTTATAAAATTTCTGGTATGGGTCTCACGATTCTTCTCTCCATATCTTCAGCATTTATGTATGTATCTGATCCATAATCTCTGGATAACGACAAAGCAGAACCCATGTGACTCCAGATCGCATTTTACATCTCGTCTTCTTCCTCTGATACACACGACATCGCACTCAGCTTCTGTAATTGCTTGTGTATGACGAATTGAAGATCCTGAGACTTTTGTATTTACTTTGATTTCGATCTAATGTTACTAATTCGTTTGAGAGTTTGATGCTGACTTGTAAAAGATCACATTTTTACTTTTTTTTTTTCTTCGCTTTTGCTTTGGGAGTAGTAAGATTGATAGCTAAGTAAAGGAAGAAGAAGAAAAACAAAAAAGTCGAAGATTTTCTGGTTTGATTTTTCTTTTTCGAGAGGAATAACGTAAGCGAGCAAAAAGGTCCCATTTACTGTCGGGAAGCAAGCATAATTTCGGTAATTTCCCCCAATATTATTCCTATAAAAAAAAACTTTTCGAATTCTGTAGAATTAAGAATCGGATTTGGTGGCTGTAATCGCACAATTTCTCCGTTTCTTTTGCAAAACAGAAAGTTTAAGTTTTGTTCTGTCTCTGGTTTTTAGGTGGTTTCGCAACGAGGAAGAAGACGAAGAATGGCGATGGTAGCTGAGCCTCCAAATGGGATTAGACAAGAAGGGAAACATTATTACACGATCTGGCAAACCATATTCGAGATCGACACCAAGTATGTTCCGATTAAGCCAATTGGCAGAGGAGCTTATGGTGTGGTCTGTTCTTCAATCAACAGAGAGACCAATGAGAGAGTTGCCATCAAGAAGATCCACAATGTCTTCGAGAATCGCATCGATGCCTTGAGAACATTGAGAGAGCTTAGGCTTCTCAGGCATGTGAGACACGAGAACGTCATCGCCCTTAAAGATGTGATGTTGCCTCCTCATAGGAACAGCTTCAAAGAGGTTTATCTCGTCTATGAGCTTATGGATTCTGATTTGAATCAGATCATCAAATCCTCTCAGTCTCTTTCCGATGATCACTGCAAGTACTTCTTGTTTCAGGTACTTTTTGGTTCGATGCAATTTTCAGTCTTTTGTTAAAGCTTTGGTTCTTCTTATACATTTGTGTTTTTTGGATTGTAGTTGCTAAGAGGATTGAAGTATCTTCACTCAGCAAATATCCTTCACCGCGATTTGAAGCCAGGGAATCTCCTGGTGAATGCTAATTGTGATCTAAAGATTTGTGATTTCGGGCTTGCGAGAACCAGCAGAGGCAATGAACAGTTTATGACAGAGTATGTGGTCACACGTTGGTATCGAGCACCAGAGCTTCTTCTCTGTTGTGACAACTACGGAACATCCATTGATGTTTGGTCGGTAGGATGCATATTCGCAGAGATTCTTGGAAGAAAACCGATTTTCCCGGGAACGGAATGTCTCAACCAGCTAAAGCTAATCATAAATGTTGTTGGTAGCCAACAAGAATCGGATCTTCGGTTCATTGATAACCGGAAAGCTCAGAGGTTTATAAAGTCTCTTCCTTTCTCAAAGGGTGTTCACTTTTCTCAGATTTACCCTCAAGCAAATCCTCTGGCTATAGATTTGTTGAAGAAGATGCTTGTGTTTGATCCAACCAAGAGAATCTCGGTTAGCGATGCGCTTTCACATCCGTACATGGCCGGGTTGTTGGAACCGGGATGTAATCAGCCGGAAAATGTTCCGGTTTGTCTTGATATAGATGAGAACATGGAAGAAGGTGTGATTAGGGAGATGATGTGGGAAGAGATGCTTTATTACCTTCCTCAAGCTTAATTCAATACTTTGTTAGAGAATGAAAAATATCAAGGAAAATCATCTCTAACAGTTGTATATATTTAGTTGTTGAAATTTTCAGTTTCTTTCCATTTTAGGAAATTTCTGAGTTCATGTCACGGCTCTCAAACGACGTGTGTTTGTGAGAGGCTTCTGATTATATCTCTTTACAGCATCTCCAACCATGGTCTCTACTTAACAGATTTAATATAATTTTTAATAGTTTTTTGTGCACGTTATTGTTTTAGAATTTTTTATAGATTTTTTTATTTTTTTAGTGTCCAATAGTAAATAGTAGTATCTAATGAAAGACTCTTAAAAAAATTATTTTTGTTTCAAATACAAACAATTTATTAATACAAATTATTTCATTAATTTAAAATTTAAACATAGAATACAGAAAATTAAATCATAATTTGAATTTTAATCATAGTTTAGGGGTCTGAAACACTCCACTTGAAAAAAAGGGTTTGAATAAAAAAAACAAAAAAAAATAAAATAAAAATGCTCAACCAATCAAATAATGCCACATATGGGGTTCAGTTAGGTTTCTAAAAACTCTAAAACAAGAAACGGTTCAAAGAATTTAATGCATTAAAACATTAATTTTACTGCAAAAACACAATTAGAACCCCATACCATACCACTCCAACGGTGGTCTACATTGGTTTGTATTTTGTATTCTTATATTTTTTTTATTGTCACATTCAGTGGTTCACTCTTCTGATTACTCTTTGGTCGTTTGATATCCGAAAATTTCCACAATTTTTTTCTTTTATTTTTTACTTTCCACATCTTTGTCCTCTTCAGTAGATTAAGTAAGATTCTTGTTGATCTCAATCAAGCAGAACGTGTTACTATTTGGGCAAATCTTGGACTGATACGATCAGTTGTATTCGGTTTCGAATTTGTACCGGAACGTTTATTGATTAGATAATCACCCTCGTATCGTATGAGAGAGGGACCTTCTGATTTATCTAGAGGGTTCAACTATGAAACAGATATCCGTCGTGCATCGGAATCCGCCGGCGATACCCAAGTTCGGCGTAAATCAATCCTAAATCCGACTCGGAGACGACGAAGACCCACATAAATTGTTGCAGGTATTAACTATGAAGTGCCCATCAAGAGACATTCATTATCTCTTCATCTCTGGTAAAAGCTCGTCGCGAATTTGCCCATTTTCGTGACTATTTGCCTCCTACCGACATTTGATCTATTGGAAATATATATTTTTTGGAAATCTTAGCTTTTGTATTTGGAGTTTACGGTGCTGCATCTGTACCCGTCCCCGATTCCAACTGCTACGCTCTTGACAATTCCAGTCGTCTTGTCGATTTTGTATCCTCTTTCGACTACTGTTTTTACTATTGTGTTACACAAGTTTAGGATCAAATCTGTGTAATGAAAGAGTAAAGGAGTATGCTTTGTTACACTGGCTGTTTTAAAGCTGCTTTCTTTAACTTGGTTTGTTCAGAGCAGCTGGATCGGTCATCCATTTGAATATGATGGCAAGGTTATATATCTATTCTCAATTCATAATGTTGTCGATTTTTCCTCTTTCTTGAGAGTTTGTCTAAAGGACTTAGGGTTTGATTGGTTTTTTTTTATGGATATAGGAATTTGATTTGGTGGTTAGATTTTGCAAGGATGTTGAAACAAGAGGGCAGATGGTAAATTCCATATCATCAACCTTAAATTCCGCTGATGATTCAGGAATAGAATGAAAAAAGGCTTTGTTGTGTGCAGGGATATGTTGATTTTGGACGATTTGACCCGTTAAGCTACTTTGTGTCTGGTTCTGGACATTTCGATTTCGTTCAAGTAAGAGCCTCCTCTTTGCTCATCATAGTTTTGGAATATCATGACCAATTGTTGCATTTTGATTAGAACAGTAATTTTCCTCTGAACATGGATTCATTTGCTAGTGTTTGTTTCATGATGTGATATACATGTAGGGGTTTTACCATGGCGACCTGTCGAACTGTGAGCTGAGTTATGACAAACTTGGACGTACAGCACAGGTCGGATATCTACTCAGGAGTTGTATTGTTGTAAAAAATTTAGAGGCTCCTTCCTTTTGAGTTTTGAGTATTGGTTACTATGTTGTGTTCAGGTCAATATTATTTGTGGGAACTGTGGTGATGGACGCTGTAAAGGTGTGTCTGCTTCTGCCTTTTTTTTTGGTTCCATTACAAATGTTTGAACTTCAAAATCCTTATCAATTCTTGGAATGCTGTTAACATTAGGTGGACTTGGATGCATTTGTAGTGTCACCCAAGATTCAACTTGCAGGTCTGTCTGCTACTACATATCTCTGATTATACAAGAATCATGGTAAATCGATATATATTACAAGGGATGTATGTTCCTGCTCTTTTCCACTGGTCCAGAGTTACTGTCGAGTTGGCTATTCCGTGTGAGAAACCTGGCCCGCGGGTGTTTAAGGGATTCACGGTCGGTTTGCATCCTCGCTCATGGGAAATTGTAAGAAAATTAACAAACCCAAATTTCTGATAAAAGCTTCTTCTTCCTTTTTCCATACGAAACAGAAACTTTAAAAATGGATTCTGTTTTGGACTTTTTAACCTGCAGATTTATAATGGGATGACACAGTTTGGATTTGAGAAGCCTCACCGTGAGTTTAGGTATGCAATCAAGAAACTTAGTTTATTTATGTTTGATTTGCTCTGTATTTACTACCTGAAGTGTTCCTGATTTCGCAGCTTCAAGACTGAGCAGACTCATCTTACTCTCTATATGACTGCAATTGCTTCTCTCTCCACATTGGTAGGGAAACCTATCATCAAGGTGTTCCCAGAGAATGGTCTTAACGTTAAGATAGCTGGTTCTTCGTTGACCGAGAATCATCCAACAACTCTATCGCCTTCAACTTTAGTACTGGATTGGAATTGTAATAACTTCTGGTATCTTGCTTTTTTGGATTGTGCTTTTGATCTTTGCTTTTACAAACTCTGTAACTTTTGTTTATTCTACCAAAAATTTCACAGGTGAGAAATCTCGTCGAACCCCATATGAAGTCAATGTCACCATCCCAGTTGATGGTTATGACCCTGTTCAGTTTTCCCTCACAAAACTCTGCGGTGAGTGTACACCATCGACATGGCCTCCCTTAGAGCTGAAACTTTCCATTGAGCTCTCTGTTTCTCTCTTTGACACCTTTCAGAATACAACCAAGGTGATGAAGGAGGATCAGCAAAAGGATGGGCTATATTCGGAGTTTTTTCCTGCGTGTACGGAAATCTCTCTCTCTCAAAATTTGTCTGGCAAAAATATTTTGTGATTTTCCATGTAACTGCTCAACTCACTTGGTTCTGGTTTTGTTGCTTCCAATCAGATTCCTCGTTGCATCAACACTTTTCTGCTGTGGAGGCTTTATTTACAAAACAAGAGTGGAACGCGTGGTAAGTTTCAATCCTTCTACTCTATTCTTGATTCTCTAATTCTTCTCTCATGCAATTGATATTATAGTCACTGATATGTTCATATGGGCACAGCGTGGGATTGATGCATTGCCAGGGATGTCACTTCTGTCAGGCTTACTAGAAACTGTAAGTATTACAAGAAAACTCAAATGATTTCTTTACACGAAATCAAAGGAGAAAGCTCACTGTTGGTCTTTAGATCTCTCAAGAGACAAGTTCTATGTAATCTAATGGCTATGGTCTTTGTAACCAGGTGAGTGGAAGTGGACAAAGCTACTCAAGAACTGAAGAGATAAACAATGCTTTTGCCAATGAAGTCTCATGGGAGCGCTCTTCCTCGTCTTCTTCTACGCAAGCACCAACACAGAGACCAAGTGAAAGAACATATGGTGCGATATAAGTTGTTAATTGCCTCGCAAGAAGGTTCCGTTTCAATCAACGGTTTGGCATGCTGTTGAGCTGCTTTTTTACCTCGTTTTACTTTTTGTTTTTATCTTCATGCTTAGTTTCTAGAATGAGGGAAAAATGTCAAGAGTCAAAAAGTTGAAAGCTTCACCTTGAGATTGCTTTTACCTGCACATTCATATGTTATGATTAATAAAGCCAAAAAAAAAAAAAATGTAAGCTTCCTTTTTTGCTTTGGTTACAAGGACAAGGTCACGAGAGTATGTTCACAAGTCAACAAAGATTGAAACTGAGAGAATTTTTTGGTCAAAAGAGAGTAGTTAGAATCTCTTCCTACTCTCTTCTCTTTCTCGCTACACAAACGACTTTGACTTTGTCAAATTGTCTCTGCGAACATACTTTCTATGGAGAGGATATTGGTAACTAACCAAAGTATTTTTGTAAAAGTAAATATAATTTATAGCTTTTGAATTCTTCTTTTAAACTTAGTTAAATCTAGGCATTATATTGATCACTTTGTAAAAAAAAATATCGGATTATTCTGTTCATACTTGGTTTCCTCATTTTTTTCTTTTACTTCTACAGAAAAAACGGAGCAGTAAAATCAATCTCTTAATTTATTAGAGACAATAGAATATCAATATTTCTAGATTCAAGCAAGTGGATTAAGTCTTCCATGCGATTATGATCTTTAGTATTATATATCTAAGAAATATCATTATGGCTTCTATGTTAGTGACCACCATTTTATATTGTTTAATCGATGGACACGTGTTGACAAAAAAAAATTCGATGGACACGTTACATTATTTTTGTAATTAGGCTTTTTAATCGAAGTTCAGACTAATTTCGAATTCTACAATTAATTTATATGGTAATCTGTTACGTGCGCGCTTAATGAAAATTGCTTTCTGGCCTTAATCAAGAAATCAAACCAATAGGTATATATGGTAAAGCAAGTAAATTTCCCCCCGATTTCACTTGAACTAAGTGGATTAAGACTGCCATACGATTATGATCTTGAGTATTAAATATTTAAGACATATCATTATGGCTTCTGTATATGTTAGTGACTAACATTTTTTCTCTATTGGAATGACACGTTATGTTCTTTTTGTAATTAAGCTTTCAGACTAATTTTGAATTCTACAACTAATTTTTATTGTAGTTTGTTAAGTGCGCGCTTAATGAAAATTGCGTCCTGGCTTAATCAAGAAGTCGAAACCAACAAATATGGTGAAGGAAGAAACTTCTACTATTTACTCTAGTAAAAAGAAAATTAATCGTCTTAATATCATTGTTATGAGTCGTTAAAATATGGAGAAAGATCAACTTCTATATATTAAAAACTCAAAACTTAATTTGCTATTCCCCCATCCAAGTTTCAAGAGTCAAATTAATTTTATAATAATTAAATCCAAAAAGAAGGTTAATTTGTCAAACTTAGCATGCAATGTTCGGTACCAACTCATAGCTTTAGTCTCTTTTTAATACTCTTTACTTGCATTTCACTTGATTATTATTTTAATCCTAGTTAATCTAATACCAACTCCGTTTCCTCTTCAAAGCCTCGTCCTATAAATACCTTCTTCTTCTCCTCTTCTTTCATATCACTCATCATCACAACAAAGTCTTCTCCTTCCCTCTGTTTCTCGTTAGAAAGTAATGGCAAGAATCACTAGCTTTCTCCTTCTTTCTCTCCTTTGTTTTCTCCCTCTCTGTCTCTGCCACAAGGGCTATGGAGGCAAACTCTTCCCAGGCTTTTACGCCCGGTCATGCCCGCAAGCCGAGGAGATCGTGAGATCAGTTGTAGCCAAAGCTGTTGCTAGAGAGACCCGTATGGCTGCTTCCTTGCTGAGACTTCATTTCCACGACTGTTTCGTTCAGGTTTGCTTATTTTGTTCTACGTCCATCTATTTTTTTTTTGTTTATTACGTTAGTTACTTGGTGATAAAGCTCATTGTGAAACGCAGGGTTGTGATGGCTCTCTGCTTCTAGACAGCAGTGGGGGGATAGTGAGTGAGAAAAGCTCGAACCCTAACAGCAAATCAGCTCGTGGATTCGAGGTAGTTGACCAGATTAAAGCTCAATTGGAGAAAGAGTGCCCTGGAATTGTCTCTTGCGCTGATGTTCTAACCCTAGCCGCTAGAGACTCAACTGTTATTGTAAGTCGATCTCATGCATAATCTCTGTTTTCTCGAACTCAAATTGAGAAACCAGCTGATTTAGTTTGGTTTTCGTTTAGTCTGGTGGACCAAGCTGGGTGGTTCCTTTGGGAAGAAGAGATTCAAGAAGTGCAAGCTTGAGTGGTTCAAACAACAACATCCCTGCACCAAACAACACTTTTCAGACAATACTCTCAAGGTTTAACCGTCAAGGACTCGATGTCACCGACCTTGTCGCTCTCTCCGGTAAGATTCATTTCACTCTATGACAGTTGCTTCACACGCACGGAATTCATCTATTAAAAGGAATCATATTACTTTACTTGCTTCTCAAGACACCATACTTCTTGACTGTTTCTCAGGAAGTCACACCATCGGATTCTCGAGATGCACGAGTTTCAGACAGAGGCTGTACAATCAGAACGGAGACGGCCGTCCAGACATGACACTGGAACAATCTTTCGCTGCTAACTTGCGTCAAAGGTGTCCAAGATCCGGAGGAGACCAGATTCTCTCGAAGCTGGACATGGTCAGCGCGGCGAGATTCGACAACAGCTACTTCAGGAACTTGGTACAGAACATGGGTTTGTTGAATTCGGACCAGGTTCTGTTCAGCAGTAACGATCAATCGAGAGAGCTTGTAAAGAAGTATGCAGAGGATCAAGGAGAATTCTTTAGGCAGTTTGCGCAGTCGATGATCAAGATGGGAAATATCTCTCCTTTGACGGGTTCGAGTGGCGAAATCAGGAAGAACTGCAGGAAGATTAACTCTTGAATTCGTTAATGTTGAGGAGGATATAGAAATAATTAAAAATATATTTTGGGAGGGAAGAAATGTGTGACACTTGCTTTACTTTGCTGTTTGTTGTTTTACATTATGTCATTTGAAGTTTTATGTTGTGTTATTCTGCTTTGTGATAAGATAAATTTGAGAGTTAAGTTTATCAGAATTTTATTAGGAAATATTTTTAAATAATTTCAGGTTAAAAAAAGTTATCAAAAATAGTATTGCTCACACAAAAGCTTACAGGAGTAAGTATTAAGTAGCCATCAATTAAAGCTGGCTTTCAAAATTGGAACACACAAGTCAAAACTGAAACAAAAGTATTTGAATGCCTAACGGCCAACTAGAAAATAAACATTTTTTTAAGAGCCGGGACTGAAAGTCAAATAAAAATGTTTAACTTAGTTTAATGGAAAAAATTAAAGAAAATGGAAAAAACCAAAAAAAAAGAGTAAAAATGAAACAATGACTAAAAAGGAAATACTTCTAAAAAAGGAAAATATGAAAAAAGGAAAGACTTACGGAAAAATATCTCTTTTACTCTTTATATATCAGCGATGGTCTCATAAATTTATCAATCTACTACTTTATCATTACTTTCTGCAAATCATTCTTCTCATAAAAATTTTTTATTCTCTAATAATGCGGTTTTCAAGTCGTCGTCTCCGTCAACTTATCTCCACACTTCATCCTTCCATGATTTTTCTATCACGAGCCTCCTCAAGCTCCTCGTCGATGCGCAACATTAACGGAGGCGGGATGAGGATGTTGAAATCGAAGTCGGAAGAAAATCTCAGCAAGCTCAGCGATTGTATGGACAACATGGACGAGGATGTCTCGAAGCTTTTCATCGAGTGTCATCAAACGGATTTTCGCAAAGATCCCGAGTTGCTTCTTCTTCTCAACGAATACTTCACCACAAGCAAAAAAGTCTCGGAGCTTTGCGAGTGTCTAAGAAACTGCCTAGAGAACATTCAACATGACGAATGCGTGTTACTTGACGAGTCCTTGCGTGACTTTGAGGAAGAGAAGAAAAGCTACGGTGAATCATTACAGCCTAGTTTTAGAAAAACGACGCAGGATCTTAGAAATTTCACTGCCTTGCATCAAAGAGACTACATATATGATGTAATTTCAGGGGATTTTCTCAAGAAGATTCAGACATGTCACCAAGATCTAGGCAATATGATGGTCAAGCTAGAGACAACGATGAAGAAAATTGACAAGAAGCTGAGACGTGTAAGAGGAATAAGAGTCGTTGTTGCAGCTGCGTTACTCGCTTCAGTAATTGCTATTGTGTCTCTGAGCAAATTTGTCGCTGGGATCTTTGGATCTGTTCCTGTAGAGCCGATCACTACATTCGTTGCTTCTAAATGGAAAAAGTCGACTGAGACATTGAAACGAGAGAAGATAGCGATGACTACAATGGAGAGGGAGATGATGGTTGCGTTGAAAGATGTCGAGAAAATTAGTATACTCGTTGCTAGGTTAGAAGCAGTTGAAAGGTCAATTAGAGTAACGGCAGAATTAGCCGTTAAGAAAAAATCTGTGCCCTTAGCCATGACAGAGTTGGAGAAGGAAAGAAAGAGTTTGAGCTCAACTTTGGTTGACCTAGACAGAGAGACTGGACGGTGTGATGGTTTTGTGCAATTTGGACGTAGCTTGGCTCGGGATAAAATTTTTGAGTTTCTTTCTCATGGACAGAAAAAATCTGATTAACCCGATATGGGTCACTCTTCGTTGTTGAAATATTATTTTGCTTCTTATTGGTTAATCGCGGATGTATCAATAGCTTCATTTAGTCTCATTCTAATATCCTATGTATTTACTATTTAGACCCATGAAAATAATAATAACAATGTTAAATTATGACGGCCCATAAAGGCCCATTTATTTCATTTCCGGCTAGTTAGGGTTTATGCTTTTTTTTTCATTTCAGCTTTCATTCAGATGCTCTGGACATGAATTCTCCAGCTTGCTTTCAATAGAGAGGAAAAACTATGAGGAATCTACGAATCATCTCCTCTCATTTCTCACGAGCTTTGAAACCCATCGAGACACGCCCAATTTCTGATAGATTGATCTCGATCCAATCTCGGAGGTACTCGTCGCCGGCGACGCAATCGGAGAATGTCTCCAGAATCGTGAACGAGCTCTCGAATCTGACGCTGTTAGAAACAATGGACTTGACGGAGATCCTTAGGCAGAAGCTGGATGTCGGCGAGATGCCAGTGATGGCGGCGATGATGCCAGGGATGGCATTTCCGGGATCTGGAGGCGGTAAATCCGGAGCAGCCGTCGCCGGGAAGGGGGAAGAGAAGAAGGCGGAAGCGAAGACGGCGTTCGATGTGATGCTTCAAGGGTTTGAAGCGTCGACGAAGATAAAGGTGGTTAAAGAAGTGAGATCGGTTACGGATTTGGGGTTGAAGGAAGCAAAGGATTTGGTGGAGAAAGCGCCTACACTGTTGAAGAAAGGAGTCACTAAGGAGGAAGCAGAGAAGATCATAGAGAAGTTGAAGGCTGTTGGAGCCAAAGTGTCTATGGAGTGAGTGAGCTTTAGGTAAAAATTCTTGAAAGCGGCTTGGATCAATCTATCTTAGCTCTGGTTTTTGTTGGATCATATTGGTAGTAGACAAACAACTTTTTTCCCCAGATTGTGAGCAATGTTGTTTATGTATTGATGGTGTTGGATTGTAGTGGCTACTAAGTCTTAGAATTGGAAATGGAACAGTATGTTGATTCTGGATTTGCATAAAGTTGCTTGCTTGATTCTGAGCCTGATATTGAGTTTCATGAGGAGCCTTTGAAGTTTCTTCTGCTTGCTCACGCATAAGGTCTTGTATTCTTTAATTTTGCCTCTCTGTCCGAGTGTCCGTACGGTATTTGGTTGAATGAATTTTTGAGGAACAATGCTTTGTATGCTATTGAGAGAGAGTAAGCATGTGACTAATATAAAGGGAAAGTTTTTTTTAGTCCATAATCTTCAAATATTATTCTACCGACGATGACGATGTTATATCAAAGAATTGTGATGGATTTATTTGTAAAAATTAAGTGTATAAACTTAAGGTTACGATTATTAATCTTGTAAACCATCGTAACATGTGTGTATGTAATTAGCTTACTAAACTATCTACGTAAAAAATTTACATGTTACAAGCTCAAAAAAAAATTTGAAAAAGTTATGTCTACTAATATTATTAAGAAAATTGAAGACCATACTAAGATGCTTTTGTAAGAAGTTACAAGTTAAGAACTAATTATCGGATTAAGTATTAAGAATACAATTTTGGATAGATGTTCTTGCTTTTGAAGTAGCAACAGGTCAAGAACTCGGCCGGAGATCATACAATTGGTTTCTAATTACAATATTGAAGGACACATGCATAGAGATGTTATACTTTATCGTCGTGGAACCTCCACCTAGTTTCTTTGGGAGATCTTCCATTTTTGCAGTTTTTCAAGTAATGGTCATTATCTTTCGGCTTTTGCTGCAAGGTTCACATAATAGGAGAAATATCATTAGAATATTATGCTATGAAAGCCTCTGAAAGTAAAGGATACACAAAACACACAAACCTTCACGGCTGAGCTTGAGAGCATGGAGAGAATGCTGAGACAGATTGAACTTAGCCTCATTGCTGGTGACCACGAATCATACAGAACATCTGTATGAGCATAAATACACAAGGAAGCTCTTGACATAGGACTTGGAAAGAGAATCTGAAACACAAGTGAATCATTGTGTTTGTGAGTATCTTCTTACCCAAACAAATGTGACCGTTGCTGTAAATATGCGGATGAAGTGGAGCTGGATGCTGAAAGATAACCTGTATATAGAGCATCGGTTTAGGGTCGATGCGATTAGATACCGATTAAGTATCAATAAAAGAAGCTTGAGGAGGAACCTGTGGAGCTTCCATAGGATAATGCTCAGGAAAATCCACTTGAAGTTGGTAAGTTTCATTGGCATAAAGAGTTCCTGAAGCTCCATTCACTTCAATGATCCATCTTTTGATCACACCAAAAATTTGAACATTACATCATCGATTATCCATATTTGAAGGAAAGAACGAAAATGGGTATATATAAGCTATATACCGTTGGAGATTATCAGAGACTCTGTGCTTGAAACCAGCAGGGGGATTAGTCTGCCACTCCATGAATTCTTTCTGTAATCTGTTGGTGGCAATTTTTGTCAGACCCTATCAAAAAATAACAAAGAGAGAGAGATGATCAAGCCATAGCTATAACAAAAAAGCTTATTATATACAGTTAAAGAAGCAGTTAACCAACCTTGCGAGTTGGTTCAGATGAAGTTGTCATTTGTGCTTAAAAGTAATTACAGTGAGTGTGAGAGAGAGAGAGAGAGAGAGAGAGAGAGAGGGAAGGAGATTGTGTGTTTTGTCTCCTTAGCCATATCCATGAGCTTTTTATATAGTGTCTTATCATCTTTGTAGCGTGTTTAAAGTGTTGGATCTATGTCCAGTCATCAGTCCGACGTCGTTTTATCGAGTCGACTTTCCACTTGTGCTGGAGAACCGAATCTTTACACGCTTTTGCAACTCTCACGATCACGATCACGATCACATCAGTTTGGAATATTATCACAAAACATTCCATAATTTTTTATTTGGGTCGAAAAAACACTCCATAATCTATTTTCAGTGGTAAACCTTCATTTCCAAAAGTCTTCGAGTAGTGTGAAATTTATTGTAACCATACATATTGAATCATCCGGTAAAATTTGATCTCTAACTATCTTTTAATCTATATTTGCTTCATACTATTTAATCCTTGATGCCTTGATGGATTCTTATTCGTTGATCCCTTATGATTTTGTTGATATTTATGCTGCTTTCATTGTCCTTTTGGCGCTTGTGATTATTTTGGATATGATTAGTGTAAGCAACTTGATACAAGCATTTAATTATATCAAATTTGACTAGTCATTACAATCATGATGGTGTATGCTGTATATGCATTGGCTTCGCCTTAAAACAGCAGCTGTACACAGTTCTCCATAGAACCCATGGGCTATGCCGATGGTAATACAGATCTTATAATATGAAGTATCTATTTGAATCCAACTTCGGTCTAAAGAAAATGCACTTGTTAGAACTTGACTAGGGTGTTTAACTAAAATGTGAAATTTTATGGGATTTCTGTTAAATTCGAGAGCACCGGTATTGTTCCGGTTTATTATTCCATTCCAGTTTTAGCCGGTTCGATAACGTTTTGGGACCGAATTGGGTTCTAAAATCCATTAAAGAACAAAGTTAACACATGAAAAACCAAAATCAGGTAAAAAATTCCAACTCTTTTGTGAGAAAATCAACTATAACCGAAATTGCCAAGAATAGAAAAATATTGTGTGAGATCCTTTAGAAATGCTATTATGATAGATTCTTCTCTTTTCGAGTTTTTGGTGTAGATACACTGCAAAGTTTGACTTTTAATACAAGTAAGATCCATAGGTTTTTTATTCTTTCTTATCCACAATAATAAGATATTAAGACAAGGTGACAACAACAAAGAAGCATATACACTTTTTGAGTTTAAATAACTTTCTAATCAACGCTTGCTTTTTGTTCCTTTGCATCAATCATACTGCTCAAACTTGGCTGCTCATATTCCAATTTTCTTTTTTTTTTTGAAGAATCATGTCATCACCACCTTGCATTCATCTAAAACAGAATGTCAATGATTCCAAATTAAAGATGATAATTCTTCACTTTTGACGTTGGAAGAGAGCATTCATAGATTGATAGATGCTTTCAATAATTTCGGTGCGTAATCATAAAGCATAATCCTTTTTTACCTTAGGGAGAGAAGAAAGACTGAGGAAGAACTTTGTATGGATTGAGAATTCCCTTAGGGTCCAGCAACTTTTTAATGGAAGCCATTAATGCAACCTGCAAATCTTATATCCCGGTAAAGAATAGAATGACCCGGAAAAGCTCTATGTGTAGTTTGATTTTGTTAACTCACGGTTTCTGGTGATTTGCTATACAAGATTTCATTAGCTTTCATTACGCCTAATCCATGTTCTGCGCTGATGCTTCCACGGTGCTTTGATGTCCACTCATAAACATAAGGCTCTATTAAACCTAAAATCTGCAAGATATATAGTGAATCAATGAACCATTTAAGACATCTTGAAATGTTTCATATCGATATTTGTATCTACCTTATCGTTATATTCCACGGTTGAGATGTTTAAATGCAGATTTCCATCTCCAAGATGACCATATCCCATAACATTTGCTAAGTCACCTGATGATAAAGCAGAAGTTTTAATATTTCCAAATATCTAACTGCATCATTTGAAGCATATGCATATTTGGTTGCAGTTTTCATTGAATTTTGTCGGGTTTAAAGTAACTATGAAACAGTGCAATGATATATATATTTCTTACCTAGTCTCCCTCGAAGATCGTTGACAATATTGTAAATCTCTTCAACCGGTAAGGATAAGTCATACTTGTAAAAGGCTCCTGCTTTCTGTAACGCCTCTGTTATACCCTGCAGAGTAATAGATTATGACATTATTCGTTTCGTAGTGAAACATCCAAATATCTCAGAGGAAATCATGAGAAGTGTTTTTACCTCTCGTATGCGCCAAAATGAGGATGCTTGGTTTATATCTTGAGCGATTACACCATCAGAAACTAAACGCTTTTCCAGTGATTTTAACAAGAAAGCTTCGAGTTTCTCCCTGCATTTTTTTATGAATCAGACAAAACTCTCTCAACTGATCTGAATACTTTGAAGAGAGCCATATTTTAACTGTTATTGAAAATGAACTCAAATAGAGTCCAGACAAATTCTTTCTACCTGTCAGAAGTTTCATCACTCCCTGTTGTCTCGATCAGAATATAAAAGTTCTCTGAAGAAGAAATCGGATTACGTACACCGTCCAAGTGGTTCAGTACCTTGAAAATGAGTTAAAAGCGAAACGGTATCATAGTTTGCACACGATTAAGTATCTGGTAATGCAAACAGTTCCTGAAAGCTTACCAAATCCATGGAGTTGTTATCAAGAAACTCGAAAGCGGATAGTATCTCTCCAAGATTTTTCTTTGCTTCAACAAGAATTTTCTGGAAAAAAAAAATGAAACATAAGGAGAGACAATAGTTCATGCGCCACCTCCTCCAGTAGAGAGAATCCAATTAAAAGAGTACATAAGAAATCATATTAAACCTGGCAGCTGAGATAATCTTTGCATGCGATAAAGGCTAAATTTACAGAAGCCAACTTTGGTTGTGTGAGTATAGAGACTTTGGTTACAATACCAAGTGATCCTTCACTACCTATCGCACCCAGTAAAGAGAAAAAATAAAGTTGATTTAGTATCTTTTGGTAAGGAAGTGATATCTGAAATCATTGTACAAGAACAACACAATGATAATACCTACCGATAAACAAATGTTTTAAGTCGTACCCAGTATTATCTTTGCGTAAAGTCCCAAGCATGTCAAGCACATTGCCATTTGCTGTGACAGCTTCAAGACCTGAGAATGTAAGAAAACACAAATGATAAGATGAAGCCAAAGTGTATATCAGATAGATATATATATAGAAACTGACTAATATATCAGATGGATATATAGAAACTGACTAAGAACTGTGACTGAATTACCCAATACGGTTCCATGAAGTGAGCCATAACGGATAAGGCGCAAACCACCAGCATTAGTTGATACATTTCCGCCGATATGACAGCTTCCTTTTGCACCTAAGTCCAGAGGCATAACAAAACTGAGGAAACATAAATTTTGTGTTGCTATATATGACCCAAATAAAATATAAAAATTGAGCTAGTTTAGTAATAATAAAACACTCTTCTATTAATTTTCAGTTCATTGTTACGAAAATAAGGTAAGAAGAGATGGTTATATTACCCTTTTGTGTCAAGGAAATTTGCCAGATTTTCCAAAATGCATCCTGCTTCACACACCAAGACGCCACTAACCTGAAGATAGAGCATCATATCATCACCAAGTATGTAATTACATTATTCTAGTTTTATCCGATAGAATCTGCCTCAGTAATAAATAAAAAGTTGTAATCTCCATTGAACAGCTCGCACACAGTTTTATCTAACTAAGACAGAAAAGAGGAGCAGCAGTTGTTCTGAATATAAGATTGCCAATTACCTCATCAAAGGCCAAGACTTTATTCATCAAGCCAACATTGATGATCACCTACAAAGATGCCCCAAATTTTTCACGTTTATGATTGCAAAAGTCTTTCTTTTTCGTTCCGATTTCACTTCTGCGGTATCTCTAGAAAAATTTCTTTGCTAGCTATAAAATACTTATCCAACATTTTGATCATCACCAATCAACATCAGTAGAGAAAAACAAAACAAAAGTGTAGAACCTCATCAAAGACAGGCACACTTCCACCAACAAGACCGGTGTTTCCTCCTTGAGGAACAACAGCTAAACGCCTCGAATCACAGTAATTAAGTACCTGAGACACCTGCAACGAAAGATAATCTACGTTTAACAGAAATGTTCATCACGATCCCAACAGAGTAATGGTAAGTTATATGTACTAAGAACCTCTTCTGTGTTCTTTGGCAAGAGCATCAGCTTACTAGATCCTTTGTACTTGTGCATCCAATCTGTATTTGCAGTCTCAAGCCTCTCCTCATCTTCAATCACGTTTTTTTCACCTAAAATCTCCTTGAAGTAGCTTACATCGTTCGAATCCAACGAAGAAAACAAAGGGTTTCTCTGAATTTGTGAAGCTGATGATGACCCAAAACATTTATACTGCTGCATAATCCCCAAATTTCTACCAGGACATCGATGATCAAGCTCTGTGTTATGATTCCCAGCATTTGGCTCAAAAAGCTTGCCTTTTGATTCGCAGCAATTCACAAAGCCTAAACCCACAAGTCAACCAATGAGAATACGAATTCAAAATGCAAAATATCCTATCCAAATCTAAGTCAAGCTTCAATTTTTCCATCTCTCAATCTTTTTCCAGTAGAATTGGATTAAAAATGTAAAATTGGAGACCAACGGCAAATCAAACCTGAAACAGAACGAGACACTGAGTCCTCTTTTGATCGGAGATTAGTCAGAGATTTACGTCCAAATCTTATAAAATCTCCCGATCTTCTCCATTTCTGCATCATCATTCTTCTTCTTCTTCTTCTTCTTCTTCTTCTTCTTCTTCTTCTTGTCCACTTACGTCTTCTTCTTTCTTACCAAAATGTTCCGTTAATTGATAAAAACTAGAAAGGAAAGGATACTGAAATGAAATATCAGTATTACCCCTGGTCTGGATAACGAAACGCTGCGTTTCTGTGTGGACCTCCGAGTAGATTGATCGACTTTGCCAGTAAAATCCCTAGCCTGAGAGCCTCCCGTTGTTGTTCCGTAGGAGCTTCATCTCCAATGGCGTCTTCTTCTCTCTCGTCTCTTTCCTCCATTCTCAGCAACCCTCAAGGTTGCTCTCTCTGCTTCAAATCCTCTACACGACGCGGTCTCGCTCTAGCATTCCTCTCCTCGAAAGTAAACCATGCTTCTTCTTCTGCTCTTCTCCCTCGTTGCCACAACGCGCATCGTATTACGCAGAAGCCGATCAAGAGGAAGAATGGGTTTGCTCTAGATCTTTCGCGAAGCTTTTCTGTTTCTCAGAGTGCTGGTTCCAATAAGTTTGATGGTCCAAGCCTCCACCAGTTTGTCTCCAAAGCTCACGCTTCTCTTACTACTCCTCAAATGGAATCTGAGTAAGTCTTCTACTTTTGTCTGACGTTGAGAGAATTTCGCGAAATTCATGTTTGTTTCATAGCCTATTTGATGATGGCCATTGGTTTGCCAAATTGGAACCCCTTAAAGTTTCGAAATTTAGAGAATCAAATGTGATTGCTCACAATCCATAGATTCTGAAAGTTTGTGTTCGTTGATGTTTTAGATGTATCAGAATCTGAATTCTACTTTTCAAGTAGTGAAACCCTGCAAAAATCTGGAATTTTACATGCCAGAATAATGATTTTTGTGCTTGCAATTTATGCTAAAACTTTTCTTTTCGAATTCTTTCTTGATTTTTGAAGCTCACTAGATCCCGACACTGCATCAAAAGGTCGGATTTATCACGAAACATATGGATGTCAGATGAACATAAACGACATGGAGATAGTCCTCGCGATCATGAAAAACTCCGGTTATAAAGAAGTAGTGACTGATCCCGAGAGCGCGGAAGTCATTTTCATCAACACTTGTGCGATCCGAGACAACGCGGAACAGAGAGTATGGCAAAGACTTAACTACTTTTGGTTCCTAAAACGGGAGTGGAAAACCAATGTCGCAATAGGAAGAGCGAAATCTCTCAGACCTCCTAAAGTTGTCGTCTTGGGATGTATGGCTGAAAGATTAAAGGACAAGATTCTAGATTCTGATAAAATGGTCGACGTGGTTTGCGGTCCTGATGCTTACAGAGATCTTCCGAGGCTGTTGGAAGAAGTAGACTATGGACAAAAAGGAATCAACACTCTTCTTTCTCTAGAAGAGACTTACGCTGACATATCACCAGTCCGAATCTCCCAAAACGCAATTTCCGCTTTTGTATCCGTTATGAGAGGCTGCAACAACATGTGCGCTTTCTGCATTGTTCCGTTTACAAGAGGCAGAGAGCGTTCACGTCCCGTGGAATCAATAGTACGCGAGGTTAAGGAGTTATGGGAATCCGGTGTGAAAGAAGTCACGCTTTTAGGTCAAAATGTGAACAGCTATAACGATGCTTCATCTGATCCTGAGTCAGGTGCTAATTGGGAATACAGTGAAGGGTTCTCGAGCAGGTGTAAAGTTAAAAACATGGGTTTGAGATTTGCTGATCTCTTGGACCGACTCTCTCTGGAGTTTCCAGAGATGCGGTTTAGGTTTACTTCGCCTCATCCTAAAGATTATCCGGACGAGTTGCTGTATTTGATGAGAGATAGACATAATATCTGCAATCTGATCCATCTTCCTGCACAGTCTGGTAATAGCAGAATACTAGAACAGATGCGGAGAGGCTACACCAGAGAAGCTTACTTGGATCTTGTCAAAAAGATTCGGAGTATCATACCGGACGTGGCTATAACCAGCGATTTCATAACCGGTATGGTCACTCAAGAACATTACTTAAACACTTTCCATTTCTTGATTGCACAAGTGTATGGTTCGAACGAGATTCAAGCTAGTATAAAGGTTTAGACTTTTTCTTTGATTCGGGGTTTTTCTGATCATATAGATAGGTTAAACCGGATTAGTTAACACTATCTTAAAACCTGATCGTAATCGGCCTCGTGAATTTTCTACCTTTGGTAGGCTTCTGTGGAGAAACCGAAGAAGAGCATGAAGAAACGCTAAGCCTGGTGAGAGCAGTTGGATACGATATGGCATATATGTTTGCATACAGCATGAGAGAGAAAACACACGCTCATCGGAATTACACAGACGACGTTCCAGAGGAAGTGAAACAGAGACGCTTAACAGAACTCATCGAAGCATTCCGCGAGACGACAGGTCCGTGTTACGACTCTCAGGTCGGATCAATCCAGTTAGTTTTGGTTGAAGGACCAAACAAGCGAGCTCCTGAGACAGAACTCATTGGCAAAAGCGACAAAGGACACCGAGTCGCGTTTGTTAGGAAGCCTCTGTTTGATAAAGAGCGTCGTCTTAATGATGATGACCTGAAGAGGAATCCTGAAGTTGGGGACTTTGTGGAGGTTCGGATTGTGAAATCATCGAGGGCATCTCTGTTTGGAGAAGCTCTCTCGATTAGTAAACTGTCGTTGTTTCACGATGTTGGTGTCGATGCTGTTGTTGCGTCTTGTGCAAGTTAAACTTTTTGTTTTGTTTTGTCTCGAAAAGCCTTTGGATTTTCTCTTTTTATGTATACTTTTATAGTTATCCAAATCAATTATTTACAGGGGAATTTTACTGGTTTTGAAAGAAAATTTTGTAACCGAAAATGATTGAGAAAGTTAAGAAAGAGTGTTGGAAGAAATGTCAGCAATGAAATGAGGAGAGAGAGAGACGTCATGAATGGCCATGGTGAGTAATGATTTTTGTTTTTCGAAATCGCCAAATGGTTGATTTGAGTGTGACAAGTCAATCTTATTATTGTGTTTCTACTATGCTCTGTTGCCACACCCTTCCATTTATTTTTTGATTTTTTCCCCAACATCAGTTGTGCCGTGTTATAAGAAATTGAGATATATCCTAAATGATACCCACAAAATAGTTTTGATTCTATCTAACACACCAAACTTAAACTAGTGGTTCTACATTTGAATTTTGAAATAAAACTTAAAAGTGTGTAATATATCAAAGAATGGCCTCAACAAAATTTTAGTTGGTTAAACTTTAGCTGTTAAGAAAGTAGAAATGTACTTAAGAACTTATAAATTATAAGCACAAATTTCTTTAGAAATTAAAAGGCAAAGTTTTTAGGAAATAGACTTGCTTCAAGTTTTCCCATTTATTTTGCCGTCGTTTAACAAATCTCTTGTCAAATTGGCAATAGATCACCAATCACAACTATTTTTGTTACATATCCTATTTTTTTCTTTTTTTAAAACAAAATAATGCAATTACGTACATTAATTAACAGAAGAAAACGGTTCACAGCTCGAAACATTTTTTAATTGCCTGTGGTCTAGGCACAGCCTACAGGTATCAAGAATTATTAAACTATCCAGTTAATTTAAGTTACTGGGACGATTTTTTATAATGATAAATTATGAGCATATGCAATTATGTATACTGGTTTTATGAGAATATATATATATATATATGTAATTTAACCCAAAAAAAAAAATATGTATATATATGTACTGATTTCTCTTAGCTTATGCTATGTGTTGTTACAACTTGTGGTGAGTATATTAATTATACATACATTAGGCAGAAAGCTTTCTAATTAGTTAATTGTGGACCGACCCTTTATTAACATGTGTACCTCGGCTTTCTATCAGACATATAGTCGATTAATTAATACGACTCTTGGATTATAAGTCTAAAGTTAAAAGAGGGGGAAAAGAAACTCCAATCACATGTCGTAGTACATTCCCCAATAATAAAGCTGGATTAAGTATTTCATATAGTTTACTTTAAGTATTTAATACGAAGTACGGTACATAAATATCAATAATCATACAATGGCATTGGCAAACAAAATAGTTTAATGGCACTGATTAACATAGATCATTTGTGTGACTGTCATGATTTATTACAACGGGATCATGGATTAATCGGTGAACTTATGTTCATCATCATTGTTTCAAAATCTAAAAGCAGATCAAGATGAGTCTTTCTTTTTTTTTTAGTTCAATCTAAGGATCTATAGTATCGAGTTGGGGTTTAATGTTATTTATAATCCATAGGAACAAAAAAACAGAGTTAATATCACTTGTTATTTACTTATTTATAACTTTCAATTGGGTTTACCAACAAAAAGAAGAGATCAAAAATTCAGAGTGCAGATCACTATATAAAAACAAAATTTTAGATGTCAAATATGGCATAAGAATGGAATGGAATCAGTAGCAAATTATATAACCAAGCTACAAACATTGATTTTTTTTTGTCGTGTACAAAAATTGATTTATCTCGTTCAGTTTTGTATGTTATAAAACAATCAAATCTTATGCGGTATTAAAAAAAAAAAAAAAGGAATACGACGTTAATTAACTAGTAACATTTTTTTGGTAAACAACTAGTAACATTTTTTGTAGTGAGACAATGATAAATACTATCACAAAAAACAGAAAATCGTTATCCTGTTTACTACCGTTTTGTAAGGATTTAGTAACGGATATTAGAAATGTTGCTAATAGTCGTCTAAAAATCGAAAACAGCTTCTTGAATGTATAAGTTTTTTCTAAAAATGGATAAACATATGATGAATACAATAAATAATTAGATAAAGAAAAATGGAGTGTTGGTGAGAAGTAGCTCTCTAATATCTAAAAATGAGACGAGACAAAACGGCCTAAGCGTGGCGCAATAGCCGCTCCCAATTTCTGTCCCCTCATTTATTCCTCCCTTGCAACATTTATGTTCTTTGCTCTCTTAAGACTTAAGTTAATATAAACGTCGGCTTAGATTAATGAATTTTGTAAACTCGGATCCGATGTTATAAGAGTATATATTGGTATTACGCATGTCCCAAACATATAAAGATGCTACGAATCTTATTTTCCGATGAATTTGACAGTAATAATCAATATCGGGTTATGATTTTGATTATGAAATAATCAAATTCGTTTAAACATTTCTTGGATGTGAAACAAAAATATCCAACACATATTCTTTTAAGACTTTGTATTGGAGATTTTATATAGGAGAACTCGGAACAAAGTGCAATAGCCTTGTCTATGCTGTAAATAGCGACATAGCGTTATAAGAAAAATGATAGCTCAACACACGAGCGCACCATCGAGTCCAGCCAGACCGGCTCGGGTCTTGGTCCCTTGAGTCTTGCTTTATGTGCCTATGGTTCAAATATGTTATCTTTTTGTTAAGTTTGTTTTTGATATTTGATACCCATAAACAAACGCAGTTGTATCATCGGATTTTTAACGCCATCCAACCATCACAATACGAGACATCTAAAAGAAATGGGAAAAAAAAAAACAAAGAAACAAAAGAAATTGTGTTTACCTCTGCATTTCTTAATTCCGTTATCGTTCGGTATTTATTATAACTAAAAGGTTACTCTTAAATTGACAAATGTTGACTATTCTGTTCAATGATATCTAGAATGTCTTATTTAGTTATAGTAAATATATGTGTAATTAGAATTGCTGTTATGACAGTCAAATAGTTTTTGTTTAAAATTTATTAAAATATATTTAATATGGCAAAACAATCAAATAAGTTTCAATTCTATATAATATTAAAAATGTTATTTAAATAAAATTTTTTCGATTGCTTTACTTATATACGCTAAAGATGGCTATAGATATTGTATCTTCTAAATGCGACATAATCCAGATTTTTGACCAAAAAATGGATACACTTATATTGAAGTACAAATTATCTTTCATACGCATTGCTCTTAAAGAAAGAAAATGATAAAATTACTTCTATAGTTATATATTTCTTCTAAAAGAGATGTTACAAACGAATTTCAAAATTCGATATTCTAGTCAACTACATGCGCGTCATCTTTATAGAAATTCTATTACATTTCCATAAAATGATTTTACATGATCATGTTTCCAATAACAATTTGTATATTTACAATTCAGATCGTAATTTACTATAATTTACATGCAAAAGTAAACGCGATATTGTTAGATAGATATGTGAAGATCAAATTTTAACATTTATAGTTGAAGAATCTTATTGTAGTCAAATATCAATAAATAAATAGACATACTCGTATATTAATTAACTGTTTAGTTATTTCTTATGTTGAATGTATAGTAATTTAACTGCTTTAGTTGTTTTTTTAGCTTGAATATAATAATATATATAGTGAGAGACGGTAAAAGTGAGATTTTATATCATTAATTCCTCTGTTTCGCCCCCATTGAAAATGACATCATCATAGCTTTAGCTCTACAAATATTTATTCTCACACTTTCTCTTCCTGCATGGTTTCTGAGAATTAAGAAAGCCTTTTATAATTCTCTATCATCCTTTCACAAATTTTGCTATATCTACAACACATGTGATAGATTCATGTGTTTAGGCATATAGTCATTGCCAAGAAAACTGGTTAACTTTTATTCGTGTGTATTTATGTATTCTCCGGCAAAAACAGGACTTTTTCGGTCGCCGGGAAATCTATCTTCGCCTTCTGATTTCATGGATTATTTGGTCGCGGGTTTCTTAGTTTTGACGGCCGGAATTCTTCTCCGTCCATGGCTCTGGTTTCGTCTAAGAAACTCGAAAACAAAAGATCAAGATCAAAAAGAAGAAGAAGATAAAGAGAAAAAGAAGAAGAAGGGAATGATTCCGAAGGGAAGCTTAGGATGGCCGGTGATCGGAGAAACCCTAACCTTCATTGCTTGTGGATATTCTTCTCGGCCTGTAACGTTCATGGACAAACGAAAGTCGTTGTAAGTCTTTTCTGTTAATTCCTTTAACCAAAAGTTTTTTTTTTTTAAAAACGTATGTTTTCTTTTAAATCCTAAAATTCAATAAGTAGTTTCCATCAAATTCTTTGAAAACGATGTTAAAAATGAAAATACCGTAACGACAATTCATAATTGAGTAAAAATTTACCCCTTACTTAATTAATTTTTTGGTGTTTTGTATCTGCTTAATTTAGTCCAGTGTCCTTGATGAAAGGAAATAAAACAATTTGGTGTACAATATTAAACGTCCACATCTGTTTTAGTAACCCCTAGAGTAACAAACTTCTGTTTTTTTTCTAAATTAAATTACAGACGGTCGACAAAAAAAACTACAAACGCAGCAACACATTGAATTACAGCAAAATTAAGAATTACTTTTTTATAAATATATTAAAATTAACGGATCTCCCTTTTAGGTAAAGAAAAAAAGATACAGTGGTCATATAGTGTAATTAATTTGTTTACATACAAAAAAAAAAAAACTCTTCGGGATGCGAATAGATTAATTAAAATTCTTGGACATAACATGATTTTAATGATTAAAAATAAGGACTGACAAAACCAACCTGTCTTCATGTTCTTGGCTATATACAACAGCAAAAGAGTCTAAGCGGGGGATCTTGTTTTTTTTGGATGATTGAATTCACTTCATTTCATGTGTCATCTTTATCTCTTCCTATTTTCAATCATAGTTTCCTATGTTATTATTATTATTGTTTTATTTTGAAGTCCTGTGTTATTACTATATTATTATATAATATAGACTAATTAAACAGCTTCTTTTTGTTGTTGTTGATAAACTACACTAAACATCTTTGTTGTGTTCTTATTATTTCCTGTCTACATATAATTTTTTATAGAGGGGTCCTCTTGTATAACCACTTATTTATCGTTTACCTTATTTTCAATTTATGTTTTCATTTTTATATACTTTATAATAAGTGTGATAATTATATATATACTGACTAGTAGTCTTCTATAGAGATGCAAACACTATCATATAATAAGGTTAAGTGCAATGTCGACTAAGTTTTGTATAATTAATAGTATATTAGACCTTTTGACCTGTCGAACTTGGTTTACAACTACTTATTAATGTACTCTTTTATAAATTACTCACTAATATTATTATAAACAAGTCTCCAAAGATTTGAAAACCTATTACTCCACTTAAGAAAATAGTCGATACCTATAACCTCGGGATATTCGAGGGGTAGAGATATTTAAAGGCAGCAAATAGACACAGACGAAATTTTGTAGCCATACACCATTAGCCTACTTCTTCATAGACCTCAGCTTTCCATTTAATTCATCACCTCTTCTAAGCCAAATAAGCTATATATACACACAGGATATATACCAACCCATGCCTACTAAATCGCAAAAAAAAAGGAATATTTTTTATCATTAAAATGTGTTATCTCGTTCACTTTTTAAAATTTTCATAAATTGATAATATTTTCTGTGACTCTAATTAGCGTAAAGTTTTCATACCAAATGTTAGACCGTATTTGAATTCGGATGAGGTAGACCATACATTTTCCTTTAATTGGTGTAACTAGTTATATGATTCTTACGGAAATCTTTCTACATGTAAAACATATAGGTACGGGAAGGTGTTCAAGACGAACATAATAGGGACACCAATCATAATATCGACCGATGCAGAGGTTAACAAAGTGGTGCTACAAAACCATGGGAACACATTTGTCCCTGCATACCCTAAATCAATCACCGAACTACTTGGAGAAAACTCTATTCTCAGCATCAATGGACCTCATCAAAAGAGGCTTCACACGCTCATTGGCGCATTCCTCAGATCTCCTCATCTCAAGGAGAGGATCACTCGAAACATCGAGACCTCGGTTGGTCTAACTTTAGCTTCTTGGTCTCAACTTCCATTGGTTCATGTCCAAGATGAAATCAAAAAGGTATTTGCATGTTTAAATATATCATCAGCAGCAACCAATGTATAATTGTTTTGTTTACAACTCACACCCTCGCATAATCTACTGTTTAAGAAGATCGTTAGAATTTGAATAACATGGTGCACAAATTAACCATTGATATATCGACATGAATTAAGTATGCTTTTTAACACTTGATTCGTATAATTAATATATCTTTTTTTTTGTAGATGACGTTTGAGATACTAGTAAAAGTATTGATGAGCATATCTCCTGGAAGAGATTTGGACATTCTCAAGCTTGAATTCGAAGAATTCATAAAGGGTTTGATTTGTATCCCAATCAAATTCCCTGGCACTAGACTTTATAAATCCCTGAAGGTCAAATAACTTCTTTTTAATATCATATGAGCAAATCAATATATTTAATTTTTCTTTTGTTAGTCACATTTCTTCTTTCGTAAAATTATTAGGGTTTGAATATTATTTAATTTTGAATTAATCATGCAGGCGAAAGAGAGGTTGATGAAGATAGTTAAGAAGGTTGTGGAGGAGCGACAAGTTGCTACGACGGGAAAGAAAAAGTCTCCGGCGAATGACGCGGTGGATGTGCTTTTAAAAGACGTTAATGACGGTGTTGGTTCTGATAAGAAATCTCAGCCGTTAGATTTCGTCAGCGGAAAGATCGTCGAGATGATGATCCCCGGAGAGGAAACGATGCCGACAGCGATGACGTTGGCTGTCAAATTCCTAAGTGACAGTCCCGTCGCTCTAGCCAAACTCGTGGTACGTATTGATGATATACAAACTTACACAGCATCCACACGTGTGTGTCCTAAATGCGAAATTCCCGACGTCAGTGGACCGTAGATTTGATGTTTGTCCTGATAGGAGATTTTAACGGCTAGGATTTATAGTTTTTAGAGGATGTGGGACCAGAGGAAAGGGTTTTGACTTTTGTATCCGTGTCAAGTCATTATCGAAAGTCTTCTTGACGAGACACACGAGTACACGCACGTGTGCGAAGGGAAGAGACACGTGAGAGTATATTAACCGTAGGATTGAAAAGAAGAGTGGACGGCTGTCAGAAGAGGACGATTTTGAATTAACGCCTTTGTCTGTACGAGCGACCACACCGCCTGTCAAATTAGCGTTTCGCGTCACGGAAAACGCTTTGCTTTCAACTCCCTCATCAATGTTTTCAATCAAAACGCGTCATATAGCTTTTTCCCATTTTTATACTTTTGTATTTATATATACATTTTTAATATAATCAATTGCAGGAGGAAAATATGGAAATGAAGAGGCGGAAAATGGAGTCGGGAGAAGAATACAATTGGTCAGATTATATGGCTCTCTCTTTTACTCAAAATGTGAGTCCCACGTACTATTTGAAATAAAATTACCAAATTTTGTTAGAAAAATTACTCCTAATTAGCTACAGAAACTTAATCAAATGGTCTAAATATCTAATTTTTTTTTTTACCTTTCCGAAACACAAACAGGTGATAAATGAAACGTTGAGAATGGCTAATATCATTAACGGTGTTTGGAGGAAGGCTCTCAAAGATGTAGAAATTAAAGGTAAGTAAGTTCCTTTACATATTAAGTTATAACTGAAATGAAATCACTTACTTATCTTGTTTGAGTTCAATGTTTTTTTTAGGGATAATAAATTGATTTTTTTTTTCTGATAGTAAGATATAAATTTTGGTGGGTGAATGGCAGGTTACTTAATACCAAAAGGATGGTGTGTATTGGCATCATTCATATCGGTTCACATGGATGAAGACATTTATGAGAATCCCTATCAATTCGATCCGTGGAGATGGGACGTACGTCACCATTTCATATAATTTTTATCCTTTAATATCGCTTAGTTGTTCATAAAATCTCAACTACTACTAATGCTTATCTTATCAAACAGAGGATTAATGGATCGGCAAACAGCAATGTTTGCTTCACACCCTTTGGTGGTGGGCAAAGGTTATGTCCTGGTTTAGAACTATCGAAGCTCGAAATCTCCATCTTTCTTCACCAACTTGTAACCCGGTACAGGTAAACCGACATATGACTTGAAATTTCCAAATGTGTCTCAATCAATCATTTATTTTGTCAGTCCATTGATATCTTCCATTGGCCTAAGTCATAACTCAATTCACTAACGCAACTTTAATGGACTAGTTCAAATAAGCTTTGAGTTTTGTTTTCTTTCTACCGGTCTTGTTCTATATATGAATTTGTCGACTAGTCATGCCGTTAACCGTCTCCACTATTTTGTAATTTAGTCTACATTTATTATATTTGGTCTAGCTTTTTGTAGGAGCATTAAATTTTTAAGTCTAACATAGTCATAGACCGGAACGCATAATCTAGTCATTAGTAATAAGTGTTAGCGCTATTTCATAACTCATATTCAAATATAGTAGTGTGCTTGACTGCTTGTACAAGTTATAGACGACAAAAGGAACGTCGTTTTTTTATGTACCAAAAGGTCCAAATATTGTAGTGTTTTGATGAATAATACTACATTATTGGTAATATATACTAATTAACGATTTGTATTGTGGAATATATGTAGTTGGACGGCTGAGAAAGACGAGATCGTGTCATTTCCGACGGTGAAAATGAAGCGGAGGCTTCCGATCCGAGTGACTCCCGTCAATAGAGCCTCTCCGGTCTAACTTGAAGATCATTAGCTAAAAGATCCTCTAACAGAACAAAGTGTTTGGGCTAAAGGAAGCAGAGAAGCAAACAAAGAATATTAAAAAGAAAATTAGCAGAGAAGAAAAGAAAAGCAAACAAGATTGGTGGGTAAGGCAGAAAGAGCCATACGTACAGCTAGTGATGGCACAAAGACGAGAGGTTCTAATTATATTTTTTTGGTCATGTCAAATTATAAGCGTTGGTAGGCTGTCCCTTTCTCGTTTATTTATCGTACCAAACGCAACTTGAGATATGATTCCAAATACATATTTGTATGGTAGATAAGTAAATTACTGTAATTCCTATGCAGGTCGTCTCAATCAAATTCTTTTTCTAGTTTTTGTTTAATGCCCATCAAGAACATTTATCTATAACCATTTTCAAAAAAATTGTAATTGCCATGTAAAATATAGAGTTATTACTGAAAATCAATCCACCGAAAGGTCCGAAAATCGATTCGTAGTCTCGATCGTTAATATGATGGCCACTAAACTGTTTACTTCGACCGACGACGTGATACTATACATAACATATATATATATATATATTAATATATATAGTATATCTGTATATTCTGACCCAAATAAAAAGAGTATATCTGTATATGTGATATTAAAAGATGATAATTTGGTGGGTGATGATGAGAATAGATTGAAATTTATGGCGGCCATAGTAAGGACAATGCCATGCACGAAAGACGAAACAGGTCCATGGGGAATACACGTGCATGTTGTATACGTCGACCCACCTTATAATTATTTCCATTATTATCAATTTTGTGGAGCCTTTTTATGTCATCTTCGACACCGCCGATTTTCATCATTATTTTCATTTATTTGTTCACTTAAGATGGGTTTTATTCGTCTATTTACGATGGGTCTCTCTGAAGAGGTATATCGGATCACGAGTTTTGAGTATCGAACAATAAAAAATCGCATGCACTAATACTAAAATTTGGTAGCAGATTTAGAGAGACTAATGCATGGCTCGATTAAATGTATCAGTGTAGATTTGGTATGCTATGACCTGTTTAAAAAGAAAAAATTCATTTTTGTTCATTTTTTTGTGACAAGATTCTATGGAGTTAACTCTTATGCTGTCGGAACCAGACACATGGCCAGGTTTCTCGTTTAGAAAAGCATGCTTTCTGAAAAGCCCAATTAGAGCTTACACCTGGCCCATTATGTATTTCTTGATGCATCCTCATGTTAAGTTCAAATATATTGGCCCAGTATCATCTTAAAGAATTCTTGTATACCTAAAGCCCGAGCTGAGCTTACACTCGGCCCATTTTTGCCACGAAATTTCTAACCAATTTTGTCTAGACTGTCGGAAACTATTTCCTTCTGTTATGTAGAAAGAAAGTTATTGTTTCGTTGAATGTTAAGGTTGGATTTTTTTTCTTTTCCTCTCGTCGTTTTTGCTTATACAAAATTCAATTGGTTTGTTACTAAAAAAAATGTCAATTGTATTCCTTTGATAATGTCATTTTATGAAAATTTCTTTTAAAAAAAAATCGATAGAAAACGAAGTTCTGATAAGCTATGAAATCAATTTAGAATCAGCTTAGCATAAATCAGAAATGGAAACTCATGTCAAAATAATCAGAAAACTCAGACATAAACTGTTTTGAAATTTTGCTAACAGTCTTCTAAATAATAAATCTCATAGGTGTTCAAGGACCATTTATAGAAGAAACAAAAACTCGTACCTACAATTTTTGTAAAAACGAACGAGCATGCTCAAAACTATAGCGTATAAACGTTTTAATTTTGGGTAAATCTAAAATACTTAACTTTAACTTTGTAGTTTTGGGTAAGACATAACTAGATTTCCAACCTCGCCTCGATCAAACGGGCAACGAATGATTCTTTGTAAGTAGAGCTGTAGAGGTATATAAAACAAAAAGGCTATTATTGCTACGTGCTTATATATGTCTCTATGCATGGTCAATTCGACCATCTGTCTCGATGACTATATTCAACGGCATGGTCCGTCCGTATCTTTGGTTTCATGACCACACGACAAATGTTAAAGATAATATTGAATAACTATGTAATGTTTGATAACGGATCATAGGAGAAAAACAATAATATAATGGATTGAAATATTACATTAAATTATGCAAATGTACTCCACTAAGCTCATAAACGCAAGTCTTCTTAACGACCGTTATCATATCATTTCGTGCATGTCCTTTGTCTAACAAAACTGAACCAGTTTATAGATGTTATTATAGCAAGTCATTAATTGTGTTTTTTTTATAAAAAAAATAGTGTTTTGTGCGGACAATTGATATATATATTTTTTAAGGGTTTGGTAAACGGACCATTAATTAAATAGTTAATTATCAGGTTGTAGGCATCCCTATATTTTAAATCTTGATATTAAAACTTTTTTAAAAATCAAAATTGTTAATCTAGTCCTATTTATATAACCGTGATTAAATAAAGAAACTTGAAATAATCGTAAAGTAAGATTTTGTGTGTCTAAATGTGTGTTGCATTTCCAGATTTGAGTATACTATACTGTCATTGACAATGTCATGACACTATCAACATATTTAATGTATTGTTTTTTGTAAAAAAAAATAATGACTCCTTTAGTGTGGGGGTTATATATTATTTATGATTGATGAGTCAAACATATGAAGTACTAGATGATCATGAATTATTTCTTATTTATGAAGCAATGTGTGGTAACACTGTCAATTTATTAGCCACCATACAAAAATATCTCCATCAAGTATACGTATCGGTTTCCTTATTTCGCATGTACTACCTGTGGTCCGTAAATGTTGTTGTAACAGTATTAATAACGAAGATTTCCATTTAATGCTAGATCGAAAAGATGTTTACACGACAGTTTCGTTATAAAAGTATAGATATTCAATCAACACCACCGAGAAAATAAAAACAATCATTTGATGAGATGATGAGCTCAACGGTAAGCTTGTAACAAAAAGGAAAAAAAAAACATCCTTTGATAACGGTAATTAGAATTTGTCGTTTACAGCTTGTCTCAGAGGCTAAGCAATTATTATGTTTATTAATCATGATTATAAATTTTCTGGATTTCCATAATGTTGTAAAAGGGCTGAATTTGTTTGGTTAAAAGTATATTTTTTTCTTTAACGAAAAAGCTAGGGGGAAACAAACAAAAAAGGTTAAAAGCAAACAGAAAAAAAAAAGTTAAAAAAGAAAAGAAAAAAGTGACGTGAAAAGGGTCGCAAGGAAGAGTCAAAGGCGCGAATGTTAACGAACGGTTAACGTGGCGCCAAATCGAGGTGTCAGGAATCCGACCGAGATTCCTTTTTACCGAGTGGTTAAAACGAATTGTACAGTTACCTCGGCGTCAGCGAATTAAATTCTGATTACGTCCAGACGCGTGAGTGCGTGACGCGTTTAGTAAACTAGTAATTTAAGCTTGCAATTTAAAGAGTTTCTTTTTTCTGTTACATGAAGTATTCGTTTTCTTCTTCTTTTTTCGGCGTCAGCGAATTAAATTCTGATTAAGCTTGCAATTTAAAGAGTTTCTTTTTTCTGTTACATGAACTATTCGTTTTCTTCTTCTTTTTTCGCATAGTAAACTAGTAATAACCACTTCGATTTTTTCTTCTAAATTACAAATGAATCAGTCCAAAGTATATATTTTCCTTACTAGTATATATATTTCCTTTAAAGCATCTATAATCCATTACACCATTTTTCACTCCAAAATAGAATAATTTTATAAAGAATTGTTGTTGGGGTTGCTCTTATAGAACTTTTTTACCAAAAAAAAAAAAGTTTCTCTTAAAACTTTAATAGTAGCATAAGTGTGTTTGTGATTATAGATAGCCAAGAATGTCCTTTATTTAATAGGAACAAAACTTTTACCTCGGATATTTAGCATCTTTTTATGACATTTTTATAAAAAAAAATATAGCATAGCATCATTGACTAGTTTACATCTTACGTTTATAAACTCTGATCAACAAACTACAAGTATACATATTAGGTTTAGAACTTTTTGAATGTCTTCCTTTTTTATTTGAGATATATAAATAGCTTTCAAAATGGTCCATGAGAAAATTGAAAGATAATTTGCAAATTTTGCTTAGTAACATTCAAAACTTTTGGGTATGAATCTTCGCTTTACCGGTTAATACGCTTACTTATGCAGTTTTTGTCCTTTGCACCATTGCGAATCTAACTCATGCAAATCTAGATTTCATAACGTAATATCTGATCGATAAAACATTATGCATCAGATGATTCTCAAATATATATATGTATACTTTTGTTTTGTTAACAAATTCAAAGAAGGGTAGATTGTCAAATATATCAAATGCCATAGAGAGTCTTACTGATGGTTGTAGATACAGTTACTAGCTGGAGTGCTATATTAGGATCTATCTAAGAAATAAGAATTCTGATGAGCCCTTAAAAACAAAAGAAAAAAAAATCTAAGAATTCTGATGATTAGTTAATAGATTGTGCATGGTAGAAAAAAAAAGTGATGCTTGAAGATATGCAGAATCTAAATTTAGCGTTACATAGGTCGATAGTAGAAGGTACAAGAATGAAAGATAACTTTATCTGTCTTGGGAACAAGCCAAGGATCGGAAACTCCGACAGACGTAATCCCGATTCGGCGAGAGGCGTGTGAGAACAGTCTTTCTCCTCTAATAAAAAAAAAAACAAGATAGTATAAAGAGTAGAATAAGAAAATAACAACTCAAACTCAGTGTAACGGAGTCAGATTAACGGAGTGAGGAATCTTGTGGTTCTCGAGAGTTCTAAGCCAATGAGAGTCGAATAAAATGGACGGAAGTAAACGACGGTGTGGGTTTGGTGTCAAGACAAACTCACGCGAGACGACATGTGCATCGAAGCTTTTCCCACGTGCCAAAGGATTCGTCTCCGTTCACACAGAACCACGATGGAAGGTAATAAAGGTCGTAGGACCCTAAAGCACCATACTTTTACACCTAGACGAAACGACATTTGAGTTTACATATGTAATTTACTAAATAGTCTAACTTGTTTTTTTTTTCTTCCTTCTTAATATGGTCTGTAAACAAAACATATACCAAAAAGAGTGGTGAGGTCTGTATTCATTCAATATTGGAAGGAAAGTAAAATGTGTTGAATACAAATTATTTTAAAATACTGTATGATGATTTAAATCTTCTGGAACTTATTTATTATTTTTTTTTAAAAAAGATTAAAGTTGGTGATTTTTGGTAGAATACTAGGGCTTTTTGTGGTAAAATAAATGCTAGAGTTGGTGATTCTCTAACTAAAACTCAACTACCAGTTAACATAAAAAACATAATATTGTGATTGAATTAGTTAACTTTGTAACATTTAACTGCATTTTGTAATATCACTAGAAAGAGTTTGAATATTTCATCAAAACATATTCCTAACGGTGTTTGGTACGAGTTATTTGCGGTCAATTATTTAGGGTTGTTTAAATCGAAACGTATAGCGTGTTTCCTAACAACAATGTTAAAGATAGCTATCTAAGAATAAAAATGAGAAAAAAAAACAGTGCCCAATCCACTAGTCGGTTGATTATGAGGAAGACAAGCTAATAGATCGTAATCTTTTGAGCTCATTCCATGGATTAAGGCGTTGTGGCCTACAATGTTTTAAGCATTTGTGAGTTCAGATATTATTCATCACCTCCTACAGTATGATTATGTTTGGCGTGGATACGTTGATCGGTTACTATTAGTAATCCGATAAGCACTCTCCAATATTACATAGAAGAATCGTAAACTAATTTCAAATTAAAAAGTTATCATTACGTACCAAATGTTTAAATATGCAAAGA